TTCTTAACAAAATTAAAAATAGAAATTAATTGAAAGAAAAGCAGAAAAGAAACTACACATGGTACTACCACGATGGTATTGCCAGCACAACTTTATATTTTTTATTAACAGACTCTCTCTTCTTTTACAAAGTGAAAGAAGCAAAGCCTATGACTGGCTAGGAAAGTTTAATATACAATTTTATGACCAATGTTTTTTACCTTAGCATCTGTAACCCGGAGAAAAAAACAATGTTAGTATGATTATGACTACATAGAAAAATCAATCAATTGATAAATTTCATTCCACATGAATCTGATATAGTGATATATCATTTTTGCTTTCCACAATTCTCTTTATGTTCCACTTTAATCCTTGTAAATTGAAATTACGACAAAATCATTTTTATATATAGTTAATTTTTTGATCGAGAGAAATGTAGTCACGCCATACCCTCTAACGCTTCAGGCATCTTTATGGAAGCTATTGAAATTGGGCAACTCTTATATACAAGATAAAATATAAACAAAATAATCACAAATTTAACAACAACTAATGTTGAAAGGATGTGTTAAATATGAATATCATCGTTAACCGTGAATAATAAAATCAATTATAAATTGAGAATTTATATCTCATGTGACTTAAATCTAACGATTTGAAGACTAATGTATTTTTTATTATTTAAAATTGACCATCTACTAATCATTTTTTATCGGTATAGATTGATTTTAATCTAAAAATTTTAAATTTTTAGCCTTTTTATAATCGAAAAAGCAGGTTTAAATTTTAAAATGATCACAAAAAAAACATAAAAATTGAGGTTCAAATTTTAAAACTTTTCATTGAAAACTCAAAACTCTTTCTACCGAGTCACTTTCGTTCTTAATTTAAGGACTGATGTAACATTTCAAAACTTTACATAAATCACAAAGCAATACTTTAAATGAGAATCGATAAAATGTTAGATAAAATAAATTCTTATATTTTTCTATTTATATAAGATTGAAAAATACCATCTTCTCGTAGAAGGATTAGTTGGAGGATTTCAAGTAGGGAAAAGATCCTTTCCAACCATATAAAGCCAATCAACGTACGAAATAGCAACCCCAACCTCGATTAGAAAGGTTACTTGACAATCTACGCCAAAATATATAAATGTCAAAAGAGATTATCAATTAATAAAGAAACACTTATTCTTTTAATTTAAAAACATCCATCAAGGAATATCAAAAACCACAAATTTCTCTTTCAATTGTATTCTTATGATTTCAATTAAATAAAAAACGAAAGCAAATTGAAAAAAAAAAAACGATGTAAAAAACAATTAACCCTGTTCAGTGATTTTAAGGGACGAAATTCCACATTTTTTAAGGCCTAAAATAGAACCCAAAGGGGGAACTATTAAAACTTATAGACAAGAGTATATCCTGTGCCTACAAGGAAGAGGCCAACCCTGGTCCATGAACGGACCTCTGAACCATAAAATCGAAACATTTTTTTCCTGTAACATATTTTCTCGAGACTTTTGAGCTCTTCGGTTAGTCTAGCAAAAATAGCACCTCGGTTTTGTGGTGGCTGGTGGAAATTAAATTAAATTAGAATATGGTCAAAGAAAGCCAGAGATTGGTTGCTAACCACAGATATCTAGGTGGCGTGGGCCCCACATATTTCAATCGTCGTGATTCTTTTAGATACCGATAGGAGCTTCTCAACTGACAACTTCGCTCGTCGTGGTATTTATGTTATGTACGCTTTTCAGTGAAATAAAATTTCCAGGGCGAAACAGACTTCCGCTCTTCCATTATTGCGTACTACACTGTACCTTCCAGGACTGTCTCAATCGGGGATAATTGTATTTTAAATACGCCAGTTTTTAATGTTTTCTCAATCAGTTATAATTATTTTTTTAATATATATATTTTTAAAAAACTGTTAATACATTATTTTTTTTATTGCTTTGTTATTTTTCAAATTATTAAATTATGATTTTATTTTTTAAAACTTTTAGTTTTAAATTATTTTCTATTTTCTACTTTTTGAAAGTGTCTTTCAAAAAGTAGAAAATAGAAAAATAATTTGAAAAGAAAAGTTTTCTCAAATGATAAAAAAAATAAATTATAATTGAATAGTTTTTTGAAAAAACATATGTAATTAAATAATAGAGCAATTGAAAGAAATGGGATGGAAAATATTTTATTGAATGTTTTTAAGAAATTATGTATTTAAAAAAATTAAAATTATGCATTAGATTGAAAAAGCTTTAATAATTAATGTACTTATAATGCATTTATCCCATTAAATTCGAATTCTACCAAACAAGCTAAATCAATCTGAACCGTTTATTATTGAAAAAAAAAAAAAGGGAACTGGTTAGTCCAATATTGATGCTACAATACACTAAAATGATGTTTGTGTTTCTTAAATCCTTTAAATTTTTTGATATAAATAAAATAAATCATATGATCTAATTTTAGTGGATGTTGTATTCAATTGTGTATATTTTTGTAGTACAATATCATTGGAGGATTCAATCCAGCATACACCTTATTGATTTTACATATAAATCAAATTTAGAAATAAAAGAAAGATTTGCGAATAAATAATATTGACAAGAGTTCATCAGCTCGGTATAAAAGATATAGTATAGTATGTGGATTTTATAACGCGTGCAATCATTCAAGATTAAAATCATAAAAAAAATAATTTGTATCAATGTGATTTATAAAAATACATCAATTTACACGCGAATCACTTGTTTAAATATTTTTTTTGTAAAAAAAACTTAATCTTCACATATAAAAACTAATCTCAATCTAAAAAGCTAACTTGAATGAAAAAAATTCTAATTATTTTAAAAAATAATTTTATATTTGAATCTTTATGTACGCATATTTTAATAATTATATTTATTTTAACAATAAAAAAATAGTATAGATTTTAAAATTTGAGACATCTAGGAAAAAGAAATTAATGTCACTATACTCTTACCACTAAAATAAAGAAAATCTTAATAAAAATTAAAAAAAACATTTAAGTTTTTGCCAATTAAAATTTTGTTGAATACATGGTAACATATTAAAAGCTACAGTTAATAAAGCAACTTGTCCACTTTGTGATAGATGCCTACTAGTAATAAGTTTTTCTAAATTAAGTGAACACAATTAAAACATCACACAGATACTACAAATCTTCACAGTCAAACTGATTTAAAGCTCACAACGGATACAAGTCAAGCAAAGATCAGGATTACCATTTTAACAACAAAGATTACCATTCATGATCTGTATAGTATCGACACGTGTGTAACAGTGGAAAATTGGTTTTTTTTTTTTCTTTTTGAGAAAAAGAAAAACATTCTTAGATTTATATATGGTATTCGTAATTTCGTATCGTATCAACCTGCACTGTAGTCGAGAAAAACAAACACAAGGAACCAAAAATTTCTCATTTCTCAGCAAGCGGAAGTAGACCCCTCATCTCCTGTCGTCTCCTCTTAATATTCTATTTTCCGTCGTCAATGAAATGAAAGAAAAACGCTGCATTTAACTCGTTTTCGACGACTATTTTCCAGTCTTTCTGAGCGAAGCATCGCAGAAGTTATTATTTCTCCGTGCAAATTCTTTATCAAGTCTCTGTATTTTGTTTTGCGAGACTTCGCAAATATATAAAAAATCTTTCTGACTTTTCTTTTCTTCTCCTATCTCCATCTCCTCAACTCTCAACTTTTCAAGCTTTGAAGGAAAAGAGGTATGTTCCCTTGGTTGTTCTCGTTCTTTTAAAGGGTCTTTTTCCTTTTCTTTTGAGCTGTTTGGGGATTTTAGTAGTCCCTATTTTCCTTCGCTTCCCCTTTGTATGGAATTTGTTTTTTTTTTTTTTTTTTTTTTTTTGCGCTTGGAAGTTGTTTAAATCGTTGACGGAAGTCGAGAAAGTTTGAGTTTTTAGAGATAAAGGAAAAAGCTTTGGTCTTGAGAAGTTTTCTGGGCTTCTTGTTTTTTTTTTCTTTGAATTATCATATAATCAAGTTCTGTTTCTCTGTTTGGGTAGAAAGAAAAAGTTTTGCTTGAATTTTTCTTCTTCTGTGGAACGAGAAAGACAACCAAAAAAAAAACAGAAGAAGAAGTAAGTAATAGCTTGAGTGGCTGTGTTAAGCGAAGCCTTGTTGATTTTGATAGTAAATGTTATATACTTTATAAGTTAATAAGATATTCCCAGGGTTACGAAACTGAGAAAATTGCAAAAGTAAAATGGGATGATTCCAAATATTCTTGTAGATTTGTGGGAAAAAAAAGGGAAATTGGAATTTGGACCGTTAAAGGGCCTTTGATTCTTCCTTTTTTATTTATTTACTTTCGGATTCGTAAGTTCTGATAAGAAGCTAAAAAGTTTCTAAACTTTATATAAGAGAATCTCCCTTGTTTGATTGGATGTATTTATTGTTCTCCATTTTAGCTCATTAAAGGTACTTTTTTTTTTTTTTTTTTTAATTCTCTTAATATTTCCGTAATTCACAATCTCAAAAAGGTAGATCGTGATTGGTGTGCGTGTATGTTTTTTTTTCCCCTGGAGGGAGGGCCATTCCTATGAATTAGAGGATTTCGATTTATGGGGTTTAAGTTATCAAAATTAGAGATTTGAATTTTGGACTTGATATTACATTTAGCTTGCAAACTTCTTGTTGATAAACGTTGATAATTTTTGGTGGAAATCTAGGTTAGAACTTTCTCTGCTGAAATACCCGTATGAAACAAGTGAGGGTATAAATTAGTCTATCATCATTTTAGATTGAAATCGGTAATTGGTTGTCCGTTAGGCTAGTTTGCAAATGTTTGGTACCTGTTGTATTTCTATTTTCACATGCACATAAGGACTAACCTTTATATTGGTTTGTATTATTATCAGAGTACATTGTAAATTCTCTATTTCATTCATTTCAGGTACTAGTTGTTTTCTGTCACTTCCTGCAAAAGCTTCTTAAATTTTCCTTAAGCAGTCCTTTGTCAAGTTGATAAAAAGACTTGATGAGTAATCTCAAGCTAGGAGTGGAGGTTGTGGGTGCCCATGACCTTATGCCCAAAGATGGGCAGGGGACATCCAATGCTTTTGTCGAGCTCCATTTTGACCATCAGAAATTTCGCACTACTATTAAAGACAAAGATCTCAGTCCTGTTTGGAATGAAAGCTTCTATTTCAACATCTCTGATCCAAACAGCCTTTCTAACCTCAGCCTTGAGGCTTGTGTCTACCACCATAACAGAGAGAACAACTCTAAATCCTTCCTTGGAAAAGTTCGTCTCACTGGGACATCATTTGTACCCAACTCAGATGCTATTGTTTTGCACTACCCTCTTGAAAAACGAGGCATTTTATCTCGTGTCAAAGGGGAGCTTGGTTTGAAAGTATTTGTTACAGATGACCCTTCGACAAGATCCTCAAATCCGCTTCCTGCTATGGAATCTTCTCTGTTTTCAGATTCTCATGCTTCTCAAACTCAAGCTCCAGAACAAAAGATTTCAAAGAAGGCCCAAAAACTGTTCTCGGATGATAAATCCGAGTCAAGACATACATTTCATCACCTTCCAAACTCTAATCAGTCGCAGCAGCAACAGCATGTTCCACCAGCAGCAACTCAGCCATCAATGGATTATGGGATTCGTGAGATGAAATCTGATCCTCAGGCTCCAAGAGTTGTTCGCATGCTCTCAGGTTCATCAGCACAACCTGTTGATTATGCACTAAAAGAAACGAGTCCTTTTCTTGGAGGGGGGCAAATAGTCGGAGGGCGAGTTATACGTGGAGATAGGCATGCTGGCACTTATGATCTTGTTGAACAGATGAAGTACCTTTTTGTGCGAGTTGTGAAGGCTCGTGACCTTCCTGCCAAGGATGTGACAGGGAGCCTTGATCCATATGTTGAAGTAAAAGTGGGGAATTATAAAGGAATCACAAAACACTTTGAGAAAAAGCAAAACCCTGAGTGGAATGAGGTGTTCGCCTTTGCAAGGGATAGAATGCAGTCATCTGTTTTGGAAGTTGTGGTCAAGGATAAGGATCTGGTTAAGGATGACTTTGTTGGGTTTGTAATGTTTGACTTGAATGAGGTTCCTACAAGGGTTCCACCTGATAGTCCATTGGCTCCAGAATGGTATCGGCTTGAAGACAAGAAAGGAGAGAAAACAAAAGGGGAACTGATGGTTGCTGTCTGGTATGGTACGCAAGCTGATGAGGCATTCCCTGATGCTTGGCACTCAGATGCAATTTCTCCTGATAGTTCTTCCTATATCTCCACACTTATCCGCTCTAAAGTATATCATTCTCCAAGACTCTGGTATGTCCGTGTTAATGTGATTGAGGCGCAAGACCTAGTGGCATCTGACAAAAGTCGCTTTTCAGATGCTTATGTTAAGGTGCAGATTGGTAACCAGGTTTTGAAGACGAAGATGGTTCAGAGTCGGACAATGAACCCAGTTTGGAATGAGGATCTAATGTTTGTTGCTGCTGAACCCTTTGATGATCATCTGATCCTTTCAGTTGAAGACCGCACTGGACCCAACAAAGATGAGAGCCTAGGGAAGGTTGTTATACCATTGAACACCGTTGAGAAGCGTGCTGATGATCGCATTGTTCGTAGTCGGTGGTTCAACCTTGAAAAGTCCATGTCAGCTGCCATGGATGAGCATCAGGCAAAGAAGGATAAGTTTTCTAGTAGACTTCATCTCCGAGTTGTGCTTGATGGAGGGTACCATGTGCTTGATGAGTCAACTCACTACTGTAGTGATCTTCGACCAACAGCAAAGCAGCTGTGGAAGCCATCAATAGGTGTTTTGGAGCTTGGGATTTTAAATGCCGATGGGCTCCACCCAATGAAAACAAGAGAAGGGAAGGGCACCTCAGATACATATTGTGTGGCAAAGTATGGTCAGAAATGGGTTCGGACTCGAACCATAATCAACAGCCTCAGTCCAAAATACAACGAGCAGTACACATGGGAGGTTTTTGATCCTGCGACAGTTCTCATTGTGGGGGTTTTTGATAACAATCAGCTTGGTGGTTCCAATGGTAATAAAGATGCAAAAATTGGTAAGGTTCGGATACGACTCTCTACCCTTGAAACTGGTCGTGTTTATACACATTCATATCCGCTGCTAGTCCTTCAACCTTCTGGTGTCAAGAAGATGGGCGAGTTACATCTGGCCATAAGATTTTCCTACACATCATTTGCAAACATGATGTTTCTATACTCGCGACCACTTTTGCCAAAGATGCACTATGCAAGGCCATTGACTGTAATGCAGCAGGACATGCTACGTCACCAGGCTGTCAATGTTGTGGCTGCTCGTCTTGGTCGGGCTGAACCTCCTCTCAGGAAAGAAATTGTAGAATACATGTCTGATGCAGACTCGCATCTTTGGAGCATGAGGCGCAGCAAGGCAAACTTCTTCAGGCTGATGTCAGTTTTCTCTGGATTACTTTCTGTTGGAAAATGGTTTGGTGAAGTTAGCATGTGGAAAAATCCCATCACCACAGTGCTAGTACATGTCCTCTTTGTGATGCTTGTCTGTTTTCCAGAACTGATTTTACCAACTGTGTTTCTATACATGTTTCTAATAGGGGTTTGGAATTATCGGTTCCGACCGCATTACCCTCCTCACATGAATGCAAGAATTTCTCATGCAGATGCAGTGAATCCTGATGAGCTTGATGAGGAATTCGACACATTTCCATCAAGACAGAGTCCAGAAATAGTTCGTTTTAGGTATGATCGACTAAGGAGTGTGGCTGGGAGAATTCAGACTGTTGTGGGTGATGTGGCTACCCAAGGAGAACGGGTTCAAGCGCTACTAAGCTGGAGGGATCCTCGTGCCACAACTGTTTTCTTGATTTTCTGTGTAGTTGTTGCCATAGTGTTGTATGCAACACCTTTTCAGGTTCTTGCTCTTCTAGGAGGGTTTTACTTCATGAGGCATCCTAGGTTTCGTCAAAGGACTCCATCAGCACCGATTAATTTCTTCCGTCGTCTGCCAGCAAGGACAGATAGTATGTTGTGAAGTTGTAATTGGGGTGTTCAGGCATAGCCTCTCTTGCCAGTGTGTCACACTGGTTTTTCTCAGCAGTGCTTGTAAATGTTTGGATTTCTTTATTTTTGTATAATGTTTTATTGCCCTGGAAACGGGTACAAATATATACATGACAGTAAATTATGTTTAATCATAGAGATCTAGTATTTTTGCTTTTGGTATATAATAGAGTGGACTCTGCATCAGATGTCTTTTGTTGCTTCTGGGTTCCTGATCAGAATCGTGACATCATTTTTGTGCCTTTGTCTGCGATATTGGTGTTTTGAATTTGCTTCTGACGACGTAAAACAATTAATTAGTTCTTGGAGGAAATTATGATGCATAAGGATGGTGCCTGTGGTATGTTTCTGCCTAAGAACACGGGTTGGGTGGTGGCTTCTGTTGCATGAAATTGTCTTTTCACACTTCTGGTCGAGAAAATAGCTCTTGTTAGAGAAAGATGGCTCCTTGAGCTAGTCTCCTGCTAACTCGAATGTATTTATGCTCGTGTGGAGTGAGTAGTTCAGACTTCAGACAACGAGAAAATGAGAAATAAGGACGATTAGAGTACAAGAAGAAAAATGTACCACACGAAACTTCGGAATTCCTTAATCACACAATACAGCTAAAACGTACTAAACCAGAACTAAGAAAAGAAAAGGCCCATATACTGCTGAGCTGCAAGCCTGCAACCATCTGAAATCTTCATTTTCTTGTTTTTGATTAGTTTTAACTGACAGTATACTATTTTCGGAATGCCAAGCATGAATCAATCATATGTTGGATCAAGCATCAGGCCAGTATATGTCCATTTCACCCCAGTCGCTTTCAGGCACTCCTAAGGCCTTCCAAACTGCCTTTGAGGCATCTACAACATTATTACCACAAGGAGGTTGGTAATCATGATCAGAATCACATCCCATTGTAGAGTCACACTCATCAACTCCCATGGCCTTAACACTCTTTCCGTTTCCATGGATATTTATGAAGTTTAAGCATCTATTCCCATGGTTGTACCATCCAGTTGAAAGTGCCACCACAGGTATATTATCTGAATGGTATTGGTTGTCACATTCTGACGGTGCACCACCATCTCCACCTTTCTCAAAGCTGTTTAGTGTTAAAGTTGATTTTGTGTGGCCGGTCACTGGTGGTGAGCACTTGAAAACGGGCTACAGCTTGCTGTCTGCACAACAGTCAGAGTCATTCTCCAGATTGCATTGGTTTGGCGGTTGCTTTCTCCCTCTTATGTTACCACTAGGGTTGCAGGTCTGAGCTTCAATGCTTGAGCAAATCGACACAAGAAAAAGAAAGAAAACGAGAAGACCAATAGCATGAACTTGTTTCTCCATATTGTGTTTGATCTTTGGTTTTTGTGATGACTTGATATGCAGATATTGAATCACTGGTAAGCTCTATATAGTGCAGAGTAGCTGTCGCTTAATGCAAAGTTACAATTTAGTAGTCGATTGTGTCTGACTTGTTTATTAGGATTGAATGTTTATACAGAGTCGGCGACATAATCCAAAGGCACAACCTGAGACAATAAACAGTCGAAACAGAGAAGCATAAAAAATCAAGAGCGCTAATTATACATGATTTGACTGATTGGGTGAAAGGGCAGAAATGACTGCTACATTGTTCAAGAGGTTAATGAGACACATCTATGCCGCTATGCTGGTAATTTCAAATTAATAATTTCTTCAACAATAAAGTAAACTAACATAAACTTAATGCAACAAGTTCAAGGTTGCAGCCTGCAAGAACCCACATTTCTCATATTCAGGAAGAATCTTGTTTAATTAGAGGTTACTGTTTAGATATTAACCAAGTAATCATCTCACTAACCATTTCCACTCGTCAGCAATGCAACAGTATTATTTATCTTAATATAGTTCCATTTTACGAAATCATAGTATTATGTGCAGTCACAATCCCCGAAAATGCTGCGCACCGAAGTTTCATATGATCATGCAGGGCGGCTGGCTAGGTTCAAATTAGTTTTTTGCAATAGCAGATTTCTTGCGTTAGAAAAATATATAAATTAAAGCAAAGGAATAATGGTAGTTTGTACTTTACTCGGACTAATACCTGAACACATAGAAGTTGATGTTTATGTTAGTTTCTTGGATTATAATGAAGCAACTGCTAGTTTTAAAGCATCAACGAAGCGGCATTTTGATCCCTGTCTCATTCAGTCCTTTTAGGACAAGGCAACATTCTCTCAAAGCTCGAATCAACCGTTATTTTTGGCTGATTAAGACTCATGTCGGAGTAGAAGTCCTCTTTCCCTAACATGAGTAAACTCTGCCCCATACTAGAATTATCTAACCGAGATGTACTTTCATTTGTATTAGATACGTCATGACAACTAATCTATAACGGCTGTCATTCAACTTAACAGAAACAGAGCTTGTAAAATTCCAAAGTCATTGTCATAGAACAAAGATAGAAACTCGTCCCTGAATACAGGATTAAGGCCAGTGTGCCGTGATATAATTAGCTTCTTGTCTATTTAAACTTGCATCTTTAATTGTTTCTTGTCTTCAGCTGATCTTTTTGGTTATGCTTTCAGCTTCAGCAGATTTTACCTCATCTAAAAATATATTTTTAAATAGGTTTATTATATTTTAGGAACATTCATTTTTTTAAAAAAGAAGGATTTAATTATGTAGTATCCAGTTTTGCGCCGTGAGGAACACTGCGTGCTTCTACAATTCTGATGCCTTTATTTTGTTTTTATCAGAAAAAACCAAGTATGGAAGAAAACTCAGAAGGAAAAACAATGCAGCTGGCCATTTTGTAATATTTCAAGAATAACGGGGACAATTTCATAAGGTCAATGCTATAAATGCAGACTAGGAAACCCTGCCCGGCACAAATCTCATCTCATTTAAGGCAAGAACAGACTTAGAGAAGAGAGAAAATGAAGGCTTTTAGCGTGAAAAGTTCTGTTTTTCTCCTAGTCATTCTCGTTTTGACATACACTTTACACATTGAAGCACAGCAATGTCGTCCAAGTGGCCGGATTAGGGGGACTAATCCTCCTCCAGACCAATGCAACCAGGAGAATGATTCAGATTGTTGCAAAGATGGAAAATACTACACAACTTACAAATGCTCACCACCAGTTTCCAGCAGCACAAAAGCAACCCTTACCCTGAACAGCTTCCAGAAAGGCGGGGATGGTGGTGCACCATCAGAATGTGACAATCAATACCACTCAGATGATACACCAGTGGTGGCACTTTCGACTGGATGGTACAACCATGGGAATAGATGCTTAAACTACATAACTATCCATGGCAATGGAAAGAGTGTTAAGGCCATGGTAGTTGACGAATGTGACTCTACTATGGGATGTGATTCTGACCATGATTATCAGCCTCCTTGTCCCAACAACATCGTAGATGCCTCAAAAGCAGTTTGGAAGGCCTTAGGAGTGCCTGAAAGTGACTGGGGTGATATGGATATATATTGGTCTGATGCATGATCCGCCAAAGCTACATTCTTCTAGTGCAGCTTGCTGTATGATGCGTGCTTTAGGTCATATAAACAGTATATTTTTATGTTTAAACTTCTTATTCAGTATTATCTATGTTTGAATCCATATTCTGAATTTGTGATTCTACGAAATTTTATTTAATAGAAACAAAAGCCTTCCTCTAAAGAAACTGTCAGGTTTTCGAAGTACATTTTGCCTAATTGATCCTCTACGTTACTATTAAGTTTCCTCATTCCAAGTATGTGTAAAAAATAAAAGAAAATAAGCTAATTGATCCGAACAATAATACCACGAAATAGTCATATATCATTTCTGTTGATTTTGAATAAGATAAAACTACCATAAGGAAGACAGATATAATCTATTTCGGGGCTATCAGATTTTCCCAAAAAGAGATGTTATTATGAGGATGAGAAAAGGCAATGCTGCTATGATATCATTGCATAAATACCTTATTCTTTGAGGTGAGAGAAATTCTCATTACCTTCAAATCTAACCAGCCAAAAGCATTTGACCTTAGTTGATCTTGTCTGCGGGTTAATCACTGAGAAACGAAGATCAAAGGACAGGAAACAAACTCAGCACATCATTGCTGTGTTTTTCTTCTTTTCTTCTTTTTCTTAAAAAAACCCCACGTAAATTGGAGATGCTAATAGTTCAAATTTATTTTCTTTTTCTTGGCCTCACGAGCAAACAAACTTTAACCTCTTGCCCGTTTGTGTTGTTTCCTGGAGCATGTAATGGACCAAAAGGGATATATGCGCTGAGATCCCATTTCCATTTGACTTGCGCATGTTTAATTAGGCTCAGAAATTAAAGAAAAAAAAACAGTTTACATCTTAACCTCCTAGTGAAGGAACAAACAAATATTGCCACTAGCAGAAATTCAAATTCTCAAACTATTATTGAACAGAGATATTCCACCACAGGAGAAACACAGCAGATACATTTCTTGCAAGACTAAACAGGTTTTTCCGTGTCTAAAGACAAGAACCATTACATTCAGGACAGAACTCATGATCTAACTTAACCTAGCAGACAAACCAGTGACCATAATACTGATGTGACAAAATGACCCTTTTAAGGTATATACTTGCAACATTATTTTAATCAACTAGGTAACGTGACTGAATCAGATTCTACCCACAGATAAGAACAGAATTTTTTTCCATTTAATCAGTTCAAAATTATGATCCTTAGAACAGTGATACATACAAAACAACAGAGATAAAGAGAGTAAATAATTGAATGTAGGGTTGACAATAAATTCAGACAATATCGAGCTGGGAGAATCAAGTTGGTAGTGCCTAATTTTGCACCGTGAGGCAGACGCTGTATGAATTATGATTCCACAATTCTGATGCCTTTATCTTAATTTTATCGCCAATTCCAAGTATCAAAAAAGACAAAAAGGGAAAATATCTTCCTGGTACATTCGGTAATATTCGAAGATAGTGAGGACAATTTCCTAAAGCCATTGTTATAAATACAGACTGGGAAATCCTGTCCTGCATTGAAGACATTAAAACGCAAGAACAAATATAGAGAAGAGTGAGAGAACGAAAGCTTTCAGCATGAAAAGTTCTGTTTTTCTCCTAGTCATTGTTCTTTTAACATACACTTTACATATTGAAGCTCAGCAATGCCATCCAAGTGGCCGAATTAGGGGAACAAATCCTCCTCCAGACCAATGCAACCAAGAGAATGATTCGGATTGTTGCAAAGATGGCAAATACTATACAACTTACAAATGTTCACCACCAGTTTCCAGCAGCACAAAAGCAACCCTTACCCTGAACAGCTTCCAGAAAGATGGGGATGGTGGCGCACCATCAGAATGTGACAATCAATACCACTCAGATGATACACCGGTGGTGGCACTTTCGACTGGATGGTACAACCATGGGAATAGATGCTTGAACTACATAACTATCCATGGCAATGGAAAGAGTGTTAAGGCCATGGTAGTTGACGAGTGTGACTCTACTATGGGATGCGATTCTGACCATGATTATCAGCCTCCTTGTCCTAACAACATCGTTGATGCCTCAAAAGCAGTTTGGAAGGCCTTAGGAGTGCCTGAAAGTGACTGGGGTGAGATGGATATATACTGGTCTGACGCTTGAGCCACCACCATACCTGTAGTTTTCTCATGTAATTTGTTGTGTCGTCTGGTTGATGCTTATCCTCTACTATGTAAACAGTACAATCTGTGTTAAAATTTCTTATGGACTTGCAGAAGTTATAAGATGATTATGTTTTTAATGCAAGATGCTTATGAAAATTGTGATTTATTTGACAAAAACAAAGGCCAGAACTGGCTAAACAGTTTGGAAGGCCTTAGGAGTGCCTGAAAATGAAGGATATAGTTTTGTCAATTTAGGTGGAAAAAATTGACTGAAGTAAAGACATATTGGAGAATTGACTATTATACAAAATCCTAATAAACATAATTAGAATTATAGGGACATATTAGAGATTTGTCTTTTTTTTTTTTTTTTCTGTGTTTCAACTAAGGGCATTTCATAAATAAATATGTGAGCTTCTAATCGGAAAAAAGCGACTAAAAAGACTAATCGAACAATTAGACACTCTTTAAAAACAAATTGGAAAGTGCACATATTGAGTCATTTACCCAATCGGAAAATCAGAATTATCAATTCATTTACAACAGTTCTAATGAAGTAACACTGAAACAATGCTTACAGATTTTAAAAGTCCAAAAATTTCTGGTAGTAATGAAGAAACATCCACGGTCTCAATTATAGCATTGAAAAAATCATATATAGATTAAACACTGCACAGTCACATTCTACAGTGTGATGAATCCGGATTTTTAATGTTTTAAGGATTGAAGCTGTTGCCTTGCGACACTGAATCGAATGATCCAAATTTTACTTCAGGAGAAAAAAGGTAATGCTCATACATAGTGCTTATATGATCACATGATGCATGCCCTTTTGATATATTGATTGCCCCATCTAATTGGAACATTAATCAGTGAGGATTAGGCCCTAAAATGGTCTACGTAAACAACCAATTAAAAATAAAGAAGAGTCCAAATTTGCAGAAAAGCAGGCCGTGCCAGTTATTTTGATGATGTCTGTTTTCGCTGCCTCAGGTAGACGTTGTATGCTTCAACAATTCTGTGCCTTTGTTTTGTTGCTATCTGCAAATCCAAGCATCTTAATTTAATGTCCTTTTCAGTTATCAAAAGATAAGAATAATAAATTTAGATGGTCATTCTGTAATATTCTGATAATAATAGAAGTAATTTGACGAGGCCATTGTTATAAATACTGACGGGAAATTCCTTTCTTGCATCAAAGACATCCAGAAGAAGAACTAATATAGAGAACAGTGAGAGAATGAAGGCTTTTAGCTTGAAAAGTAATAATTTTCTCTTAGTCATTCTAGTTTCAACATACACTTTACACATTCAAGCTCAGCAATGGCCGAATTAGCGGAACGAATCCTCCTCCAGACCAATGCAACCAAGAGAATGATTCTGACTGCTGCAAAAACGGCAAGTAGTACCCAACTTACAAATGTTCACCAACGGTGCCCAGCAGCACGAAAGCAACCCTTACCCTGAACAGCTTTCAGAAAGGTGGGGATGGCGGTGCACCATCAGAATGTGACAGTCAATACCACTCAGATGATACACCTGTAGTGGCACTTTCAACTGGATGGTATAACCATGGGAATAGATGCTTAAACTATATAAATATCCATGGCAATGGAAAGAGTGTTAAGGCCATGGTAGTTGATGACTGTGACTCTACAATGGGATGTGATTCTGACCATGATTATCAACCTCCTTGTCTGAACAACATTGTAGATGCTTCGAAAGCTGTTTGGAAAGCATTAGGAGTTCCCGAAAGCGATTGGGGAGAAATGGATATTTACTGGTCTGATGCGTGATCCACCATACCTCTGGTTTCGTCATGCAATTATTTTTCTGGCATTTGGTTGGTGCATACGTTATACTATGTGACCAGTACATTATGTGCCAAAGCTCCTTACGGGCTAGAAAAAAGTTGCAATGTTATGTTCTTATCCATAAGGAAAAAAATCTAATTATGAAAATGTGATTCTGTTTTTATTCAACGAAAAGAAAGGATGTCTTCAACAAGAACTGCTAGGTTTGAGCAGACAGCTGATGACATGATTGTACAAGTATTTAATGATCAAAATGATAGTAATCCAATGCGACAGCCCCTCAAAGGATCAGCTACCTTGCCCTCGTGAAACAAAAGGCGAGGACATCAGAAAGTCTGTGGAAACTGCCATAATGAAGTCACTTTCAGGCAGATCAATTAACTACAGCATTTTCATTGAAGTAACAAGCCAACATTATTATATTAGGCTCAAAAGTTACACAAGTCAGTGAAAGTTCATGTAGAAATTCAATGTAAATCGTGAAATGATAAATGAGAAGTTCTAGTCTATTTGATCAAAATTTGTCAGACTTTCTACCGAAGGGAAGTCCTCTGCCAGAAAAATCAAATTCAGATCGACAAATGTGATTGATTAAGATATGGCATCATAATTGAGCTGATTTTTTTTCTGGCACAACTAACTCTGTTTTTTCATGTTTAAAGAATGAAAAGCCATTGCCGCATGAAACAAAACTTGATGATCTAAATACAGGCAGACAAATTATTGGTCATAATGCTGATAGGGCATGAAAACTGTTCGGGTAATAGCTATGCATATAATAATCGACCAAGAAAGTGATTGGGGGCTTGAATCTTACTGCAACATCAATATTCTCTTGAATTTCATAAGTAAAGATTATTAAAACAGTCCAAATACACAGCCACACACACACACCAAAAAAAAAAAAAAAAAGTGGATAATTGAATTTAGGGCTGTAGATTCGCTCAATATTTTGCCATGACAATTATTCTGATGGTGCCCATTTTTGTTTCGTGAGGCAGACGTTGTGTGCTGCCACAATTAATTCTGATGCCTTTATTTTGAATTTACTGGAAAATCCAAGTAGCACAACAGATCAATACCATTTTAACTATCAAAAGATAAGGAAAACAAATGTACCTGGTCATTCTATAATATTCTGAGAATAATGCGATCAGTTTGATGAGTTCATTGTTATAAATACTGACTGGGAAATCCTATCCTATTTCAGACACAGTAAACAAAAGAACTAATATGGAGAAGAGGAGAATAAAGGCTTTTAGCATGAAGAATTCTGTTCTTCTCCTAATTGTTCTCCTTCTAACATACTCTTTAGACATTGAAGCTCAGCAATGTCGTCCAAGTGGCCGAATTAGGGGCAGGAAGCCTCCTTCTGACCAGTGCAACCAAGAAAATGATTCAGATTGCTGTAAAGACGGCAAGTACTACACAACTTACAAATGTTCACCAGAGGTGACTAGCTACACCAAAGCCTTCCTCACTCTCAATAGCTTTGAGGCAGGTGGAGATGGTGGCGGTCCATCAGAATGTGACAAGCAGTATCACTCTGATGACACACCAATTGTTGCATTATCCACTGGATGGTTTAATCATAAGAGTAAGTGCCATAAAAACATCACCATAACAGCAAATGGGCATAGTGTTGCAGCCATGGTTGTCGACGAGTGTGACTCAACTATGGGATGTGATCAAGTCCATGATTATCAGCCACCTTGTGATAACAACATTGTTGATGCTTCAAAGGCAGTGTGGAAAGCTTTGGGCGTGCCGAAAGATGATTGGGGTTGGCTTGAAATTACATGGACTGATGCTTAGTTTCCATCCCATTTTCATATGAACGAAAACATCATCCCTAATATTATTGTTGTTTAAGTAAACGAAAGTTTGTAATCTTGCAGATTTTCTGTAGTGAATTATGCATGTTAATATCGCATCTATTTACTTCAAAATTAAAGGAATTTATTAGCAGTAATATTTGCCATTTCTCCACAGTGATTAAACCAAGAAGCAACACTGCTATCTCAAAGGCTACAACTCTGTCCATACACAAGCACAGAATATTCAGCATCGAAATCTAAATTAAGTTACCTACTAGACATGATGCGATCATTACAAAGAATCAAACAACTCACAGGTTCACTTGGATACTTATTTCAATTATTAATTAACAAAGAAGATTGCATTGGTGGCATCTTTGTTTCTATGCGGGTACATAGTATACAGACAATCTTACTTGTCGACCCATTGCTACGTTGTCAATCTGTTTCTAGTCACCTTGTAAAAATGGCACTATCTCCAGTTATTTTAAAAAGTGAAATCTATTATGCCATTGCCAGCCATGCATTGTGTTTTACAAAGCCCATTGTTGCAATCTATTGCTTCTGCATATTGTTTATCACTCAACGCAACCTATACATATAGCCTCCATAATTCACTTCATGCATCAAGCGCCAAAGATTGAGGACAAAATGAAGAATTTCAGCTTGGCACTGTCCATAATCATGCTACTTGTGCTCTTTGTTACAAATTCTTTCTGGGAGGTTGAAGCCAAGGCTTGCAAGCCTAATGGAAAAATTAGAGGCAAAAAACCGCCTCCAAAAAAATGCAACAAAGAGAATCACTCTGTTTGTTGCGTCGAAGGCAAGCTATACCCAACCTACAATTGTTCAACGCCAGTCACTCATCATACCAAGGCATATCTCACTCTCAACAGCTTTGAGAAGAATGGAGACGGTGGAGGTCCATCTGAATGTGACAAAAAATTCCATTCTGATGACATACCAATCGTGGCACTCTCGACCGGTTGGTTTAACAAGAAAGGTAGGTGTTTCAACAACATCACCATTAGCGGTAATGGACGCAAAGTGAAGGCCATGGTGGTGGATGAGTGTGACTCCACGAAAGGTTGCGATGAAGCCCATGATTATCAACCTCCATGTAATAACAACATTGTTGATGCTTCGAAGGCTGTCTGGGAAGCCTTGGGTGTGCCTAGTGATGACCAAGGTGGTCTAGATATTACCTGGTCTGATGCTTAATTGATTCAAGCCACCGGTTTTAGTTTTTTAACAAATTGTCTTTTGATTTTACACATCATGTCTTTCTTGTGGGTAGCCCTACTGGAAATTCATAGATAACAAATAATGTGTTCAATGGTTGTTGATTGCAATTCAATGGTTATGTCCGCATAACCACAGAATTTATTCAGCTCGAAGTCAAAAAGGCCTTTCTTCACGAAGGGTCGATTTCTGAGCCGTTCGTTCTCTCCTCTCCGTTGGCCTATGCTGTTTTGTGTCTATATATTTATATGCCCTTTCATGTTTCTCTTGACTTTTGTGGCTTTTCTTAGCCTCTCTGGCTTTTTGGCTTTTGCCATCTTATTAATAAAACTGCTCGTCCAGTATTAACCAAAAAAGGGGCAAACAATTGGTTATGTCGCTTATATAATGTCGCTCTGTGACCCCAACCTACAAATCATTTAAAAAAAAAAAAATTGAAAGATTATAATCAGAACAAGGCAGCATTTCAATTTCTGCGGAAAAATTGGCGGAAGGATAAAAAAGCAATCTGCTGATTTGTACAGGAAAATGGCATGCTTGGCCAATAACTACAGAAAGATTGACTTCACCGAGATAATGAAGAATCACCAAGCCTCACTGCCTAAGTGCCCTGTAGGACAGAAAAAAGATTTTACCTCCAGACAAAACAGACTAATTGAAATCACGAGAACTAAAATTTGGAACTACATTGTCATTAAGCTACAAGAGATAAGTTCAACCCATGGTAAATCATAAGTAAATGAAGCGAGAAATGTCAAGAGCAGAATCAGCTGCCTTCAATCTTCATCATTGGACTTCAGAAGATTATATTCAAGCTGTACTGAAACAGCAAAGTATATAAATTGATAATCAACAGAAAATATTTATCCACGCATCAGATCAATGTCAACATGGGTGTTACGCACATCAACTGGCCGTGAACCTGGCCATACACCCATAGAAGAGGTTGGAGTAAGATTTTGACTTGGAAGATTTTGACTTGGTTGAACACTAGTTGGAGTTACTGGATTCTCAACTGTCTGATGGTCCGAGTCTCTGGCTCCTCCTTGACCTTCCATTTTCTTGTTCTTTGACTTCGAACCACCCCACAAGAAACTTCCGACTATCACCTGGAGTCGCATCAAATAAGTTAAGCATTTTACAACATGCAGAAATCATGCCTGATTTTATCATGGGTTCACAGTATGACCTTAATGCCTAACTACCAAGCACAAAGCAAAAGGAACTCGTGTTTTGCAAAGAGAGGACTATTGGTTCTGAACAGGCAATTATAGAGAAACATTCCCTGCCTCGTTCTACAATGGATAGTCAACTTATATTGAACAACTGAAATTTCATTAACAAAGTAGATAATCTACTTCTGCACAGCTATTAAATGCCTGTTGATAAAACTTTCACATGGCATTAAATCCATTTAATAATCTCACCATGGAGAAGTTTTATGAGCAATAGAAGGATTGCAGTTCTCAGTGCAAAGCACATATACTAGAGAGCCAGAATGAGAAAAAAGTTACCTGAACAGGACTTGCTGCAATAAGCACTCCACCAACTCCTCCACCGATAACACGACCATCAGGACTAGCAAGGGAGACACTCAAACCACCAGATCGATTGCGAGAGCCACCATCGTTAGTGAGCAAGTAAGATCCTGATAAACATAAGATCTCAAAGCGTCCCTACCGAAACAAACAAAAAGGGATTCAGCTGATAAGATACACAAAAGATAGAGAAAGAGAAAAGTCAGATATCTCAAAGCAAAGGCCTAAAATCAGGGTGACAGTTCTGCGCGTCTAGTTGAGTAGTTAATAGATCAGAGTTTTATTGGAAAAACAAAGGAATATTTGTGTCGATCTATATCCTCGTCTGTATACAGTGGATTTGGGGGGAGTGGGAATGATCCATTGATCACTTAATGCCAGAATGGTCTCAAAAATTAACTATATAAAAAAAAAAATGTATCCAGCTATCATAGAGACTAAATCCTCTCAACCAACAAAGACTTGTGCAGAGTGAGCATTTAACAAGTTTTTGAAGCACAACTACTTCACATGGCAAGTTTGGTCTAATCAAATTAACATTTCCTAAATTTGAATAACTCCCTATATCAGTCTTGGAGAAAAGAGGATTCAGTAGTGCCCAAAGCATATGCTTCAGACACTATAAGTGTCAATTAGGATAACACCTTTAGTCACAGCTCCTGAGGATGTGAACATATTCCTGAAGCACGGCATCCAGGCATAAAGTTCACACATCTAAACATTTTTATTTCAACAAATATACCCTCCACTAATAACTGGAATAACCCCAACAATATAAACAAATCCATAACTGCCACATAAACCCAACAAAAAAAGATCAAGAACTCAGACCTCATATGTGACCGTGCCGCCAGAGGTTGCTGGCTGACGTAGAGTCACCGTAGAAACGGCACCATTTGCTGACAAGATGCATATAGCTCTTGGACCCTGCTGTGAGAATGACATTATTTTTGTTGCAATGTCCTGCAGAAGAAGTTGGCACTTTCAATAGGAAAGAAACAAATGCCAATGGAACCAAAATACCAAAGGATGCTAAATAAGCAAACACACCGGGCTAAGATAAACAGCAAATCAAGTGTTATTGTTTTCTTTTGCCCATTTGGAGATTGTTCTTGGGTGCATATACCATGTTGCATCAGAGAAAGACTAAATGATATAGACACCAATCATCAGAGAAAGATAAAATGATATCACACCAGCCAAGAGTAGATTCTTTTTTCTCTTTTTTTCCCTCTATATTTTCAAATTTAGTTGCACATCAATGCCATCTATGTATTCCTGCTTCATCCTTCTCAATTCCCTTTCAGAATACAATAAATACGCAACTGTAGCTTAATCAGAATGCTAGAAGCGTACTATTTACTAGGAAGATTTTATAACACCAGCCAATATGTTGCATTAATCCTGCTCCATCCAACCAAATCATAGGTTGACCAGAATAATTAAAGAGGGAACAGCATTTTTCTATAGCTTTTGGTCCTTTCCAAATAAATTTACAGTGTAGACAAAAACAAACAGATTATTAAAGAAGAAAAGGCATACTTCTCCTACTGCAATGGTGATGATATGAGGAGTAAAACCCATCCCAGCCGAACCAGACAGCCACTCACCTTGCAAAACAATTACAGTTTGCATCATTCGGATAACAACAAGGACAAGAGCAGAAAACAAACTTAAGTTCAAATTATAGATATCGGAAAAATCCACCAATACCCAACTCATTTTAATTTTTAATAGGATCAGAAACTTAGATAGATAACAGGTGAAAGGGATATGAAATTATCCAACAATTAAACAACTTCAGATACCTATACCAAAAAAATACATAAATAATGATGTACAAGCATATAGATACAGGTATTTTTTTAATATATTTATGGTAATTTATGTACAAACACACATGCATATAGCAACATAGGTACATGTGGAATTTTTAGCACCTTCAAACATTATAAATTAGATCATAATTTTGCAATCCAGTAGCTTCATTAACTGCTCTATGGCTTCTAATTGATTGAAGCTCATTTATATTAATGGTTTACTTGGAGACTTGTTTATTGACTTAACCTGTGTTATCTGCTTCTAATGTGCTTTACAGTTGACTGAAGGTTGCATTACTAACTAATCATTTCTTCTTCTTTTTCTTTTTTCTTTTTTCTTTTTCCTTTCTTTCTTTCTTTTTTCCCTTTCTTTTTGTTTTTGACTACTAAGTTACCAACCCATCAATTTTAAGTTAAAATTAACCAGTTTTGGTCTCCGTTTGGCCCTATTTGATCTAGCTTGGAATGTCACTGAATGCATCTGACAGTTTTAAGTTCTACTCGTGCAATTTCACCTCTACGTATCTGAAAGGGTAGAATTCAAGATTTTGTGCATTTCCTGGCATGTTTTAATTGCAATGACGGAATCTTCTCCTTGGGTAAATACCTATGATTCATCTCCGAAGTATGTTAAGCAATTTGTTCAACTATTTTAAACTACAAAACAGATCATTCACAATACAGAAGATGCATTATGATGCTTAAGAAAATTTTAATTAAAGCATGTCAACATGATCCCTTACACAAGGCACTAACCTTTTTGGTAAAATTCAGCTATAGTTCATCAATTCATCTAATTCCATATAAATAAAACACAAAGAGCAACTTTTCCAAAGAAATCTTACCAAGGGAAGCTAATTGTTGCTTCCTCCCAGTCCCTGGCGGCCGCCCTCTACCCCGCTTCTGGGATGGGGTTATCGTACCGGGATGAGTAGACAATGAGGGAGACAATGCCAATGATACAGCCCCATCAGGTCCGTATTTCCGGGGCCTTCCCCTTTTCCTTTTCACAGGCTCACTGGATGGTGGCAGTGAAGATGGTGCACCCACATTGACACCATGAGGTGAAATTGCTACTGGATGCTCCGTTGGTAATGTCAATCCCATGGTATTGGCTCCAATATTTGGTTGAAATGGTACATTTGTGTTGGGTAAAGTATTGATGCCAGATGAAACATTTAGACTAGGTTGTGTACCAGAACCAGTTATCCCTCTCTGCATATAAAATGAGGCAGAGCCCGAAATCGACATAGCATCCCTTCGATCCATGCATTTACTACTTACTAGTCTCGCTCTCAAGAAAATGGAACCTAATTTTCAATTATTTGCAAATAGATTTCTCCTATCTTCTCTGAAGCTTAGTCTAGTGCACGAATTTGAAACAATGCGAACTCTTCGAGACACCTTAGTGTGAACAGTAAATAAGGGAACTTTTCTACAGGGTATCCCTCAAAATCGTGAGGCAAATGATGGGCACAAGTAGTAAAAAAAGGGCTGGATTATACAGCTCACATTCAAAACAAGAAAAATGTACTTCAATTCAGGCTGGGCAAAATTCCTAAAGAAACATTGAGAACCTTAAAAACCAGAAAGTCAAAAGTCAAGTTCTTTAAATCCAGGAATGCAGAAAAAGCAAAAAAAAAAAAGAACTCCTAGGTTCAAAGGAACTTAAAAAAAGGAAGAGCTTGTAAAACAGCAAAACTAAATAAATAAAACAGATAAATAGATGCAAGTGACTAAGGCAAAAGATAAGAATCTTATGCAACAAGAAGAAGAAGAAAAAATTGAAATCTGAAAATCTAGGAACTTGAAAGAAAAGATAAGACAAAAATGCTAGCTGATTTTTACAGCTTACCACACCAAACAACAAGAAATAAAAGGCTTCATTTTGAAGGTAAAGAACTGAAACAGGTTCACAATCTCACCAACCCATTACTCAAAAAAACCTTACAGATCAAGATATCTTCTAAACCCGAACCCTCAAAACCAGCACAAGATTTGCCTCAAGTCAATGCCGCTGTCTAAACAACTCAAACCCCAGAATTTGAAAACGCAAAGACAACCCTTTTCTCTCTCGGGCCAAAAGTTGAAAACTAACACAGACAAGAGTAATAACTCAAAATAATGATCAGGATTAAAAGTCGAACACTTTTCAACAGGAAAGTTTTCAAAAAAAGCATATGAGGAGACAAATTAAAGGTCGAACAGTTTTGCTCAGGACTGAGAAATGTACAGAGAAGAAAGAAGAGCATGAGCGTACTGCTTGCCCTCTTCGTCACGAGTCCTTATCAGAATGCATATTTCCATGGTACACCTTTCTCTCTCTATCTCTTCTAAGTTCTAATAAATAAAAAAAGCTTTATCTTAAAAGAGAGGAAAAAAAAGATTTATCTATATCTGTATCTCTCTCTCTTTCTTTTGCTGAGTGATGATGATATGCTTTACTGGTTTTAAGAGAGTTAGAGAAACAAACAAAAACTTGAACAGAAAAAAAAGTGTTAATCTTGGATAATACTGAATATCTTCTCTTTCAAAATTATAAATACTTCTGGCTCTGCATCTGTATCCATTGATATGCCAAAACTTTCTCCTCCAATCCGCAGTCCTTGGTGCGTGAGACACCAATACCCACTTTTGTTTTTTTTTTTCGTTTTCCTGAAAAAAAATGCACGAATGCACCTCTTTTAAGAGTAAATTATAAATTAGTCTCTTTAGTTTTAAAAAAGAATTAATTTATTTTTTCAATTTTAAAAACTTGTCATTTATTTTTTTTAATTTTATGTTTTTTTATTTTTTAATAAAAAATAAATAAATATTATGAAAATATTCATGAGAGAATAATATATTTTTTAAAATAACATAATGTTAAGTTAAATAAAATCAATACTAGTCAAAAAATTAAATAATTATTTTTTAAAATAAAAATTAATTAATTAATTTTTCAAAACTCAAAAAACCAATTTATAATTTGCTCAATTGTATGCATAAATTTGACTTTGGAGAAGTAGTTGGAATTTGTATAGAATCACAAAACAATTTTCCTTCTAAAACAACATTTAATCTAATTTGGACTCTACTTTATGTGTTCTTAATCCAAATTAATTTTTATTTTAAGTAATAAAAGATGTACACAAAATTAGAAATTGGATAAATGAAAAGATCTAAGGTTGGTTGAAATCCAAGAATTTCCATTGAGTAGGTTGTCTTGGAATGTTTTGGTTTGAATTTCAAAAGTAAAATTATCTTAAATGGAGAGGTATAATTAGGCTTTAAAATAGGATAGTATTAGTTGTGCATTATTTATTCATAAATGAAATAAAACATACCATAATATATAGTTATTCAAAAATCTCATTTTTTACATCACTGAAAAAACATGACATTGGAAATACTTAAAAATACAATAATTGATATTTTTTAAAATATATTATATAAAATAAGCCTTTTAAATTAAAGATGCATGCATATAAATAATTTTGTCAAGATTTAAAAATGTCATGTATTCTTTATGCATAAATCCTATTCTGTGCGATAAAACCTCATACATTCATAACGCATATGCCGCTTTTGTATTACTAAGAGAATCAACAGGTCTTACTAAATTTATATCTATGAATTTTAATTTAAAAAGCTTTTTCCTTGCAAGATGTCAAAGATCGGCTGCGGAGGTGTGTGTGTGTGTACGCGCCACTGAATCTCGTAGAGTGCCTGACCTGAGAGAGATGGGTTTGGGCCCAGAAGAAAGAGCGTAAACTTTGTCTGCACGTGACTTTTCTCTGTTCCCACTTGCCCTGTGGTCCCCACCATCCATCCAAAATATCCTTAGTGTACTGATAAGACCACCCAACATAGCACATAGCTAATCCACAGTCACCCATAAGGTAATTAAAAACTAAACTAATCTAATCTAATTCGATTTAATTAACAGCAAATATGATTTCACTGGTTCTTGCAGTTACTGGTATTTTTTCATTAGATCGAAAAAATAAAAAAAGGAAGTATCTAGAATTTTTACGGGACATGTTAAAATTTGATGGTTGAAGAAACTGGTTAGAATATAGTTTGAATCCAATAATTAATTACTGTTTGATCGCCAACAATTTAATTAAAAAAAAAAACTATCTAAACTCTGAACCATCGACCCAACTTATTATAGGGATGATTTATTTGTGTTCCTTAATTAAATTACAGAATGTGAAATTTTGAAAATTAAAAAATGGGATTTCAGATAAAAATAGGGTGCAACGTGGATGACATACAATAATTTTTAAAATTAAAAAATGGGATTTTTAACGAGAACAGTTTTCGACCAAATTCTCCTAGTTTTCCTAAATAATGTTTTTTTTTCCAGTTCAAAAAATAATAATAATTTGTTAACCGGCGAAGGTTGACTTGATTAGAGATGCGATTATTATAGAGTTTCCAGATTATTATAATAATACTTACCAGATTACTATAACATTCCTAGAATGGAAACGAAAGAAAGCTGATATTATATTATATATTGTATTAAACTCCTAGATTGTTGCATGAGGTTGCAAGATTTATTCTCTGGGCCAGACAAGGAATCAAGAACATCATAAGAGGATTGGAGCTTGGAATCCTCTAAGGCAATTTTTTATTCGTTGGTACTTGACAAAGAAGCCGAGCAAAGCCAACGCTATCTTGGTCAGATAAACCTGATACGAGTATCAGATTATTGACAGCTTCGGCACCTACTGTGGAGAATTCATGTCATTTTCAATTTTTTAAATGCCAACTTATCAAATAAATAAAACTATTTAATGTTAGAGATAATAATAATAATAAATTATAGAAATATCAGTCACGTTGTCACAGACTATTAGAGAGCCCCTTTTTTTTTAATAGAACATAACATTTACATAGAAATCGAAGCTTCTGTAAAATCACGTGCTTCGTATTATGGAATTTTTTTCTTCCATAAAATAGGATTTATTTGGAGCAGTGAAAATATACTGGTCTGTAGAGAAGTAAATGGTTTTTATTTATTTATTTAGTTAGGCCATATGAAATTGCAAAGTGAGGAACCACGACACTGTAATTATGGAATGATAACATGCTGAATGATTTTAACAGATGCGCATAGTAATTATCTCATATTAAAATAATAATAATCATAAAAATAGGTGTTTATATATAAAATAAATTCATGATTTAATAGTTTAGATTTTCAAATTCCAGATTGATCGGTCAAGGAAAAAAAAAACTTGACAAGGAGATTGTGAATATTAAATAATTGTGGTTTTACTAGTTACATCACATGACCCTTTTGAACAAATTATTTTTCATCATCAAAACCAATGCTTTTGTTGATGTTGACGTCACATAAATGGAAAAGTTATGACCCCTCCGTATGCTTCCAACTTCGAACGAATTAGGATTGCAAAGAGCTACCAGTAGTGAGTGAGTTTCTGGTGGTCTCTGGCCTACCAAGATGGGTGTTTTATATCAGTGTTGAATTAGACCTTTTCTCTCAAGATCTAAAGACAGCGCTTAATTAGCTAATTGATTATGATCACTTCCATACTTACATTAGAATACACTCTTGGATTATCCTAAATTCAAAAAAAGAAGAAAAAGGAGGGGGAAGTTACGAGGGGATTGATGACCGGAACTAGAGTCTCTTGTGATCTCTGATTGTTTATGTTGTGCCGACATATTTTTTTAAGAACCGGTAAATATTTTGGCTTGCGAAAAGGAATTGTGATAAGAAATGTTAAGAGTTCTTTGGATTCTTGCTACAGTTAAGCGATCCTCTTCCACGTATTTTTCCTACTTGCCAAGCATTGATTGAACTATCATTGGCCTTTTGGTACTGATGAGTATTGTTGACCTTTCGTTTTAAGACTGAAGTACAAGATGATGAGATAATTATCACCATCAAATTCCTGAAACACAGGTTACATTAAAAGAGATTTATGTATGCTTGATTTGTCAAAATAATAATAATTATTATTATAATATATTAATTTATGATTTTTTTTGTTGATGTTTTAGTATGGGTTCAAATTCTATAATAAATTGATTGGATTGATAATGAATTTGGTCTGATACAAGGTTTTGATTGAATAAGAAAATATACGGATATTCTAATAAAATTACTATCCATTGTTCATTTTTGAAATGCATTTAAAAAAATTAGTTTAATGAGCTTGAAATAGAACATATTAAATGAAGGTCCAATTATTATTTATTTTAGTATTTACTAGTAAATTGAAGTAGTTTAATTTTTGTTTAAAAAAATTATTTTGAATCTATTTCTTTTTATATGATTTAAATTCTACCTTGATAATATGATATAATACTAATGGTCAATAGTCATCTTATTTTCACTAAAAATATTAACTTTATTTCAATTATGAGAAATTTATAATTTTTGCACTTTTTTTTTTAGTGAATTCTCTGTTAATTTTCTTCGATTTTGACAGAACAAAATAACTTTCAAAACTCTATAGATTTGAATTTTAATCACTCATCCACCTACCATTTGACTTGTTACTTGAATACTAAACAACTCGTCACATGTTTTTTTTATTAATAGTATTATTTGTTTTTTCTTCCACACCTAACTATTTGTATCTTTTATTTATGATCCTAACTCGTGATACTTTAATTAATTTATTGATAAGTAATTGACTTATTTTAAAGAATCACGTACAGGATTCAATGAAAATTTTAGCTGAAATATTAAGATGGTGGAAATTGACCGACGACCAAGACTTCCACCAGCAGAATTCACCCTACAAGTACAAAAAGCCAAGAGTTACGTAGCTATTCTTACGTAGGCCACTAAGCCAAGCATCCAGAGACATAGTGATAGAGTATTTTTTATATAATCAAATTTATATTGATTATTTTACTAAAATTAAATGTTATAAATATAAAGTGTATTGATTTCTTCGAACCATGACAATTATTAAATAAAATAAAATAAAAATTCAGGTCATAAAGCTGATTTTAATTTTTAACGTTACAATACTAATTAAAAAAGGTTATCTTGAACAAATAATTTTGAATTACATCATATGGGTAAAACTTCCAAATGTTATAAGCATTTAATTTTGAAAAAAAATAAAAACAACTTTACATGCCGTCGGACTTTTTAACTGTTTGTTACAACAACAGGTCATATTCTTTAAAGCCCTATACTTTACTATGCTTATATATAACATTGTTTTCTTGACAAAATAAAAATAAAAATAAAAAAATAGCAGCACATACATACATTATTTTTAAAATTTTCATTTTTTTATATTCCAACCATACGATTTCATTTTAATTTTTTTTTTATACAATTGGCATATGAGTGGTCCTATATTATTTGATTTAGTGCAAACTCTTAAAAAATAATATGAGTTTGTTAATTACATCTTTAAGAAGAGAAGACGTGTAATATACATTTTATTTGTTATTATCATAATTTTTATAAATATTACAAATCATTTCGAAAAAGCAATGACCAGCCTATTTGCAAATAATTGTCATGCATGAAAATTGAAACCAGGGCAATAGGAAGATGTAAAAGATTTGACAAATGAACGAACTTTCAAACCTAGTGGATTTACAATCACTAAAAAGAGAAGGCCAATAGATTAGAATTGAAGTTGATTATTACTGTAATAAAAGGGACATTATTGAACGAGAAAAAGGAAAAATGCCTTTCCATTGACATCCATTCTCCTGAAGTGGAGAGGGAATACGAGGAAATAAAAAAGGAGAGAAGGATGTTGGAGTTGAAAAGCAAAGATTATGTTGGTTGGTGGATCAACCCTCAACCTATATTTGTTGAAGTGTAACTGTGTTTCTAGGAACAAAACAAGTGTTGCTTTGACTACGAAACTCCATTTGTTTCTTTGTCTAGCATCCATGCCCTTTTTCCCTTTCGTAAAATAAGCTGTGAAGTCACTGTTTGAACTATCAACAATTGTTAAATACTGCTTACATCAATATTAAAATAAGGGATTTTTGGTGGGTCTGCTTTTTAAGAGGAAAAAACATCAAATATTGATTGATAAAGTAAAAACAAATATGAATTAGACAGAGAAAAACTAGATTTTTATTTGAATTTCTTCTTCTTCTTCTTTAATCTGAAATCAGAAAAGAATCATATCTTCTTCTCAAAAAATATCAAAGAAAAGAAACTTCATGTTTCTCATGTGGATAAGGAATGTCGTTTATTAGAGTTTCGCGTTCTGACATATAATATCCCCGCTATCAGATCTACCAATTGAATAAATGTAAACCACAGGATTATATCGTTGTTTTGAAGTCCCATGAAAATGACCACCACAAATACGAAAGCGATTGTTTTGGTTACAAACACAAAGGAATCTTCCTTCTTTTTTCTTTTTTTTTCTCGTTTTCCCAAGAGTGCGGTTTGATCTGTAAACTTTATAGGCTGGCCCGGCCCAGTCATGGGCTTGCCCCTTCTTTTATGGTTGAAGTACCCGTGAGAGTTACGGTGCATGCCCCACCAGTGACAGTTAATAGTAAAAATGGTACTTGGATTGTTCTTTTTTCTATCAAAAAACAGGCTCATTATCAATTCAATCATCACGCAGTTCCTGCACAATGTCAAGTTGTCTATACCCAAAAAAGTCAGGGCGGAGTTGATGGGCCAAGGGTTCCAAATTTCCCAGATAAGCAGAAAGGCACGCATGCTCTATTTTTCAAGAGGCATGCTTGAACAGAAAGACCTCATGCACCGTACAATATTCCAAGGATTTGCTAGAACCAAACAAAAAAGCCCCGACTGTGCTTTCTTTTTTCTTCTGGTCCGCTGGAGGCCGACCCATGCCTTGTACTATCCTAAGTACATTCTCACATGCACAAGAGCCCCCAGGGGCTCGAACTAGGGCGGCCTTCTAAAGAGGCAGGGTCATCATGCCAGCCAGCCCCATGCCGAGGCCTGCCGCTGCTTCGTTTACCCCTCCTAATTTCCATTCAGAACAATTTAAACTCAATGACTCGAGGTCTTGATGAGGTGGAGAAGAAGCAGAGCTGCTTAGATAATCATCACAACTACACCAATCAGCATGACTTTTATGAGCCATGCAAAACTCATAAGCTCATTGCAAAAAGGGAATAAAATTCTATAACACTACGCAAGTCCTCTAGGATACATACGATCCTCCCTGATGATGAGATTTCCACTAAAAACGTTTCATTGAAGAAGAAACCATGAAAAACAAGTCAGTCAACAGGGACACACCCGCAGGAAAAGCATAAGCACATTTGGATTTCTACCAACAGAAACTCCCAATTATTTGCTGCATAAACTGTGGTTGTAGCAGCCAAAACTGATGTCACTTCCCTTAAGATTTATTAGGCTTTCAAACTTTGTTAGCCAGTTACGAGACTCAGATTAGCATAATTAACCAATTTACCAGAAGTCAGTGCAAACCATCTCACAGAACTCATACCAATTCTTGTTAGCTGTATCTCGCATCACAGCAAAACTTCTGACAGAAACTCTTGCTACAAAAAAGAATCTGTACTTAGCTTCCATGACTGACTTTGTACGTTAAAAAAAAAAAAAAATCCTTAAAAGTTTTCATAAAATCTTAGTGAACCTCATTTAGTTGAGGCAGGGGCTTGAAACAGACTCTTGAAAAATGATGATTAAAACAATATCACGATTCACAGCAAAAGTCTGACAAACTCTTGCTACAAAGACAAATTTATATTTAGCTTACATGATTGACTTTGCACATGGGAAAATCCTTAAAAGTTTACATAAAATCTTAGGCCACCTTGTTTAGCTGAGGCAGAGGATTGACACAGACTCCTATGAAAAAGAATGATTAAAACAATATCATTTTAATTCCAATGACAGGTTATGGAAAACCAATGATAGCAACAATGCACAATATAAATCTGGTTCTACCTTAAAACTCCAAGAAGTGAAGACCACTCTTTATATGTCAGCACAATACTACAGCTAAGAAATTAATTCAATCAAATTCCCTAAAACCCTCAGATCCTGTACTATAAGGATTACTCACTGGCATACAAACACAAAGATCAGAAACAATCTAATAACTGAATCCACCCATCTCAAAATCTAATTCTAAAGTCAAACATTTCGTTCAATAGGTTGGTAGCATATTATCCCTCCTCTTAAAGCATAATATCATAGGCGACTGGCAAGGAAATCATTTAAACATTTTCACTTCATAACATACTTCCTTCCTATTGCTCAACACCCTCTCCACTATGGTGCAGTTACCCCAATCACTTCCACAATCACAACCGCATAACAACATTGTATTGGGAAAAATCCAAAATTTCCCAGATCAACACACTTGCTTATCTTCGAGAAGCAAATTTATCAAAACAAACAGAGATGTCGTAAAAATAACACTAAACATAAAGTTACCTCTCTGAATTACAAAAAACGAAAAGCTGCAATTCAGCACCAATATGCTACTACAACTCCTCAGCATTCAAAAAAAAAAAAAAAAAAAAGGCATAAACTTGAACCTCAATTATCAAGCTCCATTGCTTGATCAGCTTTAGCTTTCGCCAATGCGCTCAATTTGGTCTTCACCTTTCTCTTCCCTACTTGAAACCCACTTCCACCTTTCTTCTTTTTCTTGTCTTTACCATCAACCTATACACAATAATATCCCAAAAAAAAAAACAAAAAAACCTTAATTCCAATTCAAATACGTAATTAAGCATTCAAGTATGGGATTTTTGTGTAGAAATAAAAATTAGAAAATAAATTTAAAACAGAAAGAAATAAATAGAAACATAAGCTCACTTTCATCTTGTTTTTCTTGGCTTGAAGCTTCTTCTGTTGCTTTTCTTTCTGTTCTTTCTCACCTAATATTACCAAACAAAAATCAATAAGTTTAAAATTATATAAATTGAGAGATTAAGAGAATGGAAACTGAAATTTACGTTTAAGCTCGAATTCGTGTTGTCTCTTTCTACGAGCTAAATCGTTCTTCTTCGACATTTTCTACGGATCACCAAGGGAAAGATTGGCGTTTTAATTTCAGGTGAGCTTAAACCCTAACCCTAGACCTCGGAAGGTTTTGATTTTAATCGGCGAAAGGAAAGTTTATTATATTTCACAGTTAGTCCTCTGTGTTTAATATGGTTATATTTCTATCACCTTACGCTTTATTTATTTCGATTTTTGGTCCCCAACCGACTTCCATCTCTTTTGCAAACCGAACAAATCGAACCGATTTCTTTGTTGGTGAAATTAAGTCGAACCGATCAGACCCCGCAAGTTTTTTTCTTCTTTTAGCTGTATCACATAGTAAGGAGGCATGATGGGCTTTGGACCACCATTATTCCCCACTTTATAGGATGGATAAATATAAATATAACTAATGAATTTTAACAAATTTTATATAAATAGATAAAAGAAATAAATGATTTAAAAATTATATAATATTACGATTCTTGTTATTGCATTTATTTGTATAAAATTAGTTTTTTTTTAGGGATAGGTTGATCATTTTTTATTCTCGATTGAATTTGAAGGACTCAAACTTTGTTCATAAGCTCATAGCTCCGTGTAAGTTTAAAGATTTGGTCTGGATGATAAAAAAATCCATTTAGTTTCAACATTTTGGACGGTCTAACTTCAAAGCAAGTGGGAATGGGTCTTGAGTCCCCGGTTTTCAGGTCAGCCTGTGGGGTTTGACTGCTATGGTCATTAACTCCTTCCTACGACCATCTCTCGTGTCCTTGAGGAGAAACAGGTGTTAAAAGGTGGAGTTAAAGAAGTGAAAACGGCGCCGTTAGCCTAACATATCATAATTAAGGTGGCAAAATTGAAATGATTACGGCGGGAGGGAGCAAGAGAAATGATGGCATGTTTTCTTTTGGACCTCTTGAAACTGTTCCATTCTGTGAACAAAGACCAGTTCTTTCCAGTCCAATCTCAAAAAAGTCACAAAACCAGCTATGCAAAAACTAATTATTTTGTTCCAACAATAATAGTCACTTGTCTGCTACATAAAAAATAAAAATATTTATTAAAATAAGATGCAAGATTCTATCCCTGTCGGTCATAATTGACTTATTTTTTTAGTTACTCGTACAAATAACCACCTTATTTTCATACCACATTATATGAATGTGATGCGATATAATCTGATCTTGGTTTCCAAATCAGCATTCTTGAATTTTGATCTTTCTTTTGGTGTTTCATCAAATCTTTAGCCCATTTGATCTTGTTTCTATCAAACCCCCTTTTTTTTTTTAAATTTGGGTTTATTAATTTATTTCTTTGCTAGAAATCTTGAATATTTGAGATTTGATTTGTAACTAAAAGGAAAAAAAGGTGTGTGAATATATACATATATATAATTTGCGTGGCTGTTGAGTTTTTGCAGTTATATAGAGCTTTAGTGGGTTCAGTTGGGGTGACTGGAATTGAAAAGTTTGAATCTTTTTGTGCTATTTTTTTATTAGATTTTTTAAGTTTGGTTATTTTATGACCTGTGTTTAGTTTCAGCTACTGGGTAATGTATAGGATTTGTTAAGGTTTGGTTTTGAGGAAGATATCTAGAGAACTGGTGAGGTTTTGACTATATTTGTGATAAGCTTTGATTTGTGATTATTGATAGATGGGGAGTCAGTGCACTAAACTTACGCCTTGTTGCATAGATTCACAGTTCAAGGCAACTGTTGTTGAAGTTCCCAATGTTGGTGGGTCAAAAAATTGGTTTTTCTTTTTTCTCTTTCGGAAAAAGAAAGTCTATTTTTTGATGGGTCATAACTGTTATTGATTGGCTTTTGTTTTGTTCCAGGGAATGAAGAAAAGAGTGAGGTTAATGACTTGCCTACATTCCGCGAATTCACATTTGAGCAACTGAAAAATGCAACATCTGGTTTTGCAGTAGAAAATATTGTGTCTGAACATGGGGAGAAGGCTCCTAATATTGTTTATAAAGGGAAGTTGGAAAATCAGAGAAGGGTTGCTGTTAAGCGATTCAATAGAATGGCTTGGCCTGATGCTCGACAATTTTTGGTCCGTTATTCTATGCCATCTTCTTGGATTCTATGTTTGCAGTTTTGATTTCAATATGTAGCGTGCCTTTTTGAAAACATCAACAACTCGGCATCGAATCTGTCTATACACAACTTCATTCGAGCAGGTGTTACAGATTTATGTTGTCTGGTGTTCATTGTCAGTGTTTGTTTTTCATTTAGTCTAGTATCGTGGTATACTAAAGGGCATGGACTGCCTTCAACGAATTAGTATGACTAGGATCGACCCTTTCCCTTCATTAACATCCTTTGTTAGCAATAAGCCAACGTCTGGCATTTCTTTGTTCAATTTGAGGTCATGTATCCATGAAACAAGTCTTGTATATCTGATGAATGCCAAAATCTGTTTATGTATTCTCGTTGAGTTCATAAAGACCTGTTTGAAGAAATACCTTGGTTTGAGTTTATCGTGGTCATAACTTGAAGATAATCTTGTGTTACAATAATAGGAGGAAGCAAGATCTGTTGGCCAGCTACGGAATCATAGATTGGTAAATTTGCTTGGTTGCTGTTGTGAAGGTGATGAGAGGCTGCTTGTAGCAGAATTTATGCCCAATGAGACACTTGCAAAACATCTTTTCCATTGTAAGGCTTATCTCTCATGCATGGACAAGGATTCTTGCTACAATTTTGGTTGCATATTTGAAATCATATTTTTGGGCATTTGATTGTATTCTGCATCGTAGGTATGGTATAACTGCACCAATTTTGTTAGTACTGTAAAGTTGCATGACTGTCTTTCTCAAAGTTTGATTATAGGGGATATAAGCAATTCAATTCTCTCTTGAATCAGGGGACACACAACCTATAAAATGGGCGATGAGATTAAGAGTTGTTCTACATCTTGCAGAAGCTCTAGAATACTGCACGAGTAAAGGGCGTGCCCTTTACCATGACCTTAATGCCTATAGAATTTTGTTTGATGAGGTAGGTACTTCTCTTTCTCATTTCTCTGAAAGCATTTCCTAGTTGGATTCTATCTGCATTCTTTCGTTTATATGTCAGAATTATGCAGGATGGTAATCCAAAACTATCGAGCTTTGGCCTCATGAAAAACAGTAGGGATGGAAAAAGTTATAGCACGAATTTGGCTTTTACTCCTCCAGAGTATTTAAGAACTGGTATGTGATTCTTGTTAACAATACCTTATTTTAGCTGCTTTGGTTTTGTGATTTTCTGAAATCAAAATCAGGGGATCTATGCGCTTCTGATGGATTTATGTAATTAAATCTAATGGTGAGACCACTTTACATTTCCACCTGTGAAGGGCCTTGCTGACTGGCCTGCTTTAGGTTTGATATATCTAGATTCTCGAAGCACCACAAATCATTAGTTCCCATATTCTTTGTTTGGAATGTTCGATGTGTTCATGCTGAAATTTTTTTGATGCATCACATGACTATTCTTCTGATCTGCCCCAAAAAGGTTTCAGAATTTAGATCCACATATTGACACTCATATAATACTATCCAAGATAATGCAGTTTATTATAATTTTGGGAGATGTGCGATCTCTTTATCATTTCCTTGCCGGATGTTCTTTTCTTGCAGTGTATGGAGGATGATGAGATTTTGGTTACATCTATTAACTCTACCTGCAATCCCGAAATAGAGAATTTTGGCTAAATTGTAGTACTTGTCTGCATAATTTCTTGTAGTGGTGCTAATTTTAAGTCATCATGCATGATATCCTGCAATGGGTTGGGCATTAATATTATTTGCTCTTGGAATATAAGTTAATCCAAGACTTTGCTTATGTTCCTTGTCTTTGTTTCAGGGAGAGTAACACCAGAAAGTGTAATATATAGCTTTGGTACTCTTTTGCTTGACCTTCTCAGTGGAAAGCATATACCCCCAAGCCATGTAAGTGTTTATCACTAAAAAATAAATTTGCCATGGATCGTTGATTGACTTTCTGGATCCACCTACCAATTAATCCTCATAACAAAAAAGACTGTATTTTTGTTTCCGTGTTTACAAATACTTGTTACATAAGCTTGTGCATGTGAATCTAATACTCGAAGTAAATTGTTCCAGGCCCTTGACTTGATACGAGACAGAAATATTCAGATGTTGACTGATTCTTGCTTGGAAGGACAGTTTTCCAATGATGATGGGACTGAGTTAGTACGCTTGGCGTCTCGATGTTTACAGTATGAACTCAGAGAACGACCAAGTCTGAAATTTTTAGTCACTGCTTTGACTCCTCTTCAGAAAGAAACTGATGTATGTTTATTCATTTATCAGTCATTATTTTATACTCCTTGTCGGCTCCTTGTTTTGGCACCCGCAGATTTCCCTATGTTATATTTTCATCATGTAGACTTTTTGAGTTCAGAGCCTTCTGTTGGACGAAGATTCATTTGGAATTTTAGAGGGGAATTTTCTTTGGAATGTTTTCTAGAGAGAGAACTTGCTGTGAAATATGCAAAAATTAAAACTGGTTGTGTATGACTGTATAAATATATGAATTGAAGTTTGCATTATGTTCTTCTAGTTGATTTGTCATTACACTTATACTACTGCTTGTAACCAAACTTGAAAGTTGAAGCAAGTATTAATTAGTTTTTATTTTTCCATTTCCTTCCCTGTACAGGTTCCTTCTCATATCTTGATGGCCATCCCACATAGTGCTTCGTCCTCTCCTCTGTCACCACTTGGCGAGGCTTGCTCAAGAAGGGACCTGACAGCCATACATGAGGTCTTAGACAATATCGGCTATAAAGATGATCAAGGAGTGGCAAATGAGGTTCTCAATTTCAATTAAAGCTCTCACTTAATATATTTCAAATAGTAGATGTTTATTATAAACTGTGTACTTTTCACTCTGGGCTTCTCTGCAATTCTTGTTATACTCTCATTTCAAGCAATTCTGTACACATGTCAAGAACCCAGCTAATTGTAACTCAAAGATTTTCCTGCATTATGCTGCAGCTCTCATTCCAAATGTGGACAGACGAAATGCAGGAAACTTTGAATACAAAGAAAAAGGGTGATTCTGCTTTCAAGCAAAAGGAATTTAGAGTTGCAATTGAGTGTTACACTCAGGTTTGGTCCTCTTTTCAAAGTTGTCAGTTTTAATTCATGAATTCTGCCAGGAATTACTTTTACATTAATTTGTGCTGTTCTCGATTAATAATACAATGTCCTTATCATACCAAGCTTACTGATTTCAGATTTTCTTTTTCCACTGATTTTAATGGCAAGTCTACAAAATTTATTTGATGAAGTTCTTCTATGACTCGCAGTTCATTGATGTGGGAACCATGGTTTCCCCGACTGTTTTTGCACGGCGGAGTCTGTCCTATCTCATGAGTGACATGCCTCAGGAAGCTCTAAGTGATGCAATGCAAGCCCAAGTCATTTCCCCTGTATGGCACATCGCATCCTATCTTCAGGCTGTTGCACTTGCTACACTTGGAATGGAAAATGAAGCACATGCAGCCCTCAAGGAGGGTACAAATCTTGAAGCCGAGAGGAATGCAAACTCTGGACAAAAGTGAAATCCAAAATCCTTTCCGGTGGTTGATGAATCTCCTCAACCCAGTCTTATTGTGGTGTTCTATTTATGAAGATGACCATGTGGCATTGATTGTGGGATCTTCACTTCCATGGACATCAGGGCAGTGAAAGCTTTACTCGACTCCATATTTCTGTTAAAGAAAGCAATTCTTTTCGCTGCTGAAGTTTTTATGATGATATCTTGGAGTTGAGGTGTCTGGAAATATGTTTTTTGGTACGTTTTGGCATTTCATTCCTGTAGGTATGCAAGTTCTTTCATTCTTTGTGCGGTTTGCTCCATTATGTATGTATGATTGCAAAAATTTTCCTGCTACTTCCATTATAAACAGGATTTTTTTTTTTTTTTTTTTTTTTTTGAGGAGAAAAGAAGCCGATGAGATGGAAAAGAAAAACATTGACAAGATTGTAATCTGTGTAAAGATACATCTAGTTCCTGGCTGGCTATTTCTTGCCTAATGATGCCGATTGTTCTAGGCATTAAAATTTCAGTTTGCATTTTGTACCTTCGTAGAAAGAACTGATTTGCTAAGCATAAATATTGGAAGTTCGCATCCACTTATGGGTATTTGGCTTTGGTATTCTAAGATTTGAGACACGAGAGGTAGAAGAGAAACAAACTTTGATTTTGATCTACAGCATGGTCTCTTGAATATTAATTGGAATCCTTCGTCAATTCTTCAATTAAAGCGTTGAAACCAGAATGAGAAGACCCACCTTCTTCAACAGCTCTCGTTGCCATTTCTCCTAGCTTCCTTGCCCAGCTTCTCATTTCCTCTGCTTCTTTACCTTCCATAATACGAGTCACTGCCTTCTCTGTGGCTTCTTTCTTCACACTATCACCAACCACTGCAGCTCGCTTTTGCACAGGAACCCTTGCTCCAACAAATAAAATCTGAGTCACCAAGTTTTCATTATAAAACTGCTCCGCAGAAACAGGCCATGTTACCATTGGAACTCCAGCAATTATTCCTTAAAGTGTGGAATTCCATCCACAACGAGTCACAAATCCTCCTACTGGTTCATGTTCAAGAATCAATATTTGTGGTGCCCATCCTCTTATGATTAGGCCCATACCTTCTAATTCTCCTCTCTCATCTTTCAGGCAACCAATCTTCCTTATCTTCTTCTTAATTCTTCTTCACTACCCAAACGAATTGCACCGTTTTTAGTATATTTCTATTTTTAAAATATTTTTATTTAAAATTAATTATTATATTTTTATACAAGCTTAAAATATTATTTTTGATGTATCTTGAGTGATGTACATCCTTAGAATTATTTGTAATTTTTGAAATATTGATAACAAATATTTAAAAGTTGAATATATATATAACAACAAAATTATTTTATAAATAACTTTGTGCTTCAGATATTATGGCTCCAAAATTGTTCGTCATAAATAAAATATTCTTTTAGAATTCAAACTGTTAAAATTTTATTTTAAAATTCAAAAATATAAATTGCAAGATGTTAAAGTGAATATTAAGATTGAAAGAGATGTAATTAAACCTTGCAATCTTTTTCTTGATTTAAGAAAATCATTTTGATTTTTTTAATAAAAAAGGTTAGATGAAAAATTAAACCCTCAATATATACTATAATTATCATCTCGCATGATTTTTTGACAAAATAAATAATATCACAATAAAGACGTAAAAAATTAGAAATATTGTACTTAATTTTTAAAATTATCAATTCAAAATGGCAATTAAAAAAATTAAATTTTATTATTTTTGCACAAGTTTTTCGTTAGAGAAATTAGTAAGCTTTTTTTTTTTGGCTCCCTCAACTATAACAGAAAAGAACTATTTTCCTACTCTCGTTTTTTTTTTTTTTTTTAACTCAAGTGTAACAATTGAATATTCTATTGAAATTAAAATACCAAAATCCTATCAAATATTTGTTAAGTAGTTGTTAATGAATTAAAAAGCACAGGATACGAAAATATTTCGTTTAATAATTTATAGTAAAAGAAAAGTTCTCATTTTTACAATTTTTTTCTCTTCTATTTATACCACTAAATTTTTTGCCAACAACTAAACCAAGTACCACCCAAATAAATAAAAATAGGTTTTGGTTTTGAAAGCGGACCGCAGCAGACTCAGGCCCGTTTTCTTGCAAGTAAACTAAATGATCCAAACCCAGGCCCGTTTGCTTGTAACTAAACTAAATGATCCAAAATGCATTGGATGTGCACTACTTAGTTCAGCATCCGGGCAAAGCACTTTCGCATAATTTTTTATCTTGCCGAAGCAAATACAGCCTATGCAAGGAAATGACGATAACAACTAACAAGCATGAGAAGTGAAACCACTATGGAGATTCCATCAGGTTTCTTGTAAAACCTAAAATTGTACAACCATTACAACAAAAGTTACACACATTACAACTGCTAAATCATTTATAGCATGCCCTTATGCTAAGATCATGGGTGGGGAGATATTCTTATCGACACATGCTTTCCTTTCAACTAACAGTTTGTGTGGTTTAGGAGGAGGAGAATGATGGCCTACAAAGTCACTTTAGCAGCTCGGAATAACTCCTTCGTTATTCCACAGTAGATTGGTGTACTGCCAGGAAAGGTGATAAAATTCCAGCCAAAGGCCGATCCTCCAACAATATGGGTTCCTTGATTCTCACCGTGTTCAGCTTGTTGCTTTTCAGATGGTTTTGCAAAAACCTGGCCTGTCTGGGACTGATCTGCTGTCTCTGGGAACTGCTTGTGAGGCTTTAGTCCTACCCCATTTTCACTGGAATTAGGTTCAGTGTTCCACTTGGGTATAGTGACCTTTTCTGCTGTCATCTGCTTGTATAGTTCCATGAGCAACTTCAGCTCTGGAAAGCACAAGTTACATGGTCAAAAACATGTCTTATGAGCCAACACACAAATTGCTATACATCTACCATCCAAGAGCGATCTGGATTGTTGCAAAAGATTAATCTAAATGTTATCTGACTAGCTTATAAGAGACATTAAATGTCCTGATAGGATAAAAACCCTACTGATTTTCCATCAATCATGATAAAATGACTCTCACCATAAGAATTGCAGAGAAGCTTAAGAGAGGGTTTCAAGATAGAAAAGACTGCAAATGTCATCATAGCTAAGAAATGGTGAACAATAGCAACACAGACTTAAATTCAGCATATAAATTTCAAGTCCAACACAGCTATTTGCAATCAATCCACGAGGTAAATTGATCACAGAAAAAAAGATCACATTTGCATTCAACTAACGTACTAGGACAACTATGCGTACATTTGATGATACAAAAGTGCAAATTGATGAACTTACTTTCTTGAAGTTCCTCAGCTCCCTTGCAACTCCGGAAGTCCAGTGTTTGAAGCATCTTCAACAAAACAGAAGACACTTTAACCCATCACTTAACATCAACATTTCAAGCATAATTAGACTATTGATTGATGCACAAACAAATGGAAACATGTAGTGACCAACAGCAAGTCAGAGTAACTCTCCAATAAACCATTCACCAGTGTATTCTGAGTCACTTGGCACCCTCAGACAAGGTTTTCATGATCTCAAACAAAATTAACAGATTAGGACTCAAAATTTGACCGAGCAGGCAAGTATAAGGAATTGTTGCAAATAAACTCCACCAAGGGTTTGCATGCAGTGAAAATTAGATTACAAGGTCATAATTTCGAAAGTAAATTATGAATTTTTATAAGATTACCAAATTCAAAACACGACGGAATTTTAAAATGAAAAACATGATCGTATCCCAGGAACCAAATTTACAAAAAAAAATAATAAAAAAAGAACACAGCTTTAGCATAACTAATGATTTTTATTAAAAACCCAGGAATAAAATCACCTAGAACGTACAAAAGAAAAAAGAAGTTGCGAATTCAAGCCTAAATTAAAACCAAAGACTTCAAATTTAATGATGGATGTCTAAAAAAGTACCTCAAGAACATGAGGTCTGATATCTTTGACGACAGCACGCATCTTGAAGTAGCTGCATTCTTGAATTGGACCACAATTGTCAAGTGGCCTCTTGTTGCTTTCAGTAGGGACAGAAGGGGGTGGTGGTGGTGGTGGTGGTGGTGGTGGTGTTGTTGGTGCTGCTGCTGGTGACTGTGATGGTGGTGGTGGTGTCGATTCTTGCAGAGGGTGGGATGGGGCTGTGATTGGTGGGTCCGGTTTTGGATTCGGATCTGGGTTTTGAGCAGGTGGGTTTTGGGGGTTTGGTGGTTCCTGTTCTTGAACTGGCCGTGGTTCTTCCATTGATTTGATGTTGTTTTCAGTGTGATGATTTTGGAATTTTGTGTTTGAGGTAATAAAGATTTGCTGGAAGAGAGAACTATTGTTTGGTTGGGGTTTTTGGTCTAAGTTCGGACAGGCTCGAGACAATGACGCTTTTGTACTTGACTACAAGTACAACTGATCAAGCAAAACCTGAAAAGCTTTGTTTTTGTTCGTTTGGAATTATTTATTTATTTATAAGAAACAAATACGAAACCGATAATCTTCTCTTTTTTCCTTTTTTTTTTTTAAAAATTAAAAAATAGAAAAACTTACATTGTGTTTAAATAAATATTTCCTCTTACGAGGAAAAAAGAGAGAAAAAAAGAACAAATAACTAATTTTCACTTATTATTTGGATAAGAATAGAAATGAAAGAAAATAAAATATATTTTTCTTGTTTGGATAATTGCAGAAAAAGAAAGATGAAAGAAAATATATTATCGTATATTTATTATAATATCTCTATTATTATATTTTTATATTTAAATACTTTAAAGGACAAAAATGATAATACTTTTTATTTTTTATCATATTTTGATATGATCTTTTTTCACTTTCCTCCCAATCTGAGGAGGAAAGTGAGTCGCATTATCTTTAAATTTATTTATTATAATTTTTTTTCATATTTTTCTTTGAAAACCAAGCAAGGTAAAATTTTCTTTCCTCTACACTTCTTTTTTCTTTTCTTATCTTTTCACTCTATCCAAAAACAAGGTTAAATTTTTGTTTAACAGTGTCTTAAAATTTGAATCATGTTTGTCATGTTATAAAGGCCACATTCAATAGTATATTTCCACGTGTGAATCAATTCATCGGTAGATACATTTTATACATGATTGATAGGATTTAAAATGTTGGATTACATATTTGAGAGAAATTGAAATTGATGTACTAGATTGATAATACCGAAAAAGTTCATATACTGTTCCTGCAATTGTCCTTTTTCATTTTGGGATAAGCACATTAGTAGCACACCAACTTTACAACTTTTTTCGATACAAAAATATATACTTTAATTTTTTAGTTTGAATATATTATTTTTTAAAAAAATTAATCAAGTATTTGAGTTTGAATTATTTTCATTTTGGTATATTGATTTTTTTTATTGTACCAATCAAGTACTTAAGTCAAGTTTTTCATTTTCAAATACATATATTTTTTAAAAACACATTAATACCCTCCAAAATAATATGCTATTTAATAAAAAAAATTATTTTGATTTAAAATAAACCATTATAAAAATAAATATATTTTGATTAATAATAAACTACCCACATTTTACACCAAAATTAAAAATATTTTATGATTAATTAAAACTAATAAATAAATTATTAATTTAATGAAAACATTCATTAATTTAACCAAAGAAATGAAAATCATGTGATTACAAAAATAAATAAAATTTTAATGAATTTTTTATAGAAGTATTCGATGGACACAATAAAAAAGGCTAGTTGAATAGTTCATTGGAATTATTTAATTATTAAATATAAAATTATTTTAGTTGGAAAAAAAAGATATATTTAAAATAAAAAATTTACATAAGTATTTGATTGGTATAATAGAAAAAATCAATGCATAAATTAAAAATAATTAAAATCTATGTACTTGACTTATATCAAGTGAAAGTTGAGGTAGCAACAATAGGTTGTAGTCAAAAGACATGTTATCATATAATGAAAAAAAATTGATAAAAAAAATAAAAAAAATACTTAATTGAAAATTTTAAAAAATTAATGTATATTCAAATGAAAAAAAAAATCATATATTCAATAAAAAGAAAATACAGTTCATGTATTGCTCATGTAATTATCTTTTTTTATTTTGAAGTGACTCATCTGACGCATCGTATTTTTATGAAGCACTAAAATGTATTCAAAAATTAGTTCAATATGAATAAATTCTACATGACAATAAAATGTATCTAAAATCTCAAGTTTAGAATTTTGTGCACTATAAACATAACATATTTCTATAAATAAACGTTATAAACATAACATATATATTTCTAGAAATAATTAATTAACAGCAAATAATTTTTGTTACAACCAAATTTATGTAACAAGACATACTGTAGATACAAAATCGAACTAAACCTAAAGGCTGCCTTTAATTAGGAAGTCAGATATGATAAATTGTGTTAATTATTTTGAGAAGCAAATTTTGACAGGTTAGGATGACAAAAAATTTCCATGGTTGTTACCGTACGTACGTAGTTGAACCCCAGTCATCTACCATTGTGTTTGGATATTTTCTCTCGGAAGAAAAGAAAAAAAAAAAAGAAGAAAGAGAACTATTTTTTATTTATTATTTGAATAAAAGTAAAAATAAAGGAAAAAAAAGTATATTTTTCTTGTTTGGATAATTATAGAAAGAGAAAGCAAATAAAATGTATTATTATATATTTACTATAATACCCCTATTATTACATTTCAATATTTAAACACTTATAATAAGTTTGTATATATAAATTTACGTGAATATATTTTTTTCATTAAAATTTCACAAATGATTAATAAAATAAAAATCTAGCATGTAGCATCTATCTAAAATGACAAAATCGATAATGAATCGTCTCCATAGAATAATCGATAATCGTTTACTAATTAATTAATTCAATAGCAAATTTAGATTAATTATCAACATAAAATTAATTTAAATATGTATAACATGTATTATTATCTACGCATATAATAAGTTAGTTGCTTTTACCCATCATTTTCTTATTTTTTAAATTTTGGATTAAAAAATTACTATTTAGCAATAAAAAAAAGAGTTTTAAATAATAAAACTACGAACTACATATGATTAGGAAAGTTTTAGGATCAATTTGTACATACACATTATGGATAATTATGAAAGTCCGAGCATCAATTTGTTTTGCTACCACCCTCAAGTTACATGAGTTTCTAGTTAAGTCATTACAATTTAAGAAAACATCCACATATAATAGCCTCTAAGTACACTTGAAGATCACAATACAACAAAAATTCAACTAGTACTTTTGCTAAGTTCCCTTGCATTCTACTTCACTATTTGATTGCACACACAAATAGCCCAACTGCAAAATTTAAAAAAAAAAAAAAAACAACAAGGGAGCGAGTGTACATTGAGCAACAATATGAGAACAATTTACAAGTTCAATAAATTTAAAACAATTGATAAAACAACAAATTATACTCCAACTTCGTATGATTAACTTACTTTTATCGACCACTTCTTTCAACCATCACTTATGTTAGAAATTCAAGTCTTCTATGACGAGGCAACCTAAAGAATTATCTTGTAAATTATGGATTATTAGCCAAAAAGCGATATGCACTTATTTAGAAGCTAGATTGCAATCCTATCGCTTCAAGCTCGGTGAATATCTAGTCCTTATGAAAAAAATTCAACTAGTACTTTTGCTAGTTCCCTTGCATTCTACTTCACCATTTGATTGCACACATAAGTAGCCCAGCTGCAAAATAAATAAATAAATAAACAACAACAATGGAGCAAAAGTGTACATTGAACAACAATATAGGAACAATTTACAAGTTCAATAAATTTAAAACAATTGATAAAGCAATAAATTATACTCTAACTTCGTATGATTGACTTACTTTCATCGACCACTTCTTTCAGCCATCACTTGTGTTAGAAATTCAAGTCTTCTATGATGAGGCAATCCAAAGAATTGTCTAGTAAGTGACGATTATCGGCTAAAAAGCAATATGCACTCATTTGGAAGTTAGATTGCAATCCTATCGCTTCATGCTCGGTGAATATCTCATCCTCATGAAAACAATTTTGACGTCCCCTCTCTAAAATGGTCAATGACTTTTGTGCAATGAAGTTCCCTTCTTCCGAGTAATTCATTACCTTTTTCTAAAATTTACAACGACTTCTCTCGCAATCGTATTTTCATTTTTCATTACTTCGGAGACTTCTTTCATTCATAAGTGCACCATTTCAAATTGACTATGAATTGCTTCTACCATATGAGATCTACGTTTAGTGCCTCTAGATGAGTTTGTTTCTTCGGAATTGGGCGAAGCTACATACTCGGGAGTATAGAAGTTAACATTTGTATTGTAGCTTGGCACTTGATTCCCTCGGCTTGATTCCCTATCCGATGTTATGTTATTGTCCTCGTTGAGATCAAATTGGCTAAACGAACCTTCTTTTTCCCACGTCATCACCCTTTCTTTAGCACTTGCAGAACCCTCTTCGATAGCTTTATCTTGGTCATATATCTTATACAATTTATCATAGTTGTTGATTGGATGATGCATCCACTTTTGCACTTTTGGTTTTACCTACACATTGAGAGTAATTTATCATGTACTTTGAAAGTAATTTATTCTTAAAAGTTATAGATGCTAGTCACATGAATTAGCTCCTCCCAAGCCTCGATACTTGCTTCAAAAGTTTTTTCTCGGGATTCCGACCAAATCTATTTACACCATGAAATAAGTCTTTCGCCTCGCTAAAAGTTATCTTCAATGTCTTTTGTCTATTCTTAATATGGTTCTTTTAGATGTGATTCTCAAATTTTATCCTTAGAACTTGCAACATGTTATCTAAGGTTGTTGTTTCGATTACCTTTGATTTTCTCTTCAAGCATGCAATCAATTAATACATTATCCATTTCGGTGCTTCAACATATATTGTTTTTGGTAGAAGCATCATCCCGTGAACCCATTTGTTGCTTCCCTTATGCATCTTTTACACTGCGAGCATCTATTTTCATTAAACAATTTTGTAATATACTTGGCAACTTGAAAATACGTTAAGAACACAAAACACGAGTAATAAATGTTAACATTACAAACTTTATTAACTTGAATTAGTGTCATAATTCATACATACCGGTATAATATACAAAGCAAAAACACAACAATACATGTTAAAACTACGGACATCATTAACTTGCGGTAAAATCATAACAAATACATATTATTCTAATTCATAGCAAAATATATTAATAATAGGAAAAATAGTCAACTAATTGGTTCGGTTGTATTCTACAAATTTTTTCACGGACATTCCACATTTGCATCGCTATAGAATCTCGCAAAGGTGTCCCTTCTTTTGCTTCCCGATCAAGCACTTGCGTCCATTATATATTTCTTGGTTTTCTTGACTATCGGTTTCAAGTAACTCTCCGTCAACTTTAGCAAGGATAGCATCATCGGGATCTACTCCAATCAAATAGTTATGCAATATAAAACGAGTCGACACTATGTATGTCATTGTATTAAATGAGTAATGTGGTTCGTTTCACTTGTGATAATGGAAAATCTCTTTTTCATTATACCGAATGCTCTTTCAATGACATTTCAAAGGGAGGCGTGACGATGGTTGAATAACTCCTTATAATTACGAGGGCTACGTATCAAAAAGAGCACGAAAAAGAACACAAAACACATCGATGAGTTAAGGAGCGAGAATCCGATAACGAAGCAAGCCTCTAGATAGAGCAACACGAACCTCTAATCTGGAAAAAAAGCAAGTTTAAAAAAGGAAAGCATAAGACAAATGTAACACAAACAAAAAGAACATGATTTGGAAGGATAAGACAAATGCAACACGAACAATAGCTACCATTTATTTGAGACATTTCATTAGACACTTTTCTTGCAAGTTCAACGTAATACAATCATAAACAAAGAAGAAAATCAAGATACCATCATTCTAAGTAGGAAGATCAATCCAACACATAAAAGATGTGAACTTGAGATAGAAAAGAAACAACACGATTCCAGCCTACACGACAACCATTGACCTAACCGTAGAAAGAGGATGAAGAAGAGAGAACAAACAAAGCGCATACCGAAAGGCAGATACCCATAATCGAAAATGAATCGGAGGTGGCACGGAACGAGAAATGGAAAAATGACACCAATCTAAGCAAATAAAATCAAAGAAAATAACAAATAAAAAGCACAAACCGAAGGGTAGATGTACAATTCGGAAGGAGAGCAAGGCAAAATAAAAGACAAGTAATAAAGAAAAAGAATGATTGAAGTGTGAGGGACGAGAAAATGAAAGCTACCAAGGAGAAGAATCGGCTATTTTAAGGCAGGGAAAAGATAAAAAATGCGCATTCACTGGTCAAAATTTATTGGATGTGCAAATCCAAAATGGGCAATGAGGGGAGGATAAGACAAGAAAAATAAGCAAATAGAGAAATAGAAAGAGTGCATACATATAACCCCAAAACAAATCGGTGACAAATTACTTATTAAAGTCGGCAATTTTGGATGTGCAGATCGATAGAAATGGAGAGTTTTGTTATTACAAAGAGAGAAGGACAGTAGAAATGGAGAAAGTTATATCAAATGGATGAGGTGTAGAAAATGAAAGGAAAAAATGACAATACCCTTCATTTTTCATTTTTTATTATGTTTTGGCATGATTTTATCTCACTTTCTCCTCAATTTTAAGAGGAAAATGGTCCCATCACCTTTAAATTTGTTTTTTTTTTTAATTTCAAAGGTTTCATTTGAAAACCAATCAGGTTAAATTTTTTTTTCTTAATACTTTTTTTTCCTCTTCCTAACTTTTCACTCTATCAAAAAACACAGGGTATGACAATTTATTGCACTAAACACCATTATATATAGTAGATACGTACTTCTTAGTCTAGCTTGTTTCTAGCTCGTTTGAATTTTTAGTTATCGGAGTAATTCGTTTTCAGCATTACAAATACTTCTAATTCATCATAACTAATTAAATAGATAGAAAATCCATTTAATATATACAACAGTTTTTAGTATATTAATTTCTTCGACCCCAAATACAGGTTGCAGCATAATATAAAATATGCATATATACACCACTTGATATATGCTATAAATTACATTAAAACTAACTAGAAATATGACAGATAAGCATTGAACCAATAAACATCCATTTCACCTCAGTCGCTTATTTTCCAAACTGCTTTTGAAGCATCGACGATGTTATTAGCACAAGGAGGCTGGTAATCATTCATGGTCAGAATCACATATATACCATTTTAGAGTCAAACTCATCAACTACCATGGCCTGGACACTCTTTCCATTACCATGGATATATATTTATGCAGTTTAAGCATCTATTCTCGTAGCTGTACCATCCTCTTGAAAGTGCCACCACATGTACGTGTCATCTGAGTGGTATTAATAGGTTGTCTCATTCCGATGGTGCACCGCCATCCCCACCTTCCTCAAAGCTTTTTACGGTATGGGTTGCTTTTGTGTGGCTGGAAACCAGTGGTGAAATCTAGAGTTCTGTAGTACTTGCCATATTTGGAATCATTCTCTTGGTTGCGTTGGTCCGGAGGAGGATTCGTTCCCGTAATTCGGCCGCTTGGATAACATTGTTGAGCTTCAATGCGTAAAAGTATATGTTGAGAATGACCAGGAGGGGACACAAAATTTCATGCAAGAACTCCTCATGCTCTCATCTTCTTTTTGTATTTGTTCTTTCTGTGCTTGATGGAGGACAGGATTTCAAAGTCAGTATTTGTAAAAATGACTTTATGAAATTGTCCCTAATATTTTCTGAATATTACAGTATAACCATGTACGTTTGTTTCCGTTGTCTTAAGTTCGATTAAATCCTTGGATTTGCAGATAAAAACAAATAAAGGCATCAAAATCGGGGAGGCGTACAACCTCTGCCTCATGCTGCAAAAAACAGGCTACTTTCAGCATTAACTGTCCAGCCCTGACAGGGGATGGCGGTGCATTAAATGTCCAGGCCTGACTGGGATGGTGACGATGAATGTCTAGAGCTTGGGTTTTAAGTATCCATAGTCTATCTATTACCTATCACCTGAAATTGAATACCCATATTTTGTTCAAAATTATTTATTGTACTAGAAATTTAAATATCTATATTCAGTTCATTCATATCCAATTACTTTTTATTATTCAACATAAAAAACACACACACACACGTGTATATATATATATAAGCGCCACAATGGGGTATTATATGTATTATATTTACAAATCTTACAATATAAATATCCTATTTATTATCCAATGGGTATAAATTTTAGATATTCACATTCAATTCAAAATAGTAACCATCAATAAAAATCCTATCCATTTGGATCAATTTAGACGTGATACATGGGCTTCGGATTAAATTTCCATCCCTAAGTCCTGATAATTGTTTGGAATTCCCAATCCTGCTTTCCATTACTTAATCTTTATTTTTATTTGTTTATTAATGAATGTATGGCTGCTTTAAGAGTCACATATATAATTCGATAAAATTCAAAAGTATTCTGTTTTAAGGTGCAAGCTGCAGGAATTTAATTCCGTCAAGAATAGTAGCTAGGTTGATTAATGTAACTTAATTAGTAATATCTCAAAAGGGTCATCATGCCACATCATCATGATCTCTACTTTGTCAGCTAAATTACGATAATTGCTGCAAGGTAATTAATTGCTTGTAATCTATGAGCACTTAAAAACAAAACTAGGCTCACAAGAAAGGATGTCAGTTGTTTTTACTGTTACCCTGTAATGACTTTTTCTCGATAATAATTTGCGAATTTGAATTTTATGGCAGTGTTAATATTTATTTATTTGTTCCTTCACTAAGATACTCGCCCCCAAAAGATTTTGATAAGTTGGCCGGAACATCTGATTTTGTCTTTCTCCTTCTCCTGATTTTCAACCTGAATATTTGTCAGCCTAATTTAGAAGGAGCACTTTAACTAGAAAAGTCTTAAACTACATATATATCTGATTTTCCATGCACATGACTTCTCATATAAGAATAACAGACAACAATAATGCAATCTGATATCCATTTTCCTGTCTTCGGTCCTCATTAATTTCCATGTGATTGGAAAACACAGATTTGATCATCTGCCGTCGTCGCACCATTTTAGCTTGTTAGTTTTGTGCAAATTTCTGAAGTTTTTTGAGGATTTATATGGCCTGACATCAAGAACAATAATAAGTGGGAAGAAATTTGTGATACAGTGAAAACTGCATGACACGTTTTCTGAAAAAGTTCTTAAAGCTTCAAGATTTGATCATATATTTCTTAATTTATGGTGGTTTTTTACATGGTTGGAAATAATAACAGAGATTCATGCGATAACTAAATTTGACTTCATTGTGGCAGTCTTCACTAAATAAAAGCTAATACAACAGCAGATGGTTATTTCACTGCATATCATTTGCAGCAAAAAGCTTTTCTCATTTCTCATTGCTTGCAATGAGGGAACTAGTGGCACAGAATAAGATTTAGGCAGAATTTGGTTGTTTTTTTTAGCATATCCGTCAAATTTCCCTCACATTAGTTACTAACAAAGTTACAGTTATGTATTAGTCAGTTCTTTAGGAAGACAGATTTTGTTTCTTGCCGAATAAAAAAGGCATAAAATCATCATTTAATTGATATTTTTATAGAAAAAAAGATGGATACATGATCTCACAGTTTTTTTCTAGTTCATACCAAGTTTCAACACAGTATGTATTGATTACATGGTGAAAGGCCTGGGTCAACCTGATGCCACAACAAATTACATGAGAAAACAGTAAATAGTGAATCAAGCATCAGACCAGTAAATATCCATTTCACCCCAGTCCCTTTCAGGTACTCCTAATGCTTCCCAAACTGCTTTCGAGGCATCAACAATGTTGTTAGCACATGGAGGCTGGTAATCATGGTCAGAATCACATCCCATTGTAGAGTCGCACTCATCAACCACCATGGCCTTAACGCTCTTTCCATTGCCGTGGATATTTATGAAGTTTAGGCATCTATTCCCGTGATTGTACCATCCAGTTGAAAGCGCCACCACAGGTGTATCATCTGAATGATATTGGTTGTCACATTCTGATGGTGCACCACCATCTCCACCTTTCTGAAAACTGTTTAATGTTAAGGTCGCTTTCGTCCTCCTGGTCACTCGCGGTGAACACTTGTAAATGGGGTAAAGCTTGCCATCTGCACAGCAATCAGAGTCATTCTCCCGGTTACATTGGTTTGGAGGAGGTTGTCTCCCTTTTATGTTGCCACTGGGCTTGCAAGTCTGAGCTTCAATGCTTAAACAAAATGTAACAAGAAAAAGAAAGCAGACGAAGAGACCGCTTGGACAAATTTGGTTCTTCATATTCTATTTGCTCCTTTTCCTTCTGTGATGATTTGGTCTGAAGAGGCTGAACCTCTGCCAATCTTTATATAACTCAAAGCAGGTCTACGACAAAAAATGAGGACAATTTAGTAGCTTTTATGAAATGTGAAACAGAATGGTCCATTTATCACGGCAGGCACACACCCTAGCCATAATTTTGGATCTATTGTTGATTTCTTTCTGCAGAGAAGTCCAATGATAGTGACAATTTAGCGTGTGCGGAATGCAGAAGCAGAAGATTGTTACTTCAACTTACATGTGCATTACAGTAAGTTTCAATTTTATTTTATTTTTTCCAAAATCAAATTAGGCCATTGCAATGGAAGCAAAATCCATCCATCCTTTTAATGTAGCTCTGGCTTATTTTGCATTCCCGAAGCAGCTGGAGATAGGCCAAGAGTATTCAGCGCTGTTATGATCCTTAAATGCATAGGATTCTGCTGCATCTAAAGTTAGACAAATTTAGACTAGAGAATGTTCTCCATTGACAAATTTAGCGATGTATAAATGAAATCGCAACCGCAGTGAACTCAGATGAGGTGATACTTCACAATTTGGGAATGTTGGCAGGCAGAGTTTGGTTAGAACATGTTTCTAAGTATGCTCAAGGCTTTGGTGCTACAGAAGGAATCTACTTCAAAAATTAATGAGCCGAATACAATTTGCCTTTTTGGTTGGGGAAGATTTACGGTAAGTTTTCATCTAAGCGTAGATTTAAAACTAGTCGTTTACCCGAGCTATGCTTCGGATCTAGTAGAAAAGAATCATTTTAAAATTTTATTTTTTTAATTATAATTTTTAATTTAATTAATTAGTTTAATTTTTTTATAAATTTTCTGTTTAGAAAAAAACATAAATCATTCTTCTTTATGGATTGATTTTAAAATTTAAAAAATAAAATACACATATTCAATTTTTAAATTTTGATTATATAAAAATTAAGCAAATAAAAAAACTTATTCGAATCCATATAGAGAAAATAAGTCATATTTATTAATAAATAAAATTAAAAAAGAATAAAAATTAACGTGATGATAATTTTTATCAAAAAAATCAATTTAAAACAATAAGAGTAGTTTGTATTTATTCTAAAATCTAAAAATATACCATATAAATATAAAAATATCGTATATATTATATGAGTCAGTTTGTGTGAAAAAAAGTAATAATTGATTTTTCAAAATTTTAACACCTAATTAAAAAAAGAACATAAATTGATGGAAAAAAGTAAAGAAAAAAAGAAAAAAGAAAAGGCATTTGTTGCGTATCGGTTAGAAAATTGAAATTTTTATTTTAAAATTTTAGAGACCAAAATGAAACAACTTGAAAATAAATAAAAAAAGAACCTAAATTGATGAGAAAAAGCAAAGGGAAAACAAAAAAGGAAAAGGCATGTATAGTGAAACAACTCGAGAAAAAAAAAAAACCTACATACAAGAATAAATAGTGATTTTTTAAAAAAATTAAACAAAAAAAACCTAAATTGATGGGAAAAAAACAAAGGAAAAATAAAAGGCATGTATAATGAAACAACTTTAAAAAAAAACCCTTGTTGTTATCATATAAATGTAAAAAATATCGTATCTATTATATAATTGTCAGTTTGTGTAAAAAAAGTAACGATTGATTTTTTAAAATTTTAACACCTAATTAAATTAAAAAAAAAACATAAATTAATGAAAAAAACCAAAGGAAAAAAAAGAAAGAGAAAAGGCATCTGTAATGCATTAGTTAAGGGATTAAAATTTTAGAAACTAAAATGAAACAATCTAAAAATTAAATAAAAAAAATAACCTAAATTTATGGAAAAAAGCAAAGGGAAAAAAAAGTATGTATAGTGAAACAACTTGAAAAAAAAAAAAAAACTTAGCTACAAGAATGGATAATGTTTAAAAAAAAATTAAACAAAAAAATAACCTAAATTGATGAAAAAAAGAAAAAGAAAAAAAAGCATGTATTGTGAAACATTTTAATAAAAAAAAAAAAAACTCTTGCTATAAGAATGAATAGTGATTTATGAGGGAATAAACAGTTATTTTCATTGGTCAAACCCCACTTGATTTAGATATATAGTAATAGTAATAGTAATTAAATTTTACTCTCGAGGAAAAAAACATTTAAAATCTGAAAAAAAGTTCATCATTCCAAATGTCAATAAAAATAAAAATAGCAACCCCCTTCGCTTCTCGATAAAAAAAAATTAAAAAAAAAAGAAGAAGAAGAGGCCCCATTTGAAAAAGAAAACTGGGCTGGATTCTACTGTAATTGGGCCAATTTTATAGCCTTCATTACAACATCCTAGATACTTTAGTTGCAATATTTTGCACTCTCTCTTACAAAAACAAAACCCAGGCAGGTGCCCTGTAATTTTATGAACTCCTTTTTGTTTGATAATCTAAAATCAAAGCAGAAAAAGGTCTCTAGTATATATTATTATATACAAGATGATGAATCCTCAAACAGACAAGATAGTGAGGAGGACAACAATGGTAGCCACTGCTGTTGCTTCTTATTTCCTCTTAACTGCTGATTATGGTCCTGAACCCAATGCTTTTGAACCTGTGAGTCCCTTCTTTCCTTGTTTTGTTTATTTTTTCTTTCTCTGAATTTTCTTTTGGTCGTTTCTAGGTAAAGGGTATGTTTTATTGATAAGAAAATGTTACGGAGGTTTTGATTCTTTCCTGATTTATCAGTAGCCAAATGCTTGATAAAGGATCGTGGAGGGTTTATTTGGGGATTTAATTTATGGGCTCTTTGTATTTTTAATTCTCGGATTGCGTTGAGTTACAGAGAATATGTTGTTGATTTTTTTTATGATTTCATATGCATATTGGGTTTATCTTTTTATTGACTTGTGTAATTTCTCGTGGGTTAGTATACAGAGTTACAGACACATGTTTGCTGCTAAGCATGTTCATTAACTTTGAGTTGCTAGGGAATTATAGGGCTTGCTTAATTTTGTTAGTCATAGTTTAATTTTGGGTTTAACATAGAGATTGAAACTTTTAAAGGAAATTTCGTAATCTGGAAAATTAAGGAACCTTGGAAATGGGAATGAATGGATAGAATATTGTGATTGGATAGAGAATTACATAGCACGCATTCTTCAGGTGGGAAGTTGTGCGAATATGAATGATGTTAATGTCACAGATGCCATCTTTTTTAAGGTTCTCTCAATTAAGGTGGCAGTTTTAGCTCCCTTCGTAGTTGAGATTACCTTTTGACTGTGAGGGGACGTTTTGTTGCACTTCTTAATTATTGCCACGTCAATTAAAATTGTCTGCCTTGCTTTCTGCATCTTCCATCTTTTCTCCGAATTGTTCCACCACTTGTTCTTTTCATGGAGTTCTTTTAGTACGGGCATGAATTTTGTCCACCTTCTATACATTTTGTTTGTGAATGTGACGTTAGGAGTAAGAATTGTGAGTGTTGTTGTGCAATATATTTTGTCTGTAGATATGACATTAGGAGTAAGAATTGTGAGTGTTGGCCTTCGGCGCATGAAATTGCAATACTGAGGTTTATAAAAGAGAAGGGTTGTTTTGTTGTATCCATGCGTTTGCATGGTCATGGAGAAAAAAGTTTTGCTTGAGCCAGTTCTCGTGTGATGACCAGTATTAGGGGTATGAATTGAAAGTTTTGCCAATGCTAGCTTAGAGTTTGTGAAATTGCAACAATAATATTGATGAAAAAAGAAGGTCCGCAATGTTGTGTGTTTGTCTTATGCATGTGATAAGGCAGCAAACTTTTGCTCAAGGTAATTTTCAAATGATGTCAACTATCTGCCTGCCTTATTGTAGTGTTTTTTTTTCCTTTTTTAACCATTGATATCCTTTTGCAATGGCAGATCAAAAGGACCATATTATCAGCACAAAGTTCTGTGAAAGAGTTCATCTTTGGATCAGGGAAATAGCCTCAAGGTGGTCAAATGGGGAAGCTGAGCTCTAGCAGTGCTAAAGAGCATTAGAAAGGATACAAAACACAAGTTTGCATAGCACCATAGTGGTTTTAGGCTAAGTTTCTTATGGCCATTGGCAAATAATAGTGTCACGAGAAGAAGTTCCTTTTTACCTTTGCTAGAAACTTTCTTCATATCTGTACAGTTTCTGCCAAACTCGGTACTTCAGATGCTTTCTGTAACTGCGTAATTTAAGTATACACTGAGTCCATCTTTTGCCTCTCTAGTAATATCTTCTTCAGTCATGCTATCCTCCCTGCTTGGTTGGTTCAAATATAGTTTTGGATTATCAATGTGGCTGAATATGTAAAAGCGGCCATAAATTTTTGGATGATCTTTGAGGTTGCTCTGCATGGTCATCTTTTATTATTATTATTATTATTATTATTGGGAAAAATTGGATGATGTGCAGCAATGAAATTGCATCTAGCATGCAACCTTTAGGAAGAAAGACTTTTGGTGTTGCTGGGTGTCGAAGTTTCATAAGGTCCCTTTTCTCTCTGCAAAGTGCTAGGGAGAACAACAGGGATACTTGGCTGTTCATGCTTCTTCACATAAATGGAACCTACCACTTTGTGAGTGTGGGTTAATGGCGAGCTTGAGTTATTTAGAAAATGGGCATTAATGATTATCAATGCAGGATTGCTTCTTCTTTTTTCCCCTTTCTTTCTTTCTTTTTCTTTGGTTATCCGACACCATGCTCTTTTCGCTGGAAACTGAAAAACGACCCAAACCAGGGGACCTTACTTGTCTTGTAGTTTTGTTCGTTCTCATAGCCATTGACTGATGATGGCTCATTGGTCGACTTTTATTTCTCTCTTCTCTTTTTTTCTTTGGTTCGCTTTCTTGTATATACTAAAAGAGAAAATGAGGTGGAAAAAGCAAGGAAATTAGATATATCGGTGAAAAAGAGCTTGAAAATCCCAAGACATAATTAACCTCCTCTGCCAAGCCAAGGCATTGATCCTACTGCCGCCTGCTGGTGTTACAAAACTTTATGCAGAACTGGAAGGAATGTTCATCTCTAGTGCCAGAAAGATAAAAATGGAACGAATCCTTGCGACATTCTAATAACGCTAACCAAACTAAACATGAAAATCTTAAGCCTCCACTGGTGATTTTAGAAATGTGCCCTGCAGCTGCCATGCGAATGCTGTTTTGAAGGCATCTAGCCTTTCTTTAATTAATCCTTTCTTCTCCTTCTTCTTCTTTTTTTGGCAGTCACTTAATGGATTAAACAGACTGGTTACTAGTGGAAAATGGTCTAAAAATCCAATTCTCCTCAGATGAGCGGAAAAAGAAGTTCAGAGTGTTGGTTAAAACTCTTTTTATTAATCCGAAATCAGTCCTTACCCATGGCTCTATTTAGTTTCTTTAGTCTAAAACAAAGAAGCGGGAATTATTAAATAGGGGGAAAAAAAAAACCCTGATTTGCCATCTCGCTGATGTTTCAGCACAATTCAGCCCCAAGGAAAAACAAAACCACGCATTGCATGTTACAAACATCCCCTCTGCATCCTGCAACCTGATGGTTTCATAGTTTAATAAATGGTGAAGTTACGAATATCTTTTGACTTATTCTTGTCATTTACAGGGATCAAAGAGATCAAAGAGTTTATAACATAATGATAGTGATTTTTTATAAAAAAATTATGGATTCAAATTTTAATAAATTAGTTTTGTTAGAAGATTTGGGTATGTGTTGGATGTGTGAGTTATAAAAAAAAAAAATGAAAAAAAAAATATTAGTAGCAAAGAGCAAAATTAAAACTTCTTAAAAATCTATGGAGTAGCTTGGAAAATTGAAAACTATAGGAGTAGAAATGGAAAATCGTTGAATCTATAGGGGCAAAAATGTAGTTTACCCTTTAATATTTTAACCAATTAGAAATTTGAACATGTGTAAAATCCTCCTTCACAAACAATCGTTTCTAACAGCCCATCCACTTCCTCGTCTTCACTTTTAACTCGACACTTCTCTCGCTCTCACTCAAAATTCCTTAACTGAACATGTCCATCTCTCCTCTTTTCCCCTCCCCTCAAGCCCTAACTCTAACCATCACCAATGTCACAACCCATAAAGCCTTTCAAACCTCCACTCTCACTTTCTTCCAGCTTTATCCCCAAAACTCCCCTAAAACTACGCCTAACGACCTTTCCCTCCAAACCCCAAAAACCCAGCACTCCTTCCTTCAAAACCCTCTCCTCTCTCTCCCAAACCCCACCAGAAACCCCCTCAAAAACTATAACCATAATTTCACTTCTGCGAGCTATCCCTGACTGGGCTGATAGAATAAAAGAGAGAGGAATGCGAAAAAATAGATCTTTATACAACCATGAAAAATGGGTTGACCATAGAAGTTCTCTCCGCCACATAAGACATTTGCTTTCAAGTTTATCGTCGCGGGTGATTTTATCTTTGATTCCACCGGTTATTGCATTTACTTCAGTGGCTGTCGTTATTGCAAGTTATAATTATGCTGTGGAAATGGATTTCTTTCCTGGTTTTTTCCCTGTTTTAAGAGCTTCTCCATTGCCTTATCAGTTGACAGCTCCTGCATTGGCGCTTTTGTTGGTGTTTAGGACTGAAGCATCGTATTCTAGGTTTGCAGAGGGGAAGAAGGCCTGGACTAAGGTGATTTCTGGAACTAATGATTTTGCTAGGGAGGTTATTTCTGGGGTTGATAGTTCCAGCAATTCCGCCCTTAAAAATGAGCTTTTGCGCTATATTATGGCATTCCCCATAGCACTTAAGGTCAGTTTCTTATTTTAAGTTTTTTCCCCCGCTTAATGGAAGAATGAAAACTTATTTTTAATCTTGAAGGGATCCATATTTTATGATTTAATGTTACCTGTCTTTTAACTTCATACATTAGATATGTTAGAATCACAAATTACTGCTGAAGGGAAGCTTGCTTATGATGTTCACAATATTTTCCTTGATTAAAGTTGGCGAAATGGTTTAATTTTGTTTCTGAGATACAAAGCAGTTCAATTATGTCAATTCGTTATTTGCAGTGCCATGTGACTTATGGTTCAGATATTGGCCAAGACCTCCGAAATTTACTTGAAGCAGGTGATCTAGCAGTAGTTCTCAAATCTAGGCATCGGCCTCGCTGCATTATTGAGTTCATTTCTCAATGCCTTAAATTACTGAACTTGGAGGAATCAAAGAGAAATTCACTGGTATTTGTCCTCTTCGATAATTTAATTACTTGAAAATTTTGAAAAATTCTATATGGCGGAATTCCTGTCAGATGTCTTAGAGCTTTCTCTGTTATATTTTGAAGTTTTCTTTTCTTTATTGCTCCATGATATGATACAGTTGGTTAGATTTGAAACGTGAAAATTACAGATAATTAGTCAGGTTTAATCTGGTTTCTTAACTCTCCAAAGTTTGTATCCCCAAAGCTTGTACTCAATTTTCCATGAAATTTTCCATCATAATTAACAATAATAATCAATCAGTGATATCTTCATAATGGTGCAGGAGTCAAAAATCTCTTGTTTCCACGAAGGAATTGGTGTATGTGAACAACTCATAGGTATCCCCATTCCACTATCATACACTCGCCTAACATCAAGATTTCTGGTCCTCTGGCATTTGACTCTTCCTGTTATACTTTGGGATGATTGCCACTGGATGGTAGTCCCGGCCACTTTTATCAGTGCTGCTTCCTTGTTCTGCATAGAAGAAGTATGCTTCTCTCTCTTTATTATGAATTTCGTACATTATTCTTGTTGTATTATGCATAGAAGTATGGTACTAATAGGTGCTAAACAATGGACCTGTTGCCACCCCACAAAAGCTACACAGAGCCTTTTCCCTTTCAGTTTGAAAGGAATACCCCATGACTTAAAATATTTTTATGCACTACTTAGCTTCCATAGCTCTTGCATTTTGACAATTTATGAGTCAATTATTCGAACATGTGTTATTCCTAGATCAAATTTTCTTCAGCTTGTACTGGGAAGCAAAAACATGCCTCTCTTAATGTGTGAAATGATGATGGTCTCAAAGAGTTGTCAGTTACAGCAATGAAGATGATGGATAGCGTCAATGTTATTAGGCATGAAGAAGAACGAACAACTATGAAGTAGTATCCTACATATGGTTCTAAAGTCAGTTCAGACCAAAATAGACTTTATCTAGTCTTAAGCTTTTGACTGTTTTAGATGATGAAAAGGGGGAGTGAAGTTCTGGCAACTTTTCTCTTCTTTCTTGATTAGCAGTTAGTCGCATGTCTGTGTGACTATGTGCATAGGGCGTGTGTGTTTCATATTAGATCGCCTGCTCTCAATAGTTTCTAACACACTGTTGGAGAGATGTCAAACAACTTGTCAAGTAAAGAACCTTTTCTCCTATTGGTACAAATTTCAACAACTTCAGATCATGTTCTGTTTATTCCTTATTTTATCAGTCTCTTAACAAAGCATTTGTAACTTAGACAATTTATGCACACAGGTTGGTGTTCTTATCGAGGAACCATTTCCAATGTTGGCCCTTGATGAGCTATGCAATGCAGTTCAGAGCAACATTTGGGAAGCAATTGCAACTGAGAAAGAGATTCAAGCACGCCTTGTTGCTAAAAGAAAGAGTTATTCCTGTGAGCACTCAACAAATGGTTGGCCAAACTCCTAAGCAGAAAGAGTAGCGTAAAGGATATTCTCAAACTTGATCGAAGAACAAGATGTCTGTGAACTTCAAGATCTGACGGAGCTTGCCTCTTTCTATTGTTATGTAAATCTCGCATCATGGTTGAGCTCTAGCAGCGAAATATACAGATAGGATGCATTTTTTCCCTCAAGGAATCTCAAAACAAATATATGATGTATATAGATGAATGTGACGGTGAATATGCCTGTTGTATATTCAATAATCTTTCGGAGTTCTTTCCAAATGGTTTGACTTGAATGAAAGTAACTGGAATTACCAACAGCACTTGCATATACGGCAGTTATGACCAGAAAAAAATCAAATAGTGGCACCTAGTTGTTGATCGCCACAGATGCTCATGGGAAATTTTGTTTCTGGAGATATGAGATGTAAGCCTCGTCATAACTGTTATAATTAGAGAACGTTAAGGGTTCAGTGCCCTTTCTCGTGTGAAACTCCAAAATCTTAGACATGCTTGTTCCTTTTTCTGACACTGGGTGTTCGTGCTCTATTGGCTTTTCATCCTTTTTCCCCTTTTGATGTTGTATCATCAGGTTCAGTTGGCAACGAAAAAAGTCATTTTCAAATAGATGATTAAATAAGGGGTTCAGTTGAATTTGATTGTGTGACAAATCACATGTTATGAACTATTTCGGAATGAGGTTGTGCGAGGTAAATCTTGCACTTCTAAAACAACCTGGAAATGTCATTCTTTATTGTCAATTTGAAGAACAGTTTCAGAAGAGTTTATGCATACAAGATAACAGTAGCCTTCACTTGCACAGAGGTGCAGAAGATCAAACTGTCAGTTCAGTGGTCATGCCATTTCTCTGTGATAAAACTAAAAAGGGAGGTGCAATGAGATACAATTCCTTTTCTAGGCCGACAAAAATTGGAAAATTTGGTGAGGCTGGTTGGCATAGATCCATCATCAAAATTTAGTTAGGTTGCCCTCTTGGGATAGATCAGTAGCCTAAGCGCTGGTCAAAACAAAAACTGCCTCCGTAAGCTCCTACATCTTATAGCACTATAGATAACCCTCCAGTACAACGCTGTGACCTGAGATCTTGGGCTGTAAGTTACTGACTTTTAGTCTTTGCCCAATGCTCTTCAATGCCGTGAGAGAACTCTCACCACTGCTTTCATCCCACAAAGGCAATACTTCCACCACAATTTTTTGCAATAAATTCTGCCCAATACCATCATTTAGGAGCTCTTCAAGCTCAGCCAAACTTCCTCTCAAATCCAACAAAACGCTGCACAGTCCCCAACTTTTACAATATTCCAAAATTGTATTCAAATTTATCTGTTCTAAAACCACAGTTTCAATTCCCTTTTTAGCAGTTTCTGGTTCTTTAGTTGCCTCTTTGTCTGTAAATATTACAACTTTAGAAGCTGCCTCATCCGTGAGTAGAGGAATTTGGATTGGAGAACCAGGGCCTCCTGGCATTAAAATCAAAAAAGGTTGATTGGCACCAGGCTCTTGTGATGCGGGACGAGGGGAACTGTCAATTAACGAGGCAGAAAGTATTACTGCATCATACTCTTGTAACAATTGAGAGTAGTATCCACCACAGTCAGTGACTCCTTCCCCGAGTTGGTTTAAAAGATGGCCATTGACTGAGAGGGAGTATCTGCAGGTTAAAGGGAGGCCTTAAGTTAGATCACTTTGAAAAGTGCATTCCCCAAAACTAAGGTACTAAGAAACTGGAACGTTGAAGAAAAAAGAAGAAGCTAAACATCAACTATCCAAGCAAACCGATTAAAAAGCTCAATAAAGATATCCCTTAATGATTGATTTTCTTTCTGCTTTGAAATAATACAAGGGGGTAAATTACCTAAGCGTAACAAAGGGCTTCCCTGTCAGCATTTTATGGATGAAGGCCTCATTGAGCCTCTTGCACAATTCTTCTTCTACACCAACAACTACATCAATTCCTGCATCTCTCAATCTTTGCACACCTCTCGAAGCCACTATTGGATTTGGATCAATCATCCCAACAACAACCTTCTTCACTTTAGCTTTTACCATGGCTTCACTGCATGGTGGAGTTCTCCCATAGTGATTACATGGTTCCAAGCTCACATAAGCTGTTGCGTTCTCAGCCAAATCACCAGCATCTCTAAGGGCAAAGACCTGAAATAAAATTATTCACAAACAGCTTGCCAAACAAACATGCCAGAACAGTACAGCACAAGAATAAGAAGCAGGGGTTGCATGAGTTATCAACCCAATAGTAGAATGCACTTCTAGACATCTCGTAGTGAGATTCCGTAAGCATTTTCTTTTCTTTTCAAGAATAGATAATATTTGCTTCAAGAATACAAAATCAAACTAGACATCCACATCACAAACAAAAGAGGTGAGTAGTAAAGAATATTTGGCATCATTTAAAAAGAAATTCAGAAAGGATCAAAAGAGGCACAAGTTCATCATTTCTTCCTAGAAGCAAGAAACAACTCCCAAGATTTGAAAACAGAATAGAAGCTAGAGTAGCAAACTTTAGACTCCACCTATGGCAAAGATTAACAACACAATAAAATCAAATAATCCATTTAGCTCAAAAGACGAAGCACTTCCTTCAATTTTCTAAAAAAAAAATTGCATTTTCTTTTCAACGTGGAGGGAGATAAAAGAGGAAAAAAGAAAAGTGGGCTTCATTACCTCAGCATGCGGTTGGCCAGCTTTAGGGTGAAAACCTTCACCAACAATTTTACCGTCTTTAACAATAACACAACCCACCAAAGGATTAGGACTAGTACACCCAATTGCCTTCCTTGCTAACTCCACACACCTCCTCATATAAAACCCATCATCTTTATCATCACTATCACCCTCTTTTTCCCCACAACTGACCATAACCATGCGTCCATGTTTTCCAGAACCACTTTGTGATTTGAACATCCTTTTGACTGGATGGAAAAACCCTGATTTTGAATTGACTCTGAAAGTAAGATTCGAGGAGGGGAATTGTAGTGGTGAAAAGGAAGGGAGAATTTGAGGAGAGAGTGAGAAATTGGGTGGTGTAAGAGTGTGATACGGGAGTGTCAGTTTCTGAGCCTGCATTTTTTGGACAAGGATGTAGGACAGAGCAAGCAGGGAGACAGGTTGTTTTATGAGTGACGACGGTGGGTGAATGTAAGACTGGTCGTCGAAGATTAAAAAAAAATGACCAGATCTTAAAAAATTGTCTGAGCCCGGGTTCGAACCGGGGACCTCTAGTGTGTGAGACTAGCGTGATAACCAACTACACCACCCAGACGACGTAGATTCTACGAATATTATAATATTATTAATCAAATAACTTGGGATAGATTTACGTTAATTTTCAACATAACCCGTCGTCTATGCAACTGCGTGATTGACGGTTGAATTAACATGTCGTAAGTAAATAATATAAAATAATAATTAATACTCCATCGATTTTAAAATTTTGAAAAAAAATCTTTCTAATGATCCTTTTGCATTAATTTTGACTCATCTAAGCATTATTTTATTCTTGAATTACTGGGGTAGTATCATATTGAAATTTGTATAATCAATTTTGCTCTTGAACTCTTATGTTTTGAGCAAATATTGTTTCTCCGTTTGATTTAACTATTATTATTAATAAATTTTTTTTTTAAAATTAACTTTTTGTATTTAAAACTGATTTTTTTCACATATGTTAATAAAAATTCAATCTTTTTCTTTTTTTTAAATCGAAAATGTTTTAGGTCAACATGCATTGTTTTAATTTTTCTTAAATATTAAATATTAAATATTAAATATTAAAAAAATTGCAATATATATGTGTGTGTGGATGATCTCAAATTTTGTTGGGAGCTCTAAAAACATTATATAAATTTATTTGTTTAGTCTTATAATGATTTCTAAAATATTTACATGGTGGAATGCATAATAATTAATTAAACTTAAAATAAATTAATTTTGAAAACTACATAGGCAAAAAGCCAATCACACTAAAATTACATATGTAAATTCATATTATCTCCTTTGAGTTTTTCTTTCAAAAAAAAAATTTGAGGTAATTCTAACTTATTTTTTTATAATTTATTGAATTTTTATTGTTTGAAATATCAAAAACAAAAAAATAGTTGAAAATGTCAAAATATATATATTTTTTGATCAGTACAAACGGTCAAATGAAACAAATGGACAATATTTACACCAAAAAAAAAAAATTGATAGTATAAGGATAAAATCGACAAAATTGACAGTACAAACTTCATGTGGGCCTAAAAATGCAATTAGACCTCTTATCTGATATGGTTAGGAACTTAACCTAACCTAGATCCAAGGATGTTGCGACCAGAAACCTTTTATGGGCATTAAGATGCGGATGTTATTTGAATGAATGAGTGGCGACTCCTTTTAACCATATTTATCAGTTGTCCATTACATTTCGAACCCCATGAGCTTATTCGATCCAAGATACGAAGAATTTATAATCTGAAGTTTCTGTTCTAATCCATGACTCCAGACCATACTGTACCCATAAACTGGGAGAAACAACGATAGCTTCAGGAATCTGTACTCTTGGTGTTGTTTATGGAGGCCAAACCAAGGCAGTGGATTTGGGAAGAATGAGGAAAGTGCTGCGTTGCAGGCCTGGAAGCATCAGTTTTCTCTGACCCGACAAATTTGGACCATTTGAGACACACATGACACACGCGCATGCTAAAAAATTGCATGGCAAATATAATATCGTACCTTCCAATATAATAAATAGTGGAGTTAATGACAACATGTCCATTGCAATTCCCCAAATGGTTTTTATACACGATATCTGGGAGATAAAACTTCCCCCATGCTATGTACAACCTAAGGTACAACAACAGAAATAGAAGTGTATAGAGAAAAGAGAAGACAAAAATCAAATAGAAAAAGAAAAATACACAGTTAAAAGGAGAACACACGTCAAGTGCAGTGAAAATTGGAGTCGGGATGTTTATATGCTGCTGTTCAGTTAATGATCTTTATAAGATGAAACAGGAACAGCAGCCTCCTGTAGCATTCTTATTTCGGAAACTCTCCTCGATTGACTCTAGCTTTGATATTATCTCTTCAAATGTTGGTCGACTTTCAGGATTCTTGTGCCAACACTCTCGAAGAAGCCTAAATCAAGTGAAAGCAAGTACAGTCATGAACATAATCAAGCAAAGTAAAATGTAGAGTTTTAGATAAAGCCTTTTGCAGTATGGAGGGTGTCCAGAACCAAATAATTTCAGAAACAATAGCACCAAGTTGCAGAATGCAATTCTTGAAAATAAATGTTGACTAGCACAACCAACCTAAAAACGATTCATAGCCCAACTACCGTTTTCGTTAATAGCTTTATCTAGTGGCATGCCTTTGCAAATAGAAGGCACCCCGAGGACTGCAATTATTATGCTCAATTACAGTTTATCTTGTACTGGTAAATAAGCCGCGATGACAGAGAAGGAAAACTAACTTCTTAATTGGATCAGGGTATAGAAATGAGGATAAAGATGGTCGAACATCTTCATATGCCCGCTTGTCTGCAACATGCTCAGGAAGTGCTGTCCTATTTGATGGCCCCCCTTGGAAGATCTGCAAGTAAATATAAACCAGCGTTAACAAGATCATGAAACAATCAGAATGCATTAGTTACATGAATTAATCAAAACAGAATCTAAAATTACTAAACTTTCATGCTCTTTATTGGTCCATACAAGAAATGAAGAACATAACCAATGCAGGAAACCTGCCAATTTAAAATCTAAACATAAAGTCTTTTGTTGAATCTTTTTCATGGCTAGAGATCAAACGGAGCTCGATTAGTTTCTGCTAGACAAGAAATGAAGAACATAACCAATACAGGGAACATTCCAATTTAAATCTAACCAGAAAGTGTTTGAATGAAATCATAAGAATATGTTGGCTGTACACTTTATTTTATTTCTCTGCCATTATAGTTTCAATTGGCTACACCATAACAATTTTGATTGCATATAAACCCAAAGTTCGAATTCAGTTACCTCATGTACTATGAGAGCAAAGGAGAAGACATCAACGCTTTTCCCATAGGACTCTCGACGATAAACCTCAGGTGCCATGTAACGATCTGGAAAATTTCATAGCATTGGCAACAATAAAAGGCATGATCTTTACATGACAGAGAATCTTTACTGCTTTAGTCTTAATAGATATATTAATTCAATAATTCAATGAACAGAAATGCTTACATGAACCTGTTCCTCCAGTCATTTTGTAACCTTGGGCATCCTTTTCCTGTGCAATTTTGCTTAAGCCAAAGTCGGTAACCTTTAGGTGGCCAGACTCATCTTGTAACACATTACTGTGAATATTAGCATGAAAAAAAAAAAAAAAAGAACCTATGAGGTTATTAACATTCGATTTGTCATTTGCTGCTCTCACTAGCATTGGGGTACGAGGAAAGGTGTTATTTGGAGAAGTTGAGTCAGAAACTCTTATGATTTGACCTGCAAGCCAAGTAGCCAACACAATCAACATGAAACAGAAATATCCAGAATACCTTGGTGTCAGATCCCGATGTATAATAGCACGTGGTTTGTGTTGATGCAGATAATTCATGCCCCTGCAAGGTTTCATGACCAATGGTGGAGATTTAGTATGTAACCTACATACGATTACACTTCTAACAGGGTAATACATAACAGGAAATGCAAGTGCATCTAATTGTCTGTGCTTTCATCGGAGAATTCAACAATAAGGTCACTTTAATGACAGAAGCGACAATATTATCAGATAGATCCTAAAATACTCAATTCAATTCAAGAAAGCTGAACTCAAACTTGGTAAATCTCCTATACAACAACTTTTATCTTCTTTGATTATTTAGGAACAAAAGGGGCATGTCTAACTATTGTAGAAGTAGTCTCAACTGGACCAAAAAAACATGTATATTAATTGTAAAATCAACAGCACAAAAAATCAGAAGGGTGAGGGTTCACAAAATTAGAAGCAAACATCCAATTAAGCTCAATAATATATAAACAAAATACTGGTCGTTTGTGCTTCTTATGATAACATGGGAAAGTTTACACGGGAAGCACATGATGGGGCAGAGGTCCATTTTATCATTTACATTTGCATATGATATGTTGCCTCAGTTTTCGGGACGCTTGGAAATGAATAACAAAATAAAACTTTTGCCAGACATTTAAATAAAACTATAAAGCTTCTATTTTCAAACTTCAAGTATAGGAAGCATCCTTCGAACATCTACCTTGCAATGTCTAAAGCATAGCCAACTGCTGTTTGCCAATCAAGTCTTCCCTTCCTTTTCAGTACGTCATACAAACTTCCCTAAGACGTTCCATTGGAGGAAAAATCAGGGGCGTAAATCATGACTTCTAGTCGAATTCTAAGTCGGCAAAATAAATTTCAAAAAAACCCAAATCATGATTTAAAGTCAGAAAACCCACATTGCGAAGGTACTCCGTGAGGAAGATCAACCGATCAGACTGCTTTAAAACACCGAGGAACTGCACTATATTAGGATGGCGCAACTTTTGCCACAACCCCAGTTCCTTCAAGAAGGTATTCCTGTGAGGTAATCGTGCACAGAAACTCAACTTAAGTATGCAATCTGAAAATAGTTAAGAATTGCTAGAAGCGATCTATACTTGATAGGCACCTAGTAGATCCACATTATAAACATCACTACTATAGTTTTTATTGTTTTCTTTTCCTTCTCGTTTTCCTTAGTGCAATAGTTCATAGTTTATTAGCTTGAGCTGGGTCATTTCAGATAATAAGATCATTCTTTCAACATGGAAAAACGTGATTTCACGTCTTAAATTTACTAGTCTTGGTTATTTTCTTTTCTTCTCTTGGTTTCTCAGTGCAATAGTTTCACAGTTTATTGACTTGAACAAGCCAACAAGGTCATTTAAGATGGTCAGATCATTCTTTCAACTACAAAAAACTTTGATTTAATGTCCTAAATTTACAAGAAGGGTATAATTTGAATATTTACAATGGATAGAACATTGAAACTCTGAGAGAGAGAGAGAGAGAGAGAGAGCATGTTACACAACTTAAGATATGAAACTCACTTCACCCTTGGATCTGATGCAATGGAGGAACGGATCGTCTTTGCTGCTACTTCTGTACCACGCCATTTCACTAAGTAAACTTCACCATATGATCCCTGCAATATTTCCTGATTTAAGTCAGAAGAATCGTCACAGTAACATAATTAAGTGAGGACCATACTCGTGATGAAGGTTAAATATCTAAATGGAGCTCCTAGGACCCAAAGGACATGGCACAATTAAAACGGATTTCATGTTCCCTGAGTTTGCCTTAATAAATTAAGATATCCAGGAATTACTTCTCCAATGAGTATTGCATCATCCATGTCCACTTCAGAGTAATCAATCTCATAGCAAGCAGTCTGAGAGTCCAGACCTACCTGTCCCAGTGAAAATAATTATAGAAAAACAGTTCATAAGAGGGAAATCGAATAAAAAAAAAAAAACCGATTGAATATTACAAGACTCATGAAGCTTCCAAAATAGTTGTTCCAACAACATTCTGATATGAACTAATGGAATAAACACACTATTTACCCATCACTAGAATAAACAATAGCCTTAGTCTTTACGATCCTGGCCATATTAGACCATTAACTCTATGGTTTAAAATGATCACTCAACACATGTGAAAAAATACCCCCTTTCTGAATCTATTTAGCTCAACACCGCATAAAATCAAGCTGTACATGTAGATATGCATAATTTTAAAATGTTGATATTAGGTCTCAAATTTTGGCAAGGATACTCTGTATAACGAACAGCAACCCTTAAAATCAAGGAACAGCTACATGGCAACATGTGTCCGTAATGTATTGTTGACTCTGTTTTCCTCTTCATCTATTGATTATTTTGTAGGAGACGAATTAACATATTGTGCATTCAGTTAATATATGGAAGAAATAAGGAAAAAGAAAAAGGTGTGGTGCACTAGTTTTAATTTCTCTTGCACAATGTACAAATAAACAGTAGGTCCATGCTGAATGTCTATGATATGGCAGTCAAGTACAATCGATATATGTTTGAGAAAGTGTCATGCATTTTTTTAATTCGACAGAAATATCCTGCAAATTCCATGAAAAGTGATAGTTCTTATTGAGGTCAAGCTGAATATTTTGGCCAGATATCAATGGTCTAAGGAGAAATTCAGATAAAAGCATACAATGGATATAGCATTAGGCGTGTCTCCTTCACATATCCTAGTCTTATGGATATTCTTAAAACCACAAGTGCATGCTAGGAAAGTGCAATACCGGATCTATTCCACCTCGAGCTTCCAAAATCTTGCAAATATCTTCATGGCCAAAGCTACGAGCATCTGACAGAGGCTGAAAATTTTCTGATATCAACTATACTTAATTTGAGTATAAAAATGACAGGACACTACAAAGTTGAAGTATTCTATGGATATGCTAATAATAAAAATCTGACAGAAGTTTAGAAAACCCTCTAAGTCACAGCACAGTTATGCAATACACAGAATGACACTAAACAAAAGCACTCAAAATGATGGTGTGCTAGTCCCTTGTTATACTCACTCGAAGACTGAAATTTTCAATACAGAGTTCTGCGTAAGAATTTCCATTTCTAAGCTTCTCTACTTTTTTTTCTTCTCACTTTCCTTTTTGGTGAACGCAGACAGCAGAGGTAATGGTGGTTCATGATCTTTCACCTTTTTGAACTTGATGCAAATTCTAAAATCAGTTTACTACTTATTGAACTTGTGATTTCAGTGAACTACTGAAACTGGGAAGGTGCCAAGCGAAAATAAAGAACATAGTTTTAGTTTCCTAATGTATCCGATACAATGCCTCTGTCTGAGCAACGAGTCCTTACCATTTAGCTCATACCTTTCACAACTAAACAAATTAGCTGTGTTACTGTATGGCAAGCAAATGGTTATCAAAGCCAGAGTTGAAGAAACTTACAGTGCGACCCCAACGATCTATAGAATTCACATCTGCTCCTTTCTCAAGAAGTAGTTTCACAACTTCAGTACAGCCTTCACAAGATGCCAGATGAAGAGCTGTTCTCTTGTCATAATCAGCCAGAATGGGTTCCACCCCTTTATCTAACTCCTGTAACACTCCTGCTTTGTCACCTTTGCTTGAACAAAAAAGCAGCCGATATGGACCTTCTGAGTCAATTGCTTGTGCTTGCATCCTCTGATACACAAAACCGTAATGAAAATGTATTCATTTATAAAGACAAACTTGGCAGCAATCTATGAAATAAACAAGAGACAGGTGATCTGTGGAACTTTATTTCATCCTTAGCTGCTTCATCGTATCCAAAATTTCAATAAAGCACACAAAGATCATATAAAGCAACGATATATGTGAGCTCATTGATTATCATTGGATGTATGATGAGTTTCCACTGTTGAAATTTGAACAAAAACAAAATGTTCCTGACATATTTTTCCTTCATATGCCTTACATAATTGTCATTCATAGAAATGTCATAAAACTTGAAAAAACACAGTAAAGCCTTCATAAAACCCCATTTCCATGAAGATAAGAATGAATAAACCTAGATTGGGCGGTTGCATAGAGCAATACCATTACACAAACCCATTTCTCTCCTCGATGCCACATAGAAGAACAAACAAAGGGAAATTATGCTGAAATAATTCTTGTTAATAACAAATTAAAAATTAATTAAAAAAAAAACCTTTATTTGATTCTTATTAATATAGATCTTGCAGACAAATCCAGCTCCAAAAAAACTAGCAAATGCTCATTCTCAAAATGATTGGGAACTTACTTTGCTTATAGGAAATACTCAAAACAGTAAGGAATCACAAATATCATAGAATTCAGTCCATTCGATTAAGAAAAATTTAACTTCCCTCACCAAAACGAGATGCTGATCATCAAATAAATAAAATACTTATTATAAGCCCTTTTAAACATAAATAATTTAATAGGAAAAAATCTTTAGCTGACTCCAGATAACAAACTCTCTTCAATTCAAGAATCAATTTTTATATCAAAGAAACCTCAAAATATGCATAAAAAATAAAAGGTCAAAGGAGTACCTTTGAAGGAGGGGAAGGACTCTTGCTGTATTCCATGAATCAAAAACAACCAGAGAAAGCTATCTCTGACCAGAAAAGTAAATGAAATAACTCAACAATTAAAATTGAAAATCAATTTGAACGCAAAGAGAAGTTAAAACCAAACAGAAGTACTAATACACGACTCAATACTATAATTTTTGTTCTAGTAAACGAAACAGTGAAGTTTGCATGAACAAGTCCAGCTAAGCTTACAATAGACGGGAAGACAGTTAATACATTTTCGATTAAAATAATGATTGTAAAAACAACAATCCAAATCTATTTTTTATTAAATTTGATGCAAACGAGGCTTATTATCTTGTCTTGTTTCTACTTGATAATTTTTCACTTAGATTTCTACGTCTCCGGATATCGGATTAGAAGGGGGTTTCAAAAATACTGTTTGTTTGCTGAGAAAACCGAGAATTATAACTTCGTTAAATTTTCTCAGCAGTCAAACACCTTTTTTCCCTCCTTTTGTTTTATCTGGATCGCGAAGAGGGTTTTGGAGGTTTGATTGGAAAGTTTGTTTTGGCGGGTTTTCTAGTGATTTAAATGGCAGTCCCGTTTTAATTCTGAGTTAAATCCCTTCCCCCACCTTGGGGCTGTGATAAAAAATAAAAATAAAAACGGAGGCCAGTTTTCACATAGTCAAGTCTATCTCTCATGCAAATTATCCATATCAGAAAAAAGTTTGATCTTTTTCACATCTTTCTTTTGGATTCATATTCAAAATAATAAAATAAAAGCTAATTCCTAATATTACTAAAAAATTTGGGAAATTCAAAACACTATGTATTCATTATGCACTATCGTTTATTTCACTGTTCATTCAATCTTGATTGTATCTAAAATCATTATTCATTCACTTGTACGTTTATATTGTTTATCCGAAAATATGTATTTTTGTCCCTTATGTTTTAGCATTATACTTTTTCAATCCACAAGTTTATTTTTCGTTTATTTTGATCTCTGCATACCAAGAGGAGAGAGAAAGGATCGACAAAGCTCATTTTGGCCACCGTGAAGGTTGAGCTTGTCACCATTTTGTTCGTCTCGAAGCGTAGAATCCATTTGTAATAGTGGCAGAAGATAATATCGTCGTCGGAGGTAAATCGGAAGCCCGAAATATTTTGAGTTTTTTATTTTGATTTGAATTTTGTGTGTTTTGCGTAAATTAAAATGGTTTTTTAAGTTTAAAACGAGTTTTTTTTATGTTGTTTATATGATTTTGAAGTGTTTTTGGACAAAAGCGGAACTGAATTAGGTATTGGAAGGTTGGAAATTAATAAACCCGACTTTCCGGCCAAATCGAACTCGCAGGAAATTGCAGAGTCGCCGGAAAATAAAACCGGCCAAAAAATTTTTTTTCCTTCTCCGGGCCTCAAGAGATTGTGAAAGAAAATTGGTTTTTGCTCTCTCTGATTCTATTTGCTTCTCTTATGAAAGAAAATTGGTTTTTGATCTCTCTAACTCTTTTACTTCTTTTATTTTCATGGGTTTTCAGAAGTGAGCTACGTAGATCCTATGCTTAGTCTTTCTGAAGATGAAAAAGAAAAGGTCATATTGTTTGTCTTTATGTTCAGTTGAATAGAGGGTATTTGCTAATGCGGGTTCAAAAAGATGGAAACTTTGAGTCTTAATTTTTTTTTTTCAAGCTCTTTCTTTTTCCCAACAATCAAAACATACTTAAAAATTGGAAAGGTCACTACTTTTCTGATCTTACCAGTCTCATTCCTTTGCCTTCATTTTGTGTGTTTATATATATATATATATATATTGGTTTTAGCAGATAGAAATGTTTGCTTCCAAAATCTTTTCTTTTTCTTTATATCATTGTTTTGGTGCATTGGGCTCAAATTTCATGGTAAATAAAATTGCTAATGGAGTCTGAGGATCTGGGGTCCAGAAATAAAATTTTATTTTGATTATCAGCTTACCTTCATATTGAAAGTACAGAAAGGCATGTATCTGTCATGTGTGATTCTTGTATGTATCTGTCTAGCAAGGATAAAGGGCACCCTTTAGTTTCTTTTGCATATTATTAAACTGGTAAGAGTAATACCATGGAAAGACTTTATCATGGCAACTTTAATTGAAAAGAAAAATGAAGAATAACAAAGCACTAGACTAATAATTTGAGGGAGCCTATGATGGTTCTCTAGTTTGTTGCGTGTTTCCTGCTTTGAGGTCATGTTAAGGGTGATGACACCAAGAGGCAAGTACTCTTTTCCATGTTATAAGTAGTTTCAGTTTATAGCAGCAGGACTTCAGCAATCTCAGAAACTGTATCAGCTACCATCTATTTATATACCCCCCTTTTTCTGGCAATCTATTACATTTCTTTTATTGAGATTGACATTAGGCAATGCATTGTTTAAGATAGGAATCGAACTCGAGACTTGGCTCGGTTTTTTTGTAAAAAAAACTATAAGGTCATTGGTAAATGATTAAAAGTATTTGAATTCAAAACTTGTTATTGATTGGCTATTGCTTGAACTTTTGAAGAAGTTAAGCACAAATATATTTTGTTATGATCTAACTTTTGAGCTGTTCTATCTCGTTAAACAGCTATAGCTTTAGCATTTTATATGCTGATATTGATGATAGTTGCACTGACTGAGAATTATATTGTTCACTGACATGTGCTTGCATTTTGCAGGGGATGACTTGTGGTTTCAGTGAAGATTGGTAAAAGGGCGAGGTCTGAACTCGAGGGGCTTAAGCAATACCAAAGGAAGACTCGAGAAGCAAGTAAGGATATTACAGAAAAAAAGATAAGGAAAGTAATCAAATCTGAGAACTAAGCGCAAGAGGATGAGATGTCAGCCATGAAAACAGGAGTTCAAAGAAATGAGAACCTGATACTGCGGAGGGTGAAGACTGAGCTCCCTGAGGTGGAAACTATTGGGACAGAGATCACCAACATTATGGTGTCTCCAGAGGAAGAGAGAGCATATGATGAACTGCTATCGATACTTTCTGGTCCTCCTAAAGTACCTAATACAAGTGGGCTTGCAGCAGAATTGCTTGAGGCTTATGCATTGTCGATTCCTACGTTGAAGAATGCACTGATATCCTTCCTAACCACAGCAAAGCCAGAGGATGATCCAGCCCTTATGATCACTCAAGTTAACAGAGCATTGACATCTCTTTATTCCCTCAATGCTGATTGTGGTTCATTCTATAACAAAGTGAGATCTTACATTGATCATTGTTATGAATTCTCTAAAGCCCAAAAAGAGAGAGAGAGGAGAATATAGAAGCTCTAAAACTGATATCTTGTTATGAGGAAACTTCTCTTCAATCTACTGCAGTAGCAAGGGTTGTTTCTAATATTGAGGCAAATCTGGAGAAGGCTAGAGAGTGTCTTACTCCTCTTGAAGCAAAGTCTGAAGTGACCAAAGCCTTGCTTAACAAGCTTGAAGCAGAGGTTGACAAAAGAGAACCGAGGTGGCTGACCTGGAAGCTGAGAAGATTCAACAGAAGAAGTATTTAAAACATGTTATTGCTCACTACGCAACGAAAGCCAAATCAGCAATTGGTTGTATTCTCCGCCGGCGAGACGCTGCTAGAGCTTATGTGGAAGAGACTAGAGCTATCCTGTCCTCTTCTTGATTCTCCCACTGATTTGATTATAGGGATAATAGTATTATCTTTACTCTTCAAATTGTTTTAATTCATTAAGAACATTCTGGCTAATCTATGACTCGAAACTAAATCCTATTTCTACTCAGTTTTAAAGCAATATATATAACATAAAGGATTATTAATTAATATTCTTAATTATAATTTCTTTTTTTACAAAAAAATAAATAAATCCAATGATAATTTTATTTACAGATTTCATATTTACATCACAAGTATGATTCTGAAAGTAACTAATAACTTATCGCATAATGTAGTCTGTCAGTTAATTGTTCAGTAATTAACAAAATTGAACTAGTAGATTTATACGTATTGATGGTATAATAAACACTAAACAAATAATATTAAATAAAAATAAAATATTTTAATTGCGAAAGAGTAAATTATAAATTTCTCTTTTTATTTTTGAAAAATGAAGTAACTAGTTTTTTTTATTTTAAAAATTAATTATATGGTTCTTTAAATGAATTAGCGGTAGTAGTAGCATGCATTTCCTTCTGACTTTTTTTCTGCGCTACACCTTGACTACTTGACGGAGGATAATTAGCTATGCCCGAAAAAAAGGCAAATCTACTGACTTGACTCTTTGAAGAACTTCCCTTTTACAAGCAGGAGACTAGAAGGAGGATGCCCGCAATCAGATGCTAGAGGAACTGAGCTGCCAATATGTATATCAAGATGAATAATAAACAAGATTATGTTCTGCTTTTGTCTCATATTGAACCTAGGCAAACATTAAGATAAGATCTAGATGAATTAGCCAAGGAGGCAGGCACCTAAGGGAAAGATTAGTATTGATCGACAGGGTTATCCGAAAGCGAAAAGTTTAAAATTAAAAAAAATAAAAAAATAAAAACCGAGAAAGCTCGGGTCCCTAAGTCGCTCATGCTTGTATTAATATTATTTTATTTTATGAAATATTATATTTTCTTTTTTAATTAATTCTTTCATATTTTTTACTTTTTTTTAACAAAAAATCAAAATAAATTTAAAAAATAAAGTTATAAATAGATTTTAAAATATTGAAACTAATTAATTAGTTTTTAAAACTACAAAGACTGTTCAATTCATTTTGTAAAACTAAAAGGAGTCATTTATAATTTATTCCCTCTAATACATGATTAGGACAAAAGAGCTCTTGTTTTCCTAAGCTAGAAACTCATAAGTAGCCAATAGTCCTTTCAATGCACCATACATAAATGCATGATCAAAAGGCAAATAGAGCATAAAATGAAATCTCAAAATTCACGCTTTCTTACCGCTGTGTTATTTAATAAAATAAATTAAAATAAATGGATGGTTTACTATTCTAAAACCAAACAACTGTTTACACATTCACATTTTACTATTTTTTCACTATTTATAGTATTTTAACTCTTTGATCTATAATATTTGCGAACAAATATTTCGATTAATATTTTCATTTGCTCATTCATTTTGATCCCTAGGTATAGAGAGAAGGGAGAGAAGATGGAAGGAGAAAGAGATCGTCAACCAAACCTATTTAGGCCACTTTGGCCTTCCAAAATTCATTACATTTTTTTATTTTTGAGAAATGAATTTATATTTTCTGGTTTCAAGTCAATAAACAATTAAAGAAGATATATCGGAGCAAAAAAAAAAACAAAGTTTCAATTTAATTGTGTAATTTTTTTCATTTTTGTGCATATTAAAATAGTTTTTAAAATCTTAAATATATTTATTGATTTTATTTTAATTATTTAAAAATATTTAGAGAGAAAAATAATATCGAAATTTAATTTCTAAGTACATGAAACTTTACTTTTGATTTTTTTAGGAAGCTTCGAGCTAACTCAAGTTCGGTGGAAGTTGCAATTTTTTTTATTTTTTTGTTAAGCAGCAGCCCAGGCCTGACGCGCAGACCAGAGCTGCCCTGGCACGCAGGCCTTTTTTTAAATAAAAAAAAACGCACATTTTGGCAGTAGAACTGGTATATTTTTGGGCGAATCTAAGGAGAAAAGTCCCTAACTTATGGGAACAATCTCAATTAGACTTCCAATCCATTTTATCTCTATTAGATCTCTAACCTATTCATGTATAGTCGGTTCCAATTGATGAAATTATAACTAGCCACACTAAACATATTCCTTAATATCTTCTTCTTTTTTTTTTTTTGCATCAAATGTATCTCGGGTTATATACTAAACTATACACACAAAACATAAATTTCTTATGGTTTTTTACTTAATCTGTTCTATTATTTTACGAGAAAATTTTTTTCAGTAATTAGAAAAATTATTGTTATAAAAAATAAAAGGGATTTGATTAAGAATCGATCAATATGCAAGAAATCTAATTGAGATGAAAAATAAGTTGAAGATCTAATCCATATTGTCCTTATAAGTTGGGTATTCTTACTAATTTTTTTTTCCAACCAAATCTTTCTACTAAATTGATAAATTATTAGGAACTAAATTATTTTATTAAAACTTTTTTTCAAATTGTTATATGTAATTTATGAGAATTAAATATATTTTTTTAATTATAAACCTTAAATATTTTAAACATGGGCAACACTGCCCATGTGACTCAATCATTTACACTCAAGAATTTGTTAGATTTTATATATACGTTCTAAATTTATCAAACAAATGCGGTTCCATGGATTAAGACTATTTGCACCAATCCATAGCGTTTTTTTTTTTGTTTTTTCCATTGAATGTATTTTTCCTTTAATGTTACATAAGTAATTAAAAAAATTTATAGACATTTTATTGCTAATTTATTAATTATTAATTAATGTACATGTTCAATTTGTTCATAAAAAATAATTAAGAATTTTATTAATTTTATTATGTATTAATCTATGCTTTTTTTTTCCTTGATTTCGGCATAAGTTACACAACAAATGGATTGGACTAAAGAAAGGATCATTTTTCTATACATTTTTTTTTCAATTTCAAACATTTTTCTATACATTTTTTTTTCAATTTCAAACTTTAATTGTATTATGATTTAATCCTATTTTATTTTAGTGTTTTTTAATTATTTTAATTATTTAAAATTTACTATTTTAATTTATCATTTCTTTTAAATTCTCATCCAATTAATTTAAAATTATATTCACCGATAATTTTGATTGATTTTAATATTATTCATTCTTTTATAAATAAATATATAAAAATTAAATTCATATTTTTTTCAAAAATCAATATTCTCATCGACATGAAATAAAAAAAAAAACATTTGTTTTATTCTATGTAAACTTTCAAAAATCGATATTCTCATCAACATGAAATGCTAAAACTTTTTTTAAAAAAAATTATTTAATTTTTTTTAGTTACTAATCAATGGATTAATAAGGATAAATCATTTTATAAAGAAATAATTATAAAAAACACAAATAAAAATAGTTAAATATAAAATTTTTTATTAAAAAATTATAAATATTTTTTTTCATATTTGGTTTCATATGTTTTTAAAAATTCACACCATAAAATAAACTATTAAACTAAAATAATTTTATATATTTTATTTATTCCGCATGGTAGCGCAGCTAAAAAATTTACTTATATTCTAATACAAAACATAACATATATATCACATGGGATGTGTTGTTTTAAAGGCTGGTGAGTCATATGAAAGCTGTGTGAACGAAAAAAAAAAAAAGCATTACTTTCTGCTAAAAGCAAGGTGGGTTGTTTCAGTCTTTCAGAGGTTGGTGATATTAGGTCTTTGTGTTAATAGAGAACTTTGAGAATCATTTCAATAATAGAATCTTATGAAGAAGGAAGAAGACTAAGTGGGAAAGTGCTCCCACTACAAGTTAACAACCAAGGAACCCTGTCTTGCGGTCAAGAAAACCTAAGAACACTAGCACGGTAAGATTTCTTACGCATTTTTCACTTGCCAAGAAAAGAAGAGACGGTGAAAGAAAAATGGTTTCTGCTCTCTCTGACTCTTTTTGCTTCTGTTATGAAAGAAAATTGGTTTTTGTTCTCTCTGACACTTCCCTACTTCTCCTTGTGTTTCGCGAGCATTTCAGTTTCATCTGCACGTACTTGATTCATAAGTAATTGCAGTTATCTTTTGAAGAACATAAATACAGAAAAGAAAAATAAATAAAAATTATCATACCCAATCTATTCTTGTTAGATATCGTAACGGCACGTCTATGTAACATTTGCGAACTAGGAACTTTCTTCTTGATTGTGTTCCTTCCTCTGGATACACCAGCGGTATCGGAGTCCAAGATCACAGTAGGCATAAAGTCATCTTCCAAGATATCAAAAGAGTCATCATCTTCCATTTTTCCCTTGTCATGCCCGAAGTTTTGCTCATTGTCACCAATAATGGAACCATAAACTTGATTTGGATAACAAATCTCACAAGCAGAGTCGTCCAAAATGGCTACATGGAAGGTGGAATCACTCTTGTAAAAGAAGAGTAAAAGATGTCCCTCCCGTATGGAGTAGTGTTTTAAGAGTTTATCTAAACCATCTTCAAACCACACTTTGTTCTCATTTCTCGACAGGCCTATGTGCCAAAAACCACCATTTGGAATCACTACTTTAGTAACATTAGAAAGTTCATTCCCAAAATTCCTTACAAACAGCTTTGGCAATTCCTGCAAGTACTTAAATAAGTCAAGTTGCTGTCTGCTTGAATGCAAAATAAAGCACGATAATCACAAAAATATCAAATGTTCAAAGAGGTACACATTGGCGTGCAGATTTCTATGCAAAACTTACCATTTAATAGACTATTAATTCAGACAGAATATAAACTATATCTAGTACTTGAGAAAGGCAAATCAACCAAGCAATTAACGAGACAAACTGAGTATGGTGTCTAAATTATCAACCCCCTTAACAAAACATCTAGTTACTTAAAAACAGACTTCGAAAGACTCCAAAAGAAGTATTGAAAACAATGACAAAGCATCAAAGAAATCAAACTGCATTGAAAACAATATCTGCGTAAATTACCAGCTTATTGTCATCTATGGTGTTTTGAAGAATGACCTTGAAGAAATTCTGAGTCATACTGATTTCCAGCACTCTGCCTCCTCCAGCAAAACTTTGGTTTTTTACTTCGCTAACTGGAAAAAAACAAAAAATAAGATTGTAGTTAGCTGGTCAGAAGCGTTCGTAGCTTGGGTTTGACCCAATATTTCTATATTCAATCTTCATGAAGACACTCTAACCAACAAAAAGTCTCTTTCAGACATCTTAACCTATGTATATAGTTACAGTTTAACACCACTTTCATTATTTATGAAACAACACACTCGTCGCGTTTTCAGCTAAACTAAATGACTGATTATGATTGTATGATAAAAGTAGTAAACTATAATTATGCCAATAAAGACATGGCAAGCAATATATATATATATATAATTTTTCCGTCAATTCTACTAAGAAGTTTAGAAATCTTACTCCAGTTTTTTACTACTTAAAGTCCAAAAATAACAAAGTCTTTAGCACACTGTAACCAACAGATTAAAATGGCTGTGTTGGAGGAAAAGGAGATCAAAGTAAAGGGCTATTTTTGGGCCTGATGGAATTGGGTCTTGTACTAGGTTAGTTTTTGTCCCAACTGTCTCAGTCCCATTTTTGCGATCTACTTTCTGAGCTTTGTAATGGACTCTTTCACGTTGGACATGCGCCATGTTTATTTTTTCTGTTGAGAGGTAAAAATACAAAAGAAGAAGAAAATTATGATGAACTTTCTACCTGATTGATGGGAAATTAGATGAAGCTGCAGCTAGGCCAACCGACCATTACTACTTCTGGCTCTTAACATCTTTGTTTAACAGCACAACTGTCTCTCTTAGTACTTAATCTAGCCTCATCTAACATGAAACCACCCCCTCGAACCATGATATTCTTGAACACATTCACAAAATTGAAATATATATATATATATAAAAACAAAAGGCTGGCCTATTAGTCTTATGCCTTCAACATATTCACATAACTTACAGTCAAGGCCTAGATTAAGCAGAAAGAACACAGATCTCCTCGGAAGTTAAAAGACAAAAAGAAGTAAAACAAGTTGTAACAACAAGTGAAGGAAAAGAAAAGTACATCTCTCCAAGAAGCTACCCTAGAATGGATCTTCTCCAAAGAGTCCAATGCTTTCTACAACCCTAGAGACCAGCAAGTGCCCTTTCCTGAGATTTTTTCTCTCCGTATGAAAGAGAGACGGAGAGAGACAGTCCCTCGTGATTTTTCTCTCTTTTCTTTCGGTTCTCTTGAGAGATTATAGCTACTGTACTTCACTGAGCATGTGATGGCTGAAGAGCGTGTACTGCTCTTCAGACCTTTTTGCTTTCTTTAATTTATAGCTAACCAAAAAAATAGTACAAGTCCATGATCCCGCAGGTTAAACTCTGGAAACCAACATATAAACGATTTACACACTGGGTAATAAGCAATAACCAGCTCTGCTTCCTTTGTTTTTCGAATTCAGTACCAGGTAACGTTACGCCTTTTTTCTGGCCTCAAAACAATAAAAACCTGACACTTGCATGCTTCCTATTAACCACCAACAAGCCAAGACTCACTCCTTACCGTTCGATCATCTCAAAGAAGAACGATAACGTGATGTCAAACGTCCAAGATTCAGTACAGTACTGTTGGAGCTAAGGAAGCCAGGATAAGAATGTTGAATGACTAGTCAAAATATCACCAGATACTTTAGTTTTGAACTGGAAGAGGATGGGCTTGGAGCCTCGTTCATATTTTGTTGTGTTTTGTTTTGTTGGTGCACAGGCTAGAGAATTATTGTTATAATTCTTTAATTTAAAAACTAATTATAAATTATTTTTTTATTATCTTTGATTGGATAATCAAACTGAAATGATTTTATTTTGTGTGGAAAATCAACTCATTTACTCTAATTCATTTTGACTTATTGTGGTTTCATTATTATTAGTAGTAGTAATTTATTTATTAAGTTTTTGCCATCACAAAAAGTTGTGTTGAGCTTGAGTAAATTATAAGTTAGTCCTTTTAGTTTGATAATCGAATTAATTAATTTTTTTTTAAAAAAATTACTATTTAGTTATTTGACTAGTACGGACTATTTTTAATTTAATTTTTTTTATAATAAATAGATATTACGAAAAAAAATGATGAAAAAAGAAGATATTTTTGTAATAAAATAAATAATATTTTTTTAACAATGAGTAAATAATTAGTTTTAAAGTATAAGAGATTAATTTATTAATTTATCAAAACTAAATGGATTAGTTAATAATTTTACTAGTTGAGCTTAGAATTTACAAGCATGCATTGTGAACAAGAGTGCACTTTCTATTGAGTGTTAAATATTAAGAAAATATAATAAGAAAAGACTTAAAAAATATACACGAACCGTTAGTTAGCAGAACCTATAATTAGGCAGTTGGATCGGATCCTGAAGTGAGATCCAATTATAAATCCTGTTAATATAACTTTTATTATATTATTTTATGTTTAGCATCACTCAAGATAAATAATAGTTGACTCTTATCACGCTTACGTTATATGTACGTAATTCTAGCATAAAGTGCTTCTATGCTAGGATTGGATTTGCTTGCCGCAAAGGAAAATAATCTTATTAACGAATAAAATAAATTCTAGGACAATATTAATATCAATATCTATAAGAATCTGAAAAAATTAATAATGTAATCTTCAAGAATAGGGGCAAACATTATGGAAAATCCTACATCTTTATAGCAATGATGTCAATCTGATTTCCTGGCTCCTACTACATAAACCCAACTTTGCAGCCATGATCTACCACATAAAGGAAAGCTAAAAAGGAGTCGGTTCTGATTTGGGTTCAGTGATAGGTGTCTTCGGTGGGGGGTGGGGCAGAAGGCAACAGACAGGATTGTTGTTCATGGCATTTCAAAGAACAATTCTCATAGAGTCCATCCTCCGCGCAAGGTAAACAATCGCTCCCTTCCTCCTTTATGGTTCTTATTTTTAAAATCCCTTCTTTCTGTCAAGTCATTAGATTTTACCATTTGTTCTGAACAGTTTCATCCATGTCTCCTTATATATATAAGAAGATACCGAGATGATGTGCAAGACACAAACCTCTTTGGTTAAAAAAAAAGGGATAAAAGTCCGTTTCTCTCTCTCTCTCTCTCTCTCCCCTCCGAGACATAAAATCTCCTGAAACAATTTTATAATTTTTTTTTCCTTTTCAATAATATCCTTTTAAAAATTTCATAATTCTCATCCCGACCCCCACCTCCATCATCAAAGCTGAACCATTAATTTCAAACAAGTAAATTTCCACCATTAGATTTGAATATAAAAGAAAAGTTTCATAAAAGTAGGAAAAATATTCCTGGCTGCTACTTACTCATCCCTTCCCTCGCTTCTGTATTTTTAAAAGCAAATTCTTGTGATTGTGGATGGGAACGAGCAATTAGTTCTACTATTTTGTATTCTTAATGTTATTTATGCCAAACGCTCATTTTTTATAAATTTTTTAAATATCTACATCAAGCTGACTAGCCATTTATTTTCTCCCTTTTTTAAAAAAATTCAGGCTCTTTGCTAAAAATTGCAAAGAGATGCAAACCGGCCTGAGGAGGAGAGACTAGACATGCATCGAAAAGGCTTGTTGGTATGAAAATTTATATTTGACAACGAAAAGGAACATTTTATTTCATTCGCACAGCTCTTCTTCTTTAAACTCTAGGAATTAGCTAATTTATGCAAATTTTGTCGCTTTCACTCATTTATTAACACGTTAATTTGGCATTTACAATTACGTTCTTTATCTTTAAGAAAAACAAATTTAATTTTTGTCTCTTGATTATTTCAGCCTTGGAAGATGATACAATTAAGGCCGAAAGCTGAGGTGCAGACAGATCAAGTTTTTGTTTACTACGAAATCCTTTCTCATCCCTATTTGGGAGCGATATTGCTGAAACAGAAAACTTCATTTTTCACGTGGCTATCTTGTATGATATAAAAGGCAATCTCTTCTTTAATTTCCTTCTCCTGTATTTCTTCACTGAGAAATATATTTCACGGCTGTCATTTCCATGTACTCCTTTATATATATTTATTTTCTTTTTTTTATTACCACTTTTGATATGTTTATTTCTATTTCTTTGACTAATGCTGAAGCTTTTTAACAAACTCGTAAATTATTCACGGTTGATCGGACATCAACTAGAAACAGCAGTTTATTAACCATACGTGATCTTAGTGACTTGAGGTCGAGATGAATAGGAACCCCTATGATGTAACTTGAATTAATTGTAGTTGGTTTGTTGAGGGTCAGCCGGTAACTAAAGCACCCAATGAACTTATGTTCCCCCTCATTCTCCAAGCAAAAGGCGCTGATCATCATACGAACACCAGTACAGACCCAAAAATTATGCATATATCCTTGTTGATCACTTGAAAAGCGAATACAAATGCCACTGTTATCCATTACAAAACCCAATTTGTTTTGAAAAAAATTAGATTTTTTATCTCTTAAACATTTTCAAAAGTAAAAAGTTTTTTGTAAAAAAAAATTAGAACAAAAAGTAGATTTCAATGATTTATTGTTTTTATTTTTTTTATTTCTTAAAATTTTTAACAGTTTTTTCTTAGAAAATATAGTTCTTATTACATAAACATTTTTAAAACTTTTATTTTCTTGATTTTTTTTTATTTTTTGAACATTTAAAAAAAACTTTTTTTTTTTTTTTATAACTCATACACCTAAATCTCTTAACATAATTAGAATTTGAATATGTTATCTCTTGCATATAGGCAAGAGGCCACTACTAATGAGTTAGAAGCTCATTGATATTTAAAAAAAAAAACTCATAATAAAAATATTTCAATCTGATTAAAGTTTGGCCAAATCTTTTTTTTTATAGGGACTAATTTGCTGAATGTAGATATAATTCTTATGGTTTTTCTACTAAATGGGTATATTACATTTGAATTTTAGTTTATTTTAAAATCAGTTCTTGAACTTTTAATTCAAATTCGATAATTTTTAAACCTTTTTATATCCATTGTTTATTTTTTATAAAAAAACTATGACAATATAAATAACATCATAATCCAAATCATTAAATAAGATTTATTTGGAGCTTTAAAAAAAATTAGAATCATTCCGAGTTATTTGTTATTTTTATTTTATAGATTTTATACATTTTTATTGTTCATAAAATAAAAAATAATAATTTTCAATTTTGAAAAATTTTGGAATATTTTTAAAAGATATATTGGATTTTTCTCCAAGTCTGTACAAAACTACCGTTAAAAAAAAAATTTTTGAATTTTTTAGGAAGAGAGTGATAGCTATTAACCATAAGATGTATTGAATCTAAAAATAAAAAAATAAAAAAAATATCATATCCAAAATCTAAAATTAAAAGTTAGAAAATTAATTTTTAAATAAATTAAAGTTAAAAGAAAATGACTCGTTTAGCCATAGATCCATGTTGGTTTGATTGCTATTTCTAAAGTTGCATTGGAATTTCTCCATCCCGGAGAAGAAACGAGGTGGGCCAACTATAAAGAAAGGCTACTCTGGGCTCTTCATCTATAAGCTAATTGGCAATGTGGTTGAATATATGGGAAAAAATGAAAGCGTAAATTCCTTTCTACAAAACGCATTCCAAGGAAAATAATTGTAAAATAACTATCTTTGTTATAACAACTTCTAAAAAGAAATTAGCTTCTATTTTATCCGTGAGGTGAGAAATCTAGAAATTACTTTCATTTAAAAAAAAAAACAATAATAATTAACCATGTATTAATTTTTTTATTTCCGTTCATTTTCTTTTTATTTTAATGTTAGATATTTTTTGTCTAGCGTTTATACACCCGATTGAATTATTCATCAGTTAATTCTGAACAAATCATTACAACTAGACTGTGTATTTATAAAAAATTTGAATTTTCACCCAAAACAATAATTTAAAAAATATTATTGTTATTACGGGATAAACATCACTTTTTACTCGAAAGACTCATCATAATTACAAGCAGTTATTCATTAATCTTAGTTTGCTATTTTGTTGACAATTAACCTGAAGAGATATATCACGAGGCAGTAAATATAAATCACCTGCAAAATGAGTAAATACTGGTACTAGAAAGAAGCACCCGAGCCATTTGATTTTCATCAGACGGAGAAGTTGTGCGGTGCAGTCTCTGTCACTGTAGACCACCGTTTCTGCCCATTTCAAAATTATACTCTACAAATAACAATAAATTAAAAATAAAATAATAATAAGAGAAGGTCGAGCATTTTTGTTTTCAAATTTTAAACCCAAAAAAAATACCCTCCAAAAACCCTCCGCTCTTCTTCTCTACTCGACATTTACAGATCCAATCATGTCGTCTAACAATCCGACCCAAATCATTCGGAGCCCTGAAAAAGCCGAATCCATATTCGAAGAAGAAGAAGAGGAGGAGGAGGAGGAATTGGAGATGTTGGAGACAGAAGTGAAGCAAATGGCAAAGAAGATTATCGAGTACAGAGCCAATTTACCAGATCAACTCAAGACTACTGTCGCTTCGCTTCTTTCTTCGCAACGACCCATTTTACCTGATTTTGATTCCGAGTCAGTTCCTGGACCCTCCGGCGAACTTAATCCAGGTTAGTTGGTTAGTGTCTTCTTTTTTTAGGGTTTTAAATGTAATTTGGGTTAAGTGTGTGAAAATTGTGTGTTAGTGTTTTTGGGTACTAAAAAATTTGGTGATTTATGTGCTGCTTCTTTTGAAGTTTAACAATTGCAAAATTTGTTGATTAGAAGTGTTAAAGACTTGTTGGGTTACCTTAATTTGAATGATATATAGTTATAGTACCTAAAAGATTAGGTCTTAAGCCATTGCTTAAGTTCCGTCAAGGATTTTAATTTTAGTTATGGACTTAGTTGATGCGCCTTTTACAAAGCTTCACGGAATTATTATTTTGTGATTGTCATATAATTTAATTGGTGATGGACTTAACGGGTTTTTAAGTTAGCGAATGTATGGTGCAGTGCCTAAGGTCAATGAATAATTTTAGTTTTAAAGTACATAATGCGCCATGGTTCTTTCAGTTCCTGCCTTTCTTCCAATCAAAAGGATTTTTTTTTTTTTTTTAGAGGGATTCTGTGTAAATTGGAAAGATAACGAAGCTAGGAAGGCAGAAATTGATGAGTGGTTAGCCGTGGGTTTTCAGCATGTGTAGTTGTGCACTGTAAAGACTCCTGTTTAGCTGGATTGCATGCTTGGTATGTTGTAGTGACAAGGGCAGTGATGATAAGAACAGAAATGAAAATGAAGTTTGTGGTTTTCTACTGATTTCTATGGCAGTAGAGGTTGTCAGATTTTCACATCTTTGGCTCGTTAGTGTGATAAGTCACTAGCATGATAGGAAATGACAAATAATTCAAAGCTTTTTGTCTAAGTCGAATACTGCATTTATGTGTTTTCTCTTCCAAATTTCAATGGCGTAATTGCTTGATTGCAGTTCTTTTTCACCCTAAAGAACAGAACAGTGTTTTTCACTTCTTTTTTTTGTTTTTTTAAGGTTGAGGGATGTGATACGATGATGTTTGCATTTAAGGCTTCAGAGGCCTCTTTCTTGTTCTAAATTTTATAGATTTTTTTTCTGTGATTGAAGCGTTGACCATGTCATAACATTATGCAGATGATTCAGGAAGACAGGACAAATCCAGTAGAGCAGCATTACTAACAGAAGAAGACCAAAAGACTTCTGAGAGAGTACATTTGTTGAAAGAGAAAATTTCCAGCAACGTATCTGCTATGCCTGTAGTTTTAAAGAGGATGAAAGATTGTATTTCTAAGATTGACAAACTAGATTCCTACAATGTAAGCATACATCCTGCTTTTAAAAAGAAAAAGACTAGCTGAGTTTACTTTAGTTTTAGCATTTGGTGTTAGTTTCAAGGTTAATCACTGGGGTTGCCAATGATTGTAGTCGATTTGTAAAATGGATCCACAAATCCTGCTGTTGAAAGGAAGGGAAGGGAAGGGATTGCTAACCAAATTTGTCTTCAAATCCTGGATTTAGGAGATTCCTTTGTATTGTAATTACCCAAAAGCATCAATTTAATGTGTACCATAGGTGTTGATATTTTTCCCGCAGGACATCTTGCATTGGCTTGATACACTAATTAATTATTTAATGGTGATGGGGGAAGCTATTGTTTTGCCATCTGTGTTAGCTAGGTTCTCATTTATCTATCAGCCACATTCCAATTGAATTTGCCTGTCTGCTAAATGGTGGATTGAATGCTTTCCTGCAAACTGTTGGTCGGTATGCCCATAAACCAAAGTAATAATAGGCAGTTTCAGTCTATGTTCTATAATGTTGGAACTTAGATATCCATAACATTGTAGCAAGGTCATCATAATCACATAGTTACAAAACATTATCGTAACAAACCATCAGCAATAAACGACATCAAGTGCCACGAATTCAAAATGTTTGACATTTACACTTCAGTACTTCATCAGCAGTGATTAGTCCAGGTATGGAAGAGCCAACCATGGCTCCCTCCACACTTCCGGTTTGGCTGGTATCAAACACAACCGTGCCAAGTCCCTTTCCTACGATAAATAACTTCTTCCCGATTGCTGCCATTTGGCAGGGTGGGTTTGTAAGCAGTGTTGACAGCCTCTTAACTGCCACCCATTCTTTTTTATCCTTCTCCCACATCATCAGCTTGGTTCCTGAACTCTGATCCAACACATAAAGGGTGCCATCCACAACAACCGCTGGACCTTGCCAGCCTGACACCATATCAGTATCTGCATGCTGCCAGATGCCACTTGAAGGTTCGTAAACGACTGCATAGAAAGGAGACGACATGGTAGAGGCAGAAGCCTGACAGCGGATATAAATCTTCCCATCCAAGAGTACAGAATCTTCAACTCCAGGAACAGTGTAAGCATTGGAGTGCAATTCCCAGCTGTTTGTCTGGGGGTCAAAAATGTCCCAAGAATACGGATCACTCCTCGTTGATGCTAACCCACCAATGGCATAGATTTTTCCATCATACACTTGACAAGCAGAGTCATACCTGGATGAATGCATGAACTTTCAAATCAACATAATAGTTCTTGAAACAAGAATCATGAAACAAGAAGAGGAACTCTAGGCCACTGGCCAAACCAGTATGAATATATAGCCTACAATTTAGGGACGAAGATTCCACTAGTAAGTGATTTAACACTAAATTTCCTTTTGTTTGAGCTCCTATAACACGTCCAAAAAAGTAATTCACAGTAAATGGGGAGCACTTGCAAGGTAATATAAAGGCAGGCTTTAAGTTCAGCATCACTTGCACAGACAACTGTGCACAAGAACACAAGCAGAAGGAATTATATACCTAGAGGTCGACAAGGAAGCAACTTGCGTCCATGAATTCCTTGAAACATCATAGCAGAAGGCTTCATTAGTAGCTCCCAACCAACCACCACCACCCAACAAGTAAACATTCTTTCCTAGAGCTTCAAATCCCATACCCATTTTATTCAAAGTGCGAGCTGGAAGACCTGGAACACACTTCCAACGCCTCGGTGAGTCATTAGGATCCAACATATAAAACCATATCTTCCCATACTTGTCACGACATAAAGCATATATCCATGTCTCACTTAAATTGTGCATTCTACGATAATCATAAAACTCATCACTGCACACGAACCGTCTCCATCTCTTGGAAACACACTTTAATACCGCATGATACTTCCGAGGCACTCTGGCCAAGCAAGAAAGAGCTATGTCATCTGGAAGCCCACATATCAGCGACGTTTGATTCTCTTCCATCCCACTCGAATCCCACAACAGTTAGCTTAACTCCTACAACAAATTAAAAACAAAACAAAGAAAAACCCATCAAGGTTCACATTTGCATTGCCTTGATCAGTCCAAAAACAACCCAGCAATGAACAAGTGCGCTCTGCGCTTGCTTTCGCAGGATTACAATGTAATATTAATCTATGGAATTCAGCATTTCTTTTCTTTCTCTGGAGGAAATTATAAAATCTAACATGTTTTCTTTTCTTAAATCTAGTAAACAGATCGCCAATTTAACATGACTAAAAAAGAACTAAATTAAACTCTTGTGTGTGTGCTGTTTACTTAACTTCGAAGGAGAACAGAGAACGAAAGATAAAAAGTAATCGACTGAAAGCCCTAATTAGATTCAGATGAACCATTTTTCGTTGAATAGAGTAATTACTACAAGAATCTGGTTTATAAAAAATAAATAAAACTTCAATGCGAGGAAATTGAAAGAAAGAATAATTAGAGTTTGAGACCTACCTGTCCGTATCCATCTGATTGCAGATTTCAAGCTAATCAACATTTTAATTTTAATTTCACTTTCGAACGTATAAATAAGGGATTTTGGCCTTTTGGGCACCTTTTGTCCTATAGTAGCGTTTTGTAATTAAATTCTTCTTTTGGGGATACAATTGGAATTACAAGTGAAGCAATCATGTTAGAGAAAAAGGGCAGTTTGTGGCGTCCGACTGGTATAACCTGTACTAATATTTATTTCATTTATTTATTTTTAACCAGAACCCATGTGATATCAGGATTTGTCCAATGTTTTCCCTTTTCTTGCTTTTTTTTTTTTCAAATTAATATATTATTAGTTGAAATGTAGCATCTTCAATTCCAATAATCATCATATATAACCAGATCTGAATAAAAACCTGATTTTAATAGTTTAGATGATCATAAACATTGTATTGCATGAATGCTGAAATATCGACATTATAACAATTTTTATTTTCTAATAGATCCTTTCTGCAAGAAGTCATATCATTTTTCTTAAATAAAACAAGTTTCCAAATTTTCATTTTTTATGATTCTTGTTATAATAAAGACATTTTTATCATGGTTTTCTTTTAAAATAAATTCACGATTTCGTCATTTAGAGTTGTTTGTTGGAGTTTTAACTTGAAATCAAAATATTTGATCCAGTTTCTCCAAATCTTATTTTGCCTTTTCCATGCATATTTGCTTCCTTAATTTCCTTTTATTTTTGTTTTAGCTTACCCAATATCATCAGCACACAATCCCAATTATATTTCCTCGACCATTGATGATATTTTACACCTTTCAACAAATAAAACGTGTCTGGCCGCCCAAATATTGAAAATCTGACCAAACCATGGAGGGAAAAGAAAGAGAAAAAGGGTTGATTCAGCATTCAGATTAAATAAATGATTGACAGTTGTGGACTCGCAGGTGATTTGATTGTTGATTTCAGCGTCATTGAATTGAGTAATAGATTAAAATTTAAATGGTTGATTTGATAGTCCACCGGCAGACTTGAAGCTCCGGTCGGGACTTCTCTTTTAAGGCGTTTTAGATTTCTCTGATTTGAGAAGTGGAGGACTATTTTTCTCTGAACTAATGGTCAATAACAACCAAAAAGCCCTCAAAATAATAATAATAATAAAACACAGCTTTTCTCCCTCTCTTCCCTTTTCATCCTTCAAAGACTTGTTACGCAATCCTCAAAGGTGCCAAGCAGCTATCTAAATGTCTTGAAGATAAAACTTAATTTATTATTGATCAGAGAAATTGAAATGCCAATATTTCCTTGCATAAAACTTATTTACACTTTTTCGTAAATAAGTACTCTCTGGAGAAGAATGGTAACTTACTGATCAATAAAATACTGTCATCACAATTGCGAGAGAGCGCGTCTTAGCATAAAAGAAGAAGGGCAAAAAATCTCGGAACCCTTATTTGATAAAGTTTCATCACGGCTTTACAGCAATTGCCAAACTAAAGCTTCGAGGCAGTTATTGGTTTTGTGGCTGGATTTTTTGTTGTGAATGTTCTAAGAAGACCTTCTTGAGTTACTGACACAACGTGCTGTCCATCAATAAATGAATAAATTCAGTTCGGAATTTTCTCTTGGCCATCAATGACAACTCTACTTGTTAAAGAAGAAAAAAGCAACGGAAAATAGGGAGAAAAGCAACACCCAAAAAAAAAAAAAAATCCTATGATTGCACCTACATAGAAATCTATATAGTCGAGTTAACTTACCTCTCCTTTTCTATTGAACATTTCGCCAACTACAAAACCCCGTGCATTATAGGCAGCAGGACTCACCATCTGATAGACAATGATATCATTAAAATTTCTGACATACCCAAAAGCGAGAAATACAATCTGACACTTACCGCAAATAATAACCACTCATCAGCTCTGAAAGGCCTATGGAACCACATCCTGAAATTTGAAAAAAAGCCAAAAATGAAAGGATTAATTACAGCCAAAGGGAAGAAAGGCTCTTTTACGGCGATTTTCATGTTTCAGTTCTATGGGTTCAAAAGATTTACATGTTTCAGTTCTATGGGGAAGAAAGACTCTTTTACAGTGATTTTCATGTTTCAGTTCTATGGGTTCAAAAGATTTACATGTTCAATCCAAAAACATAAAATGGTGCACCCAAGTCAATAATAAACATCATTTGACAGATGCCAATTATTCACAAAAGAAATGCCAATTTGATAAGATCTATTTAAGAAAACGAAGGCTTGCTATAGTGACCCTAGCTATTGTTGTAACTCAAAAGTATTCAAATCAAACTAGGTAGCAATAAATGACCTGAGCCAATTGGAGAGGATCCATCTTAAAACCATTATTCTCCCAAACTAAATCTTGAACTTCAATTATCTCAAACCAAACAAGGGGAAGGGAAATAAACTGGTTATTCTCCACGGATTAAATTATTAGATATAATATGGCAGAAATGACGAAAGGTTCACCTAAAAAATTCATCCCTCCAAATGAAAGTGGTGCAATCCTCCTTCAAGCTAACATATATTTTGCACAGTGTGGTCAACAAATAAGTATACTGTCATAAGATGCAGATACTTACGTGTGATCTAGACTAACTGCAGATGGCTTCAAACCCCTAGCACGGTGGGGATTCACGCTAACTTGAAGAAATATGAGATCAGAAGCATATGCCACTACACATCTGCAAAAGAACCATTTGGTAACATTAAAATTCAAGAATGATATTGCTAGTGCACCATTGTTGCAATGCACTTCCATTCCTATTAGACCCAACACATTAAAGTACTCAGGAGTTTTCTATCCTTTCAAACTTTAATATTGTTAGTTATAGAAAAGAAGTCAGTTTGAGGAAAATTATTCATGCAGTTCTCAACTAATTTGGGAAAAAGCTTTTGTAGAGTTGAGTCGAGTCCAACAGAAGTCGCTTACCTATGCAACGCCTGGTCATCTGAAAGTTTCCCTTTTGCTCTAAGCCAATACTTCAGGCTGTAAAAATTTCATTAGATTGGCATCCAACAGTGTAAACGCATACAAGCCGTGAGGACATAAAAAGTTTCATATTCCAACGGATGACAAACATATATACATCGTTATCGAAAGATCAGATTAGCAAAATAATAAACCAGCCCTACCTTGGAGGAGATTTTGTCTGATTAGTGTTAGTGTTGGGCTCACAAAACCTTATTTCTATTGGCCAAGGAACAAATTCTTTTGCAGCAACCTTGTTGCGATAGCTCCTGAACATGCAATGCAATTATTAACTCTAATTCAGGGCTCAAAGAGCTAACTGCTTAAATTAAAAGAAAATCAAAACCTTTTACAAGTGAACCACGTTACACCAAACGCTGTAATCCAGCAAAAAATGCAAAAAGATTACAGGAAAAAGCATTGAGTTACCCATAACTGAAGTTCTTTGCATTCATACCTTGGAAGACGAGGATCAGTAAGACGTTTCTCACGTAGCTCTTCCATTGACAAAAGCTGCAATATCAGAATTCAATATCCAATGCAGTAATGGAGTGTCTAATAGCATACAGGCACATTCCACTTACCAGCTCCGGTTCTGGCACAGCTGGCATTGGAACTAGCTGGTGGTCAAACCCGTGTTCTTCTTTCTGTAAAATTAATGTAACCCATTACCAGTTTTCGTTATTGATTAATAGCAAAAGAAATCTTACAAAGCTATCACTTAAGTACATATTGAGGACATTAGAAATTTTATTGTAACAAGAGGCAGAAAATAAAGGAAAAAGGCAATTTATTCTAAGTAAAAAAACTGCATCAGCTGATAATGAAATATTAGCTTGAACAGTTCATATAAAATCAACTGTGATTGTAGAAATAAAAGAAATATTCTATTAGTTAATTTTTTCTGGCTATAAAACAAAGTGGCATTAGAATGGGAGGCATTTTATTTTCAAAAGACAAAACTGGCTTTAATGACGATTAACTTTCTCAGTGGAGGGTTTACTGTCGTGTACATCTAAGTTCAAGATTTAATTTGCACCTGTTATGTGCAGTCTCTGTGCAAGCATTGCATGATAGAGGCAGACAATCAACAGAACTGAACTGGACATTAATGTCGTAAGACCAAGAAGAAAACACATAGCCAATAGCAGCTTTAAAGACAAGATGACACCATCAAAGAGATTTCTGAGAGTTCCCAATATGTTGATATGGAAAACTCATTGGAATCAACAGTAGTTACAAATTATTTACTTAGAAGCCCTCAAGTTATGCTATTCAATGAATAAAAGATGCAGCAGTTATTTAACTTTAGATCCTAGTTTCCCTGTTTAGTATAAATCTACAGCTGTCTAGTTTCTCTGCCACTGATTGATCAACTCTCCTACCAACCTAATGTACTAATCCAATTACCAACCAATCTCAAAAAGCTTCAGTTATAACTTTGCAGAGCACTGATTATAGGTTTATATCATGTTCTTTCATGTCAAGCAAGTTTCATTCTTAAAAATCTGCCACATCAATTTCAGAACCTTATGCATTGATCCCTAGGTTACAATCACGCCCTCACAATCATTACTGTGCCACAGGGCCGCTACTGCTTGGAATAAAACGTTCCCCTCAGGATGCTAGCATTCATTTAAAACCTCCCCGTGGGGAGTATCTAGCTAAAAACCCTGTTAGAAAGAAAAGATTTCCTCTAGCCCCAATCACGAAGTTAGGCTGTTCTGCCACATCTCCATATAAACAAACTTAGGCAAGAGCTACATCCTCAGCAAAGAAATTGTTGCTAGAAACAAGTAACAGAGTGGTTGGTAGAAATAAGTAATATTCTCTCTACCACAAGGACGCTTATTATTTAACACTTGGTGTACATCTAATTCTATTTTAATTCCTTATAGATGAATGAAAGTGATGAAAAAAGTTATATTTTCCTTATATGTTTCTATTGCTAACAAAAACTAGTTTCAAGGATTCAAGATCAAAGTTTAACAGCTTCAGCTCAGTTGCCTTTTCTAACTATTCGTGATTTCAAGCACATTTACATAGAGGATGATTTCAGGTGGCTTGAAAAGTTTACCTTACTAAAACAGAAAATTCAATTAATTGCGAAAACTCTAAGACGAGCAGAATGTTAATGTAGCTATCTGGTATTTTCAATATTTTATCCACCAATTTCTAATATAGGTGCATTTCTTGCCTTCTAAAGGAAACCTAAAGATCATATCAAAGTTACCAAAGGAACAACCTAACAATTCACATAATGGCCGCAGGATTGATGACAGTTTCCAAATCCATCTCACTGAAGATGTTTGTCAGAATACAGATTACATGCAAAACAAGACAACAGCATTACCTGAAATGAAGCCATTAGTGTGAATACGATATTTCCTTTTTGTATTGCATCAACTTTTCGGGTAGCAAAGCTTTTCCCATCACGTATCCGTTGAACTGTGTATATAATTGGAACTACAAGAGTAAACACAAGCATAAACCGTGTAAATCCAATAGGCTGGTATGCTCATGAGCAGGATAATAAGTCCAGATAAACATGTTGGAAAAAGGAGACATATTTACACAACCCATTTATTTTCTTTTTTAAAAGAAAAAAATACGCAAGGCATCATTTCATAACCACGAATACATGGTCAGGTTTAGTTTTTTTTCAAAATCTCCACTGAGCTTGTGCCGTGTATTGTATAGGAAGAATGCCCAACCCATCTCAAACCAGCACCTCTTCATTTTTATAACATTGATATCCGTGGTTGAAACATTGCAAAATGATTACATATATAACGACTAAACATATTGCTAAATACACTTGATAGAGGCCTCTCTCTCTTAAAGATAATGGATTGAGAGGGAAAGGCATTGTTAATACGTAACCATGAACTGTGAAGAAAACTTTCAATTGAAGAATGCTTATCTTCTCCTATATTTCATACATCTTATACAAATTTTCTTCTTTTCCAAACAAGAAGAAAGCAAGAAATTTGAAGACCTTTGGTAGGATTAACTTGTCTTTGGACTCTAGAGAACAAGGCTGTTTCACTGCTTCTTGCAGAACTTGTTGATAACTTAGAGACTGGGTGTAAGTGAATCACTCATGTCTCATGGCATCTAGTAGTAGAGAGAACACAGATATTTGCCAACCAAACAGGAAGGGATAACAGAGTATGACCAATAGGGGTTGCATCTAATTGGACATATTGCAATTTTTACATGAATCATGAAGCTTGAATAGAGGTAACCTCTGAGCATAACAAAACTAAGGGTAGCAGAATTAAAAGCGCATGATTTTTTATCCAAATATTGAGTATCACAGGTTACACTTACTGTTAACATCCCCAACAAGAAGAAAATAAGCATGCAAGCTATGCACAAGTTTAAGGCAATCAACTGTTTTTGATGCTGCAGCCAATGCCTGCACATAACATCACAGTGTAATAGCGTCAAAAGATAGCTATGTTTCTGTTCCCAAATTAGAGCACTTAATGTATCATTGAAACAGGGGATAAAACAAAAGAGTCAGCTTTATATTCACTTAAAATCAAGAATGCAGATGTACGAATGCTGGTTTACACATGATAGTTGAAAGTTGAATAGATAAAACCAAAAGAGATAAATCTGAAGGAATTAAAGTAAAATTTTTTTATTGCATAAACCAACACAGTAAGAACTTGTTCAACAATGCAAGCACATTTTGGACTGAGTGTCCTCACCACAATCCAATTCATACCTGTCCAACAAACTGTCCTCCAAAGACCTTTCCAAATCGTGGGGCATTTGGCAGGGTAAAGCCCTGGAATATATTTACCTTCAACACACACAATGAAACCTTAGTCTAAATTTATGCAAATTCATTCATTAACCTTATCACAATAAACTCTATAAACACACAAAGCAGAGTAGAATATTGTATCCATCAACCATAATTCTGATAAGAGCAGAAAATGAGATTGTTAGAGCACAGCTTCAAGAAATTAATTTCCATTATTTCTGTGCGTCCATAGAGTTGAAGTTACAGCTTCTAGTTTCACTTCATTTTGGCTCACTTAAGAGGTAAACTAAACATCATGATTTGATCCAAATTCAGACATGTAAACATTCAAATACCAGGAAGCACTAAAAATCTCCCTCTGAATTCTCTGACAAGATAACAAACATCAGATCTGAAACAGAAAACACCTCTAACCAACAGAAAAGACATACTTCTATCGGCTCCAAATGCAATATACTCTCCACAAGGGAGCACGATTCAATTGTCTTGTCTGCATTCCATATTGATTTTGGTCGAAGCAAAGTGTAATGATCACGAGGTAGCATTAAGCAAACAAGCTGTCAAAACAGACCCCAAAATAAATGCCCACTGTCAGTTTCAGTTAAGTTCCGTTAAGGTTAGCACGACAGATGTTTGAACAGCTGGGGTTATATGTCAAAGAAAAGAACTTAAAAAAAAAACCCATATAGTTGCAGCTACCTTAGTCAAAGCAATTACATCTGCCTGCTGAGCAGATGCAGACATACCTGCATAAAACAAGTTCATGTCACTTTTTCAGGCCTATTCGATTCACTATTAAAGATCATAAATTGTTGAAAACCAAGTGGAATCATATCTAGCTATAAGAAACGTCGAAAACCATAAAATAGAGATTTGATTAATAAAAAGAAGAAAAAGATTGTGTCGCAACAACAAAAGGATCTCAGGTTGCGACCAAGAAAATCTTCTTCTCACCATCACCAAAGTAATCATATTTTTGCAATTGAAACTCAGGACGACTCTCTTCCTCTGCATTTACCGATCCACAGACTTCAGCCTAAAGTAAAACATTCCAACATTCAAGGAAAATGATTTGGAAAAAAAAATAAAAATAAAAATTAACAATAATAACTGCTTATAATTAGTTACGAAGCAAACCAACCTCCCCTTCCCATATGAAATAGATTCCATCCCCAGCTTCCCCCTCGCGGATAATATACTGTCGTTCCTCTACACCGCAAATTATTCAAAACGAACAGATTTCTTTTGTTTTTAATCAACGCAAAATAAATCGAAATTAAAACAGAGCTGAGAGAGGGAGAAATGAATTATTCAAAGAAGCAAAAGTTACCGTAGCGTTTAACAATGACGAGCTGAGCAATTTTCTTGAGAGACGAGCTAGGTAACCTCTGAAGCAGAGGAACACCTCCTAAAAACTCCATCACTGCGAAAAGACCTCACACATTAAAACACTGTTCTTCCATGTCTCCCGCATTTTCTCAGCAACCAAACAGAAATTAGGGTTGTGAATTGAATTTACCTGATTCGGTGTCCATAGAGAACTGAGAAGTGGTGTAAGTTGTAACAGAAATGTGCGATTGTCGAGCTTGATCCAATCTTCCAGTACGGTACAGTTTTAAGATTGATATAGGGAGAGGGGGAGAGATGTGGCGGCTTGTCGATGCAGTGATTTAAGTGCATAGAATTATTGAGCACTTTTCGTACTTCAGCCAATATAGAGAGAGAGTGGATAGCAGTAATAAACGTGGCCGGTAGTCAGAATTATCTTTCAACTTTGCCGGTCGGTCAGAATTTTATTTAAAATCCAAAAGAAACGTGGAACAAAGCACGTGTATCATTTGACTCGTTAGAAAAGGATAGTGTTTTTTTTTTAATCGTAATTAGAAAAGGGTAGTTAAGAGGACTTAATAGTTTGCATTATGATGATGCGGTAAACGATTTTTTTTAATTTGTTGTTTTTCTTTTCTTGAATCTCAAATGGTTTATATTGGATTCCATCCACCTTGACTTTATTGCTTTATTCAATTGGAGATATAGTTGTCCATGGGCTGAGGCCCAACTGGATTTCAATATATTCATCAGGGATTTGGTGCGATTATAAAAAGATAGAAATATAATTATATGTTGGGTTATTAAATTCCGTTCTTTCGAAAAAAGTATTGGATCCGTTATAATTACGAGTCTCGTGTTTTTTTTTTGTAAAAAAGGTGGAGTATGGTTTCTCGTTGCTGTATGCTAAATAAAAATGGAGTTTGAGTGTGGAAATAATAACATTTTAAGAAAAAACTTAAATTAGTCTCTCATCCGTGAATTGATTCTCTGTTTAGTTACTAAACAATCAATTTTCTTAATTGGACCCTCAAAAAATCATATACCTCTCAATTGGGTCTTCTCTTCGAAATCTTTCCATTCTATTGAGAGAAAACATTAAATTTTACTTGAATAACATAGTTTTAATTACATTGTTTAGGCAGTATAGATGGAAAGCACGGACGAACATAGATAAGAGGATTTAATTGAAAAAAATGGATAGCTTGAAAACGTAACTACGAGGTTTGTCTAATTTTTAATTATTGTCGGCGAGAAGTACCACTACCATAGTCCACGGTCTAAAACCTCACAGAAAAAATATTTAAGTTTTGTGTGGTATGATTTTTATATACTACTCTAAGTTGTCTTAAATTTTTTTTATTCGAATAAAAAACATAAATATGTTTGGTTGTAAATAATTTTTGTTGCAAAATGAAGTCAAGAATACAAATTTTTAATTTTTAATTTATTGATTCTAACTTATATTACTTCATTTCTTTTTTAAAAAATTGCTTTATTTTGTTTCTATCAAATATACTTATAATTTAACTATTTTTTTATTATACTTTAGCAAAAAATAATTTTTAAATTATGATTTAAAGTCAATTACTTTCACAAATTCATATTTCATTATAAATAAATTCATGAAAAATCATGCTGAAAGTACTCTTAATCTCCATCAATGAAAAATTATTCGGAGAGCATAATAACTATTAAAAAACAAAACCAACCTAAATAGCTTTTACTAGTTAGATATCGACGCTACTGCTGCGGTCATACAATCATTATATACATAGGATTAACGATTCGTATGGTGTGATGCAAGTAAATATTTTGTTTTTGAAGATTAATGTAAATTGAATCTATATATTGAGCAAACTTGTTTGATTTATATATATTTATTAACAAAATAATTTATAATATTGGTATCGAAATTTGTATTTAAATAATTAAGAGGCTCTTTCAAAACATGAATTAAATTATTTTATTTAAAAATATAGATTTTAGAACATGAAAAAAATAAATAATAAATAATTGGTGTTATGTGGGCGGATATAATTAATTTGTAACAAAAATATATATATTACTTAGCAGATTCGAGTATATAAAATAAATAAATAAAATATATAAAAAAACCCACTTAAATCTCATGAAATATATCGAAATAAATAGATTTAAATAAAAACTACTATAAAATTAGTTTCGATAAATTTTGATTATATATATAACGAAATAAAACATACTAAATTTTTTTAACTAATTATTATTTTTTAAAAAAATGAGTCAAATTATTTTTTTAACCGATTATTATTTAAAAAACATAAGTCAAATTATCTAAAACACACTTTTAACTCGTTCTCTCTTTCCCCTTCATTAGAATTTATATATGACAAAACTATATATATATTGTAATTAACGGATTCGTAGTATATAAAATAAATATAAAATATAAAAAACCCACTTAGATCGCATGGAATACATTGAAGTGGATAGATTTAAATAAAAACTACTATAAATTTAATTTTGATAAATTCTGATTATATATATATAATAAAATAAAACTTGTGAATTTTTTTAACTAATTATTGATTTTTTAAAAAAAAACTAAGTCGAATTATCTAAAATACACTTTTAGCTCTCTCTCTCTCTCTCTCTCTCTCACATCATAATTTATAAATGCAACTACGCTATTCTTATTTAAAAATTATAAAAATAATCAATCGTTTAAATTATAATAATATATTTTAAAAAAATAAAACAATCATGTTCTAGAATTTTATTTCAAAAGCCATGTATAAAAAAATCAAATTTATTAACAAATAAAATTATATAAAATTAAAAAATTAACTCGATGAGAATTTCAATGAGAAACAACCAATTGAAGAAATAAATGTTTACTAATAAAAATAATATAATCGGACATGTATTTTCAAACTAAAATCTTAAAATATATTATTTATATTTTATTATCGTCAAACTATACGTAAAACAAAAAAAAAATAACGATTTTTTTTCATATTTTCACACTTAATTTTATGATTAAAAAAATATAAAAATAAATTATTTATACAGAAAAGGAACAATTGCCATATGAGAATATATAAAAATCGAAAGCCAATCCTCCTTTTTTTTTTTTTTTTTTGTCTCGATTGCCAGCAACCCAACCCTAAAAAAAGGAAAAAAAAAAAAAAGTCAGCCCTAAAAAAAGAATGCTACACTGAATGAAAATAAATAAATAAATAACGTTCACATCCACTACTCAGGATAGTTACAATATATAATCAAGATTATTTAGAATTGATGAACAAAGTTGAAAAAATTATTAGAGCACCATTAAATTGCATTAAATGGTGGAGCCAAGAAGGAACAAATCTATTATGACGCGGGCCCTCTATCACTGCGAGCTGCTTGTGGCAAAAGAAAGAAAGTGAGCCAAAAAAAAATTCAGAAGGGACAAAAGAAGCATCGAAACAAATATCAATAACAGAGCATTAATGCAAGGCATTAAATGTCGCAGCAAAGAAGGAACGGTCGAAATGGAAAGAGCAAGGCAGAACAGAAGTGGATCGAATGACGAAGGCAAAACAAGAAGCTAGCGCAGTGCAGCTGAGTCATCGTCCACAATGATTACAAGTGTAGAGATACAGTAATTGAACAGTGAAGACTTCAGCTGTTTTAGTTTTTTTTAGTAATAGTAATAGTATTTATATATTAATCTTATACATATTTTAGTATGAAAACTTGATGGTATGCATAATTTTTCCATTACTTTGATTTTTTATATTTATTTTTTTAACTTTTTGTATGGAGGCTCCAGCCATAGAGCTGATAGCCGAGGAGGTCCAGCTGGAGATTGAAAAGCAAGTCTCCGCTCCGCCAAGCCCAAACATAAACACTATTACTTGAGCCCAAGTTATGTCTAATCGAGAACTCAATCTAGTCCGTCCAGTGAAAAGGTCTAGGCCCGTGTTCAAACAAGTTGGGAACCTGAATGCATAGATAATAGTTCTATTCGGCATATACCATTAGCAAATATTCGAATTGTTTTATTAAAGATATTCAGTTATAATAACTTTATCTGCTTTAGTAGTTCTAATTTATGCTACTTCCTTTCATCAAAAAAGTACAAAACACCACAGATTAGGTTATTATAATCAGAATTATCCATGAGTGCGACGGACCTATGACTAATTCAGAAGTCATTGACTGGTTAATATCAATTTTACAAAAAGGAAAGAGAAATCAACCTTAAGCAATCCCACTGAAACACAAACAAGCTTATCTATCGAGGTTCTAAGAAATCCAAGAGGCATTGATTATAAAGAGTCCCAGACATCATTGCTCAAAATTCCTTTGCATTTTAGAATAATCAGATTCAAGAGCAAACTTCAACCATTAACATTTTCTTTTAAGGATGTCATCACAGCTCGTTTTGATATCAAAACAAAAGAGTACCAATCCTACTAAAATACGGAGAAACCTATTTGCAGAAGACAGTTTGTAAGAAAAAAAATAGCATACCAATAACAAATGCCAAAAGAGTGAGGAAACGAAAAATAAAATCCAATCATAACTATTCAACAATTATTTGCAAGGAAAAGTAAATTAGGTTCAAGAGTGAACTAGACTGATATGAGATGAAGGCAAGTTATCTCAAATTTTTTATATGGTTAAAGCATTTTCAATGGTGCTCTTTACTTTTAGTTAGTATTTTTAATGTAAATAGAGAGCACCATTAATTATATAGATTGAAGATCAATGTCTTCTTCAATGCTACTCTCTACTTTAACTCTTTATTTTGACAAAATCCATAAAACCCAAAGAGACAATTGGTGAAGAGGTTGAGTGGCATAGGAAATAGGAATTTTTATTAATGAAATATAAGATAAAGAGTCATTTGGACTCTCTAATATTAAAAGCAAAGACACTCCGTATCTCAATTTTAGAGATAGAGATTGCGATAAAAAAGCATTAGAAATAGAATTTGAGTCAAACCTCTTTATTATAAAGAAAAATCTTAATATAAATAGAGCGTTGGAGATGCTCTTACACACAAATAGACATAGTCTAGCTATTTTATATTCATTAATTTCTTTTCGTAAAAACTATTCGAATTCTAATAATTTAAATTTATTTAATTATTATAAAATAAAAGAGTACTACCTTTATTGTTTATGTGAAGATTCGGTAGACCTATTGATGAATTAAAAAAAAATACAAAGAGATATAGATGAGCCATCTCAGATTTTTAATATAGTATATTAAAAAAGTTAATTCAACACACACTTCACAAAAGCTCTTTGTCACAGATTTATAGGTTTGTTAGTAGTCGAGACATCTGGGATCAAACTTCATTGTCATTTACCGTGAGGCACTTAACCAACATCCTATGCATATAAATGGGCTCAATATTTACAGTAAAGTTTCCTTCTCGAGAAGATATTATCAGGCAAACAAGGAAGCCCAAACCCTTTATTTTGGCTAATGACATTTTCCAGTGTGATTCCAGTTTGCCCAGAAATGCTGAGCCCGCTAGTTATAACATCACTCTCGGTGATGAGGACAGCTTCTGGAAGCCACGCTTTTGCGCCACCGTTACCATGTGAACTTCATCTTGACAAGCAAAACAGTCTGCTCTGAATAGTTACTCCAGCAGGAGGAAATTGGTTCGAATCAGGACATGGAAATTCTTCTTATATGCTTAGACTTAAAAAATATGGCAGGAAAACTAAATGAATGCGAACAAAATTCAGTGATAATTAGAAGATTAGGCTGCTGACTGCTACAAAGCCCCAGGAACTAAATCCTCAGCTGTTAAATTATGACCCATCAACACCAGAATAGTTGAGAAAACGGTCCTTCACGTCGCATTGCATTATTATTAGGTTCTGCTGGGCAGTAGCCATATTTGCAAAATCACAGAACCAACTGCCGTTTCTGGTCTTCCATTACAGCCCAACCATATTTATCTACCTCAAGCCCACTTTACTCTTAACAGACCAAAACCAGCCCAAACACACAAAGCTCTAACCAAGCCCAAATCTGAGATACACTGACAGATAAAGCCGTTGCAACACAAAAATCCTTCTCTGTCTCTCTCTCTCTCGAAACACAAAGATGTAGCGTTGCAATTAACACCAGAATCCCTTTAAAACAAATTTTAAAATCAAAGTTCCACCAAAAAACCTGCTCTAGTTCTTTCTCTCTTTCTCTTCAAATAAGATTAGTTCCACACAATTAAATTATGTTGATCCACGAATGACACGCGGTATCGTGATTTTTCTCTCTCTCCTCTCTTTAAGAGTAGTTCTGTGGTCGTAAATCTTCTAGGCATGGAATAAGTGCAGATACCCATTCATTTTTTCCAAACTTTTCGGCGGTGGAGGAATTTTTGTTCGTCAAATGCCATTGGAATGACGTCTGCTGAAAAAGCGTAATATCTGCCGTGTGGGGTGAACCACCCATGATGTTTTTTTTGTAAACAACACATGACATATACAAATGAGAGCTAAAAAAAAAAAAAAAAACAGAGAGAGAACATGAACCCTATTTTTGAATATTTTCTCTTGGGAGGAAAGAAATGAAAGAAAAAAAATGAGAGGAAAAAAAACTAATTTTCACTTGTTGTTTGAATAAGAATAAAAATAAAAGGAAAGAAAATATATTTTTGTTGTTTGGATAATTATAGAAAGAGGAAATAAAGAAAATGTATTTCGTATGTTTACTATAGTACCCATATTATTATATTTTTATATTTAAATATTTTGAAAGGCAAAAATGACAATACCCTCTATTCTCTATTTTTTTAATTATATTTTGATATGATTTTCTCATACTTTCCTCTCAATTTTGGAAAAAAAGTGAGTCTCATCACCTTTAAATTTATTTATTATTTTTTTTCTTTTCATAGGTTTCCTTTGAAAATCAAATAAATTAAAATTTTCTTTCTTCAGTATTTTTCTTTCCTCTTTCTAGCTTTTCACTCTATCGAAAACACAAGGGAAGAGATTAGAGATGAGTGATTTATCCTTGATTGCGTCAGTTTTGGGTAGTATCGACCAGCCAAGGAATCTATAGCATGCAACGCATGGAGTTGGGATTCATTTTTTCGTTAAAAGTAAAGCAGGCCGACATCATGGATATATACGGATGGCTATCCAAAGTAATGGGAACGAATAACGTGTGTGGCTGACAACCCTAGCTAATTAACATGTTGTTGATTTTGCCTAAAAGCAAGAAAAAGGACAGTCTAGCATCCCTCAAGCTTCTCATTTTGGAAGTTTTGATTAAAGAAATTTAACTTCGATATGTTGCTGTTTATTTTAGTTGATAGATTTTGTTGTTTGGACTTGAGATCTCCCTCTTATATAAGTGTGCATCTGACACGTCTATCCAAATCAGAGTTAATTTTTTTAAAAAAATTTGTTTCTATTTTTTCCATGTATTTGAAGTATTGATCATGTCCCAATGTCTAATATTAGATCCCCGTAAAAGGAGGATTTAAAAGTTAGATCTATACATTATTTCTTCACAATATATTCTTGTTAATGAATGGTATCATCATATACATCTAAACGGAGAATGAAGTTGGAATCCAAATTGCAAGATTCGATTTGCATCATTAATTTTGCCTTTAAGATACAGAACAATGTCACATTTTCAACTGGAATGTTTGGCACCAGTTCCATAAGGCAGTTAACAGCGGCCTTATGACACTTTAGTCATACTCTGGTTCGTTTGGCATCGGTACTGCCCCCAAACACTGCATCTGGAAATGCTCATAAAGATACCCAAAAGATTTACAGCATATCGTCGGAATAACAGCAAAGGTTCGAATTCTCAGCCTACGATGTCTAATTGATGTAACTTTGTAGGATGACCGAACCAGGACAACGAATTTGGTAGCGTACAGAGAGTCAAAATACATTCTCCGTTCTTGAAAAAACATGACTTGCTGTCCTAAAGCGTGCACGCTTAACCATGCAAACCATTTATTCTTTGTCTGCAGTTATGGATGATCGCAAATATGCAACAGGCGGTCGTATCCGGAGAACAGGGGCAAAGCTAGGTTATGGAGAAGTGCCCCCTTAATTCTTTTTACTTCCCCTGTAATTTTTATACTATTTTATCTTTTCATGTAAGTCCAGATAAAAAAGCATTGACCGTGATGTCATGGTCCAAAATTGTCAATTAGATATTTGAAACATCCCATTTTTTGTTGCAAATTAAAGATTTGAATCGGAGATTTTTTTTTTTTTTTTAAAGAAAAAGAGACACGAGTGCCCCGTTGATTTGAAGCGTCCTGCTAACAAACAAATGTAAAGTTCTATTTTGAAAAATATGAGCATTTGTTTTAACAAATTGTTTAATTATTCAAAAACATTATAAAAACCATTTTTAAAAAATACATACTTTTTTCAATAGTTACGAAAATGAGACCTATTTTAGTACAAAATGACTATGTATTAGTTGACATCAATCACACATCAATAATTAGAAATTTTCGATGACAAAATACATTTAAATAGAAAAAAAAACATAAGTTAATCACTCAAATAGATAAAATAATAATAATAATAATAATAATTAAACACTCATATACTACTGTCTCTTATTACCTTCTCCTCGCGGCCGGCCAATATAACTTGAGAAATAAGATTTTCACTGTAATTCTCTCCTTGTTGAATTATCTTTTTCACGTTTGCGTGTCATTCTAACTAAAAGACCATGCATAAATATGATTCAACTAGATTGCTTTAGCTTTAATTTCTACCGATAAAACCATTTTTTTTTAATTTGGTTTGGGCCAATTTTGTTTATACTCGATACATTTGCACATGTTAATTGAAAAATTCAATCTTCTGAGTTTTAATGGGAAAAAAAAATTATACACAAGTTAAAAACCCAAGAAAGACACCTCTCAACTACTAGAAAGAGTTGGTGCATCTAGTTTGTAATTGTTCAATAATGAAAGTATATTTGAATTAGTTTATGTATCAATTTACACGAAGCGTCTCTCCAAACGATCTCAAAAATGCTAACTCTAAATTTCAAATTCAAAAATACTATTTTTGCCATAAAAAAACAACCCATCACCAAATGCGTTCGTGATTTTTTTTTTAAAAAAAAAAAAACTCAATGAGAAAAAATGCATAACAAAGCGCTTTTGTGATCAAATTCAATCATAAATTTGAAATTTAAATTTTTTTGGCAGGAATTTGTGACTGAATTTACGAGTACAAATAGATCACACACACACAAAAATGGATTAGCCCGAAATGGTTAATAGTCATAAAATAATAATAAAAATGATAACTAATAATAGTATAATAACCATCAAGACATTTCCCTAAACATATTATTAATAATCATCATAATCTTCAAATAATTGTTACCAACATCATTTTTTTTCTTTTTGGAGATTAACACCATCAACATCTTTAATTGAAATAATAAAATAATTTTTAAAATTAATTTTTAGTTAATCCATTTTTATGAGAAACTTATTAATTAATGAGAGATAGAATGTGACAGGGGAAGAAAATGAGAGGTAATATGTTGAATTAGAAGTGAAGTCAAGAATGAAATAAAGTGCAAGAAATAGAGAGAAAGAGAATAAGTAGAATTTGGAAAGAGATTGAATTAAAGTGAGAAGAGGTAAATGAAGAGAAAATGTAGGTGTTTGAATGAGTGATGGAGAGAAAAGAACGAGCGGGACAGTGAGAGGGAGCAGAATGAGAAAAAATGTTAAGAGTGATAGAGATAGAAAGACATAAATAGATTGTAAATGAAAAGGAAACAAAAATTTTGGTTTCATTTTGAAAAATAAGGAGAGAAGTTGAAATTTTTAAAATTTGAAGAATTTACTTTAAATTTGTGACCGTTTATGTCACAAATAAAAAGATAAATAAATTAAGACCGACTTGTGGAACTTGTGAATAGGCATGAGTTCACAAAATTAGGGGGATAAAAAAATGTTACAAGAGTTTTCTTACCGGCATGAAGCAAACCTCATTAATCAACAAACCAATCTCAAAATTAAATTATTTAATTAATATATATACTACTTAATTAAGAATCATTCATGCGAACCTAATTAATATGATTCCTCATGACCGCAGCCACTAATATGCTAATTAATTTGCTGTGCGGATTACTGGATTTTAATTGATATTCTCCCACCAAGGTCAAGGCATCGCATTAGTAAATGTGGTTGTATTTTTTGTTCTTTTCTTTTCCTTTCAATTTTGACGCAAGCGGATTCTTTAATTAATTTTTGCACATCAAAAGTAATTTTTTTCTTTATTAAGTCAGAAGTATGTCATCCGTACTCAGTAGGGATGAATTTGAAAGATATTATTCTCTCTTTCAATCTACTCCTGATCAATTTATTCATATAAGAATTCACAAAAAAATTGGCATGATTAATCAGGATCGAGTACTGTTCCTAAATTAACAATGCTTATTCCCGGCTTTGTGATCTACTAGTATCTTCGCAAGCAAGGGAAAGCAACAGGTTCCATTTGCGAACTCCCTCGGTAAATTCCCCATGGGCAATTGTACCTACTTGGTGCAGACCACTTGCAAATCCAATCACATACTATGGCTAGATTCGCACAAATTGTAGACATAGTATAATTACGTAACGTGTATCCATCTTCTGCTATAAATAACTCTATCACTTCCTTCACATCGTTAAATAGGTATTTCTTTCTGGGATACAAAAGATATATAGGTTCCTACAAACTATATAGTTTGTTTTTGTTTCTTGCATCCGTTTACATAAGTTACAGTTAAATAGACAATTTGTTTTCACCATTTCTGTTTGCCAAATTGTGTATTCAAGAGTATCATGTGGAACCAGATACGAAAGTCCATTCGGAAATTTCTCTGCCCTGAATCTGCAGATTGTCTCTCCCATCGAAATATTCAAGTTGCGAGCGAGACAGTGCATGGTGAGAAATTGGCTCAGCAATGGGTGAGCTGTGATGTTTGTGTAGAGGAAAGTAAAGAGTGCAAGTGTGATCAAAGCACCCAAGATTCAAAGACTACTGTGGTAAATGAGGCAGATGTTGAGCATCATACTGAGGCTAATAGTTCTTTTGCTCATTCTGTCCTCAACATGATTGGAATGCTCATAGGTAAGAATTTCAGCTATCTTGATTCTAGTTTTTTAGAGTCGATAATGGGGAGCAAGTTAGCAATTCTAACCTTCCCATATAGCATAAAGATTGCATGTACGTAGTTCTTGGCTAATTAATTCACTTATGTTTCTGTCAGGGCTTGGGCAGTTATCAGCTCCATATGCTTTAGAAAATGGAGGATGGGCATCCGCATTCTTGCTAGTTGGACTAGGTGTAATATGTGCATATACATCCTATCTGCTAGGAAAATGCCTTGCTAAGAGTCCCAAGTCGAGAAGCTATACTGATATTGGACAACATGCGTTTGGTTCCAAAGGAAGAGTTTTAGCTTCAGCCTTCATTTACTTGGAGATTTTCATGGCCCTTGTTTCCTATACCATATCCCTTCATGACAATCTCGTAACAGTATTTGCAGGGACTCAGCTTAGGCTACCAATATGGGCTAAATTATCTACATCTCAGCTAATAACCACGATTGGGGTGCTGGTAGCACTTCCTAGTCTGTGGCTGAGAGATCTCTCTTCCATATCTTTCCTTTCATCCGTGGGCATTCTCATGTCTATTGCCATTTTCACTTCTGTGGCATGCACCGCCATCTTCCGAGTTGTGAAAGCTAATCACAAGATACCTCTGTTCCAACTCCATAAGATTCCTGCCATATCTGGCCTTTACATCTTCAGTTATGCTGGTCACATCGTTTTTCCCAACTTGTATAAATCCATGAAAGATCCATCCCAGTTTACCAAGGTATATATGATCACTTCTAATTCAATTTCTTGTCAAATCAAATTACATGCCTGTCCTTTTATTTTTATTTTTATTTTTTTTCTAATAAGGCTTCATGAATATTATATATTCCGTAATTTTGACATGTTGTTTGAGAATATTTTGCTCGCCCTTAACTTTCACGTTTGGTTCCAGGTATCTATAGTGAGCTTCGCATCGGTGACAGCACTTTACACATCACTAGCATTCATGGGTGCCAAATTATTCGGCCGTGAAATCAGCGCTCAGATTACCCTAAGCATGCCTCGACATTTTATCCTTACAAAGATTGCACTATGGGCAACAGTGTTTACACCCATGACCAAATACGCCCTTGAATTTGCACCATTCGCCATCCAGCTAGAACGCAACCTTCCTGATTCTATTAGTTCCAGGACCAAAACAATCATAAGAGGCGCTGTGGGTTCAATTCTGCTACTGATAATACTAGCTCTAGCACTCTCCGTTCCATATTTTGAGCATGTCCTCAGCCTTACTGGCTCCCTTGTGAGTGTCAGTATTTGCATGCTTTTCCCCTGTGCCTTCTATATCAAGCTTTCATGGGCTCAAATATCTAAGCCTGTTCTCATCCTAAATGTGATCCTTCTTGCATTTGGGTTACTTCTTGGGGTCGTTGGGACCATATCCTCATCAAAGTTGCTCGTTACAAGTCTAAAAAGAGCTCGCTCTAGCTGAACAAATGAATTAATGGTCGATCTGGAGAGAATCAATCACATCCTGATCTTCTTTTCCACTCTAGCTATACATGTACGTACCTGATTGATACGCAAAAATAATCGGGCCTATTATTTTTGCGTATCAATCAGGTACGTACATGTATAGTTGAAAAGGAGGGCTAGCTAGCTGATGCTCCCACAAGCAATTTTCTTTTCTACTACATTTTAATATAGAAAGAGAGAGTTATTGGGTGTATCATAACAGGAGATTGCAGTTGCAACTTCCATAAATTTGATTCTCATGCATCTTGTAAACTTACTTACTCATAATAAAAGGATACCTTAATTATATTAGCCTTTCTTTTTGTTCAAATTAACATTAACAGTAAAAAAGAAAAGGAAAAAGTGCGCTTTCAGATACTCTTTTTACTATTGCAGAAACCACAAATCTTATCAATATGCACGAACCATGCTCAAAAGCAAGCAAGACCCTATGCCTGCCTCAGATTTCTGCAACAAAGCATGTATAGTTATACACACAGTGACTTAAATAATTTAATTGCTAGTTCATAATACAATTGAAGGTGCTAATTAACTGTTATTAGGTATCAAAAATCAATGTTTTTCAAAAAGCGGCTTGAAATGTAACATGGTTTAAGTTAGAAATAACTAATACTCTACCAGTATACCCATTATTTGGTCTTCCATCCATTTAAATTGAGCCACATGTACTAATAGATAATTAAATATTGAAGTTAATATTATTTTTTAATACATCTCTGTATATTTTTTTATTTTACTAAATTACATTCTTTTTTACTGAATTACATTCTTCATTTAATTTTCAAATAGTACATATGACTCAATTTAAATAGATAAAGCATATATAGAATAGTGAAGTTATTGTTTTTTTTTTTTTTTTTAACAATCCGCAATTAATAGTTAAGGGAAGATTTGAAATCGTGACATTTTGTAAGTATAAAAAATTAACTACCATTAGACCAAAACGTCTAGTTAAACTTCATTGAAGGAGTATGCTGTTTGTGACACATCATTACATCCAATGACAATTCACATGGATGTTAATTAATTATGTTCTTGGTGTAGCTGCTAAGGAGGAAAAGTGAAAAAAAAAAAAAAAAAAGCCTGCCTTTTTCTTTGGTTCGATTCATTTGGCTGGCAAACCGACATTAACCAATATAACGGCTACCAAGAATTAGCGAGGGTTGCAGGTTTTTTTTTTAGTCATAGTGCTACAGGAGTAAATTATAAATTAGTCCTTCTCTTTTTGTGAAATGAATTAATTAATCTCATTGGTTTCAAAACTTATTCTTTAATTCTTTTAATCAGTATAGATCACTATTAATTTAATATTTTTAAATTTTTTAAATATATTTTCTTTTTATCAATCTTTTCATAATTTTTACATTTTTTTCTTTTTTATTTCTTAAAAAAATCAAAATAAAGTAAAAATTAATAAATAAATAAAAACTAAATGATTAGATTTTGAAATCAGAAAGACTAATTTAATTCATTTCTTGAAAAAAGAGACACTAATTTATAATTTACTCATGGTGCTATGAGAGTGATAAGCTCATGTACGTTCTAAATGTTCTGTGAGTATGAAAAGAAAATTTTCTTTTATTTTAGTTGCCATTTATGCGTATGATGATGAGTTTAATGAGATATAGATGCATGTAATTGGATTTCTAAACTACATAAATGTTCTTTATATCTAATCAAATTCTCTTTAGGTACACGTTTAGAAAAATATTTTGTGCACGATTTTTAACTTTCCTAAAAAATGGTATTAGAGCTTGTATAGGAACAATAAGTGATACAAGGTTCGAGTATTTTAGAGGGGTGCTGTTTGTTCTTGAAATTTGAGTTTGAGATGAAGAATTTGAGTGTGTGAGAGATTTTATTTGAAGAGATAAAAAATCAAAAGAAGAATTTTGATTATGAATTCCGGCAGGTTTTTATGATTTTATGAGATTTTGTATTTATGACAGCATTTGAAAGCAGTGTTAGCAATAAGTTGGTTTGAGATCTTAGATGCTATTGCTGTGCAAGAATTGTGAGAAAGTAACATAAAATTATTCTTAAAATCTTATTTAATAGTTTAATTTTTTTTATTAAAATTGTTTTTTTAAAAAAAATCATAATTAACTAGTTATATATGATCCCCTATGCTGTTTCAGATTGCTAAAATTAACTTTAGATTTGCTTCTTTCTTTTTTTTAATTAAAAGTTTCTATTTTCATAACATATATTTAACATAAGTTTTTGTATCAATTACACAAAAATCATTTAAATAATACCAAATGATCAACGTTATAATAATATATAATAGAAAAAAGAAAACAAAGACCAATTGTACATTTTCGGCGTTCAATAACCTAAGTTTTTGTATAAATTATGCAAAAAAAAAATTAATATTTAAATTTGAAGAGAAAATGAGATTGTCTCGTATATAATATGAATAAGATGAAAATCTTTTTTAATAGTTTGAATTTTAGAGTTGAGATGATTCTTTAGCAAAAATCATAATTAACTAGTTATTATCCTGGCCTGTGTTGTTTCAAATTGTTAAAATTTTAGATTTGTTTTAATTTTTTTTTTTTTAAGTTTCTATTTTCATAACATATATTTAACATAAGTTTTTGAATAAATTATGAAAAAAAAAACTTGTATAACTTAGAGAGAAAAAGAAGAAAATAAAGTTGTCTCATACATACATGATATGAACACCATAAAAAAAATTATTTAACTAATACCAAATGACGGTACAATAATAATAGGAAAAAGAAAACAAAGACCAATTGTACATTTTCGGTGTTCAATAACCTAAGCTTTTGCATAAATTATGCAAAACATATTTATTAGTGTAATTTGAAGAGAAAATGAGATTGTCTCGTATATAATACGAATCAGACAAAAATTATTCATCCAAAAAATATTATTAGATAATTATAATGTATTTAACTAATATTGAATAACAGGTTAACGGTAAAATAATAAAAGAAAACAAAGACCAATTTTACATTTGCAGTGTTCCATAAATATATATTAATCATTAAACTAATTATTGTTATCTGCGCTGTAAATTGTTAATTATAAAAGACACTTGTTTTCGAACAAAATTGATTTAGATGTCAAAACCTTAAAAAGAAAAATCCTATTAAAAAAAGAAAATTATATGAGAACATAAATTCTAATGGTTAATAAAATATTATTATTTTAAATGAAAAATATAAATCGATGACATATCATCTACTTGCATAAATGTGACTAATCGGAAAAATTCATGTCCTTACAATAAACATTAAAAAGAAGAAGTGTGCCGTTCCTCTTTAGTCAAAGCACAACAAACTATATCATTTTCATAATTTTTAATGTCATCACAATTTTTATAATTGCTTTTTAGGTTAAAAAAATGCCTATGTTTAGTTATGGCTGGTTTTTATTATATTTACGAATATAAAATTAGAAAACAAATGGTATACTCTCTATTCTCAATCATATTTAATATTCCTTAAAAACTCAAATATAATCTAATTAGAAAATAGATTAAGATAAAAATGGGTCGATATTATAAATAATAACTTTTTTTACGCCTAGATATTTTTTTAATAGTATTTAGATAGGCAGCTGGACGTGACAGTTAGAAGGGGGGGGGGGGGGTGTGTTTTGGGAAGAAAAAGAAAAGGCCAAAAATTAGCTTTTCGATTCCCAAATTTTAGCATTGATTAAAAAAAAGTATATCACCCTGGACAGCACTAGAAAAGAGAGAAAAATAGTAGAAGTCTGGATTGCTTCAAACAATATTCCACGAAGGCTGCGTTTGTCTGGAGAAAAAGAAGTTCTTGAAACTTGTTTTCCTTATTTTTCAGTATTTGTTTCATATTCAGAAAAAAAATCAATGGAAAATAATTTTCAATCAACAAAAAATGATAGAGTAATTTTGAAAAAATGTTTTTTCAGTTTCAAAAGAGGAAAACATTTTTCTTCTCACGAGTTGTCATGCTCTCTCGTTACATAACTCTCTCTCAATATATTTTAATAATTTTTTTCTCTATCTTCTTTTTATTTAAAATATATCATATTAATTTTTGATTATTTCTTATCAATTATTATTAATTATTTAATTATTTTTTCTCTATCTTTACTAATAGTTGATTTTTTTATTTATAGATACATTAAATATTCTTAAAAATCATTTTTACACCTTAAAATTATTTTTATAATAAATATTTCAATAACTTATCTCTTTTTTTACTATTGTCTCAATCACTACCTAAGCTATAGTTAAATGATTGAAAATGATTATCACAAGACTATAATTTTTTATAAAAAGAAATTAAAATTAATTAATTCATCAATAGATACATTATTTTTTCAACAATATTCATTTGCAATTAAATCAATAATTTATAATTTTAATCAATTGTAAAATTTTGTTGGTAATTGTAATGAATAACACAAATTATTCAAACATTAATCTTTTGAGATCAAATAAATAATTATCTATAGATAATAACAAATAATTTATAAAATTATTTTTTAGACTAAATTATCAATTCAATTTCTTAAAAAAAATTCTTAATTGAGTTACTAAAATAATAATGCTAAGATTACTTAGAATCTTTTTTAACCAAATATAAATACTGACTTAATTTTGTTCCAAGTAATTTTGATGATTTGGTTTGATTGTTAAAAAAGTACATTTTATTTTTTGAATTAAAATTTTAGAGTTAGTATTGATGAAAATTTATTAAATTTTTCTAAATGTATCTTATATTATGAAATTATGAATGTCTTTTTAAAATTTTCTCAAAACTTATTGATATAACAATCACATAAGTTTTTGTATTTTAATTTTATGTATCAAACAAACGTTAGAATATATTTTTCAGTAGTTTTTTATATAATTTTCAAATAGAAAAATATATTTTTAAAAAATAATTTTTAAAAAATAGATTTCTCAGAAATTGATTTTCCTATAAAACTTATTTTCTG